TGATGAGGCCACAACAGAAATGAGGTCAATAAAATGAAACATGCAGTAGATTATGTGTGACTTACGTTAGTCCTTTTGCAGAGAAATCTCACTTTACGTGAAATTTTGACATAGGGAGTTTCAATCGGCAGAGTTACTTGTATTTCACCATACTGTAAATATTATCCAAAAATGCAAGGAAATTGAATAAACCTCTAGTGATGGTGGTATTTAAGAGTTAGCCGCTTACGTACAATGAGAAAAATCTATCTGCATGAGTATTACCTGTTTCAAGAACGTAACACAGATTCTCAATAGTGAGTCATAAACACACTAGTAGTGCCCATCGGGTCCAAGAATTCTTGGGCGCAAACCCAAACCCGACAAATCAGAATTTTCAGACCAGAACTGGAACCGGACACGGTCGGTTAAAACTTTTGAACCCGGACTCGGATCTGGTACATCAAAAGCGTTTAGACCCATACTAGCAGGGGCACTAAACTTAGAAACTACTCTGATAGAATTATTTAAATTGAAGTAAACTTCCTCCCATATTAGAAGACCGTCCAACTTGTATCACGCAAAACCGTCAGAAGTTTCAAAAGCGGTGCTCTTATAGGAAACAGATTACTTTTTTTAGGGGATCTTGTATTATGGGAGGGGATTTAGCTTTCTTCAACTTAATTTTTAAATTTAAAGCTAAAACAAACATATCTTAAAGTTTACCTTTCTAAAAAGCTAAAATTTAAAGTATATTTTTCAGAAAATCTTTCTGTTGTTAAACATATATTGTTTAATGAAAAACAAATAGTTCTGAACAAAAAAATTTCTTTCATGAAAAAATCTATTTGAACTTTAAATCTTTGGCCTGCAAAATTTAATCATTCTTCTTTCAATTTGAAAATTAAGTTAAGCTGGCATTCTTAACTAAAAACCTAGTTTATTAGTCAAAAATAGATCTGAAACAAAACGTACTCTTAAACTTGTAATCACATTTTCTAATTAAATCTAATGGTCGCTCCGAAGACACGGCATACTTCTGTCCTTTTTTTTTATGTAAGTAGTACATCTTACACGTTGTTTCAACTATCCGATAAATTGCTTTTAACAATTAATTTATAATGAACTCTGACTTCTAGCGACTCACTTGTAGTTTGCAGCTTCGAATGGCATAAGGAATGAATATATTAAAGTATTTATATCGTTTCTTATTTTAGACAACGTCACCATCAACAACATCGACTTCGTTTTCACTCAATTATTTACATGAAAATGTTCTTGTGATCTGACTCAATAAGTAAAAATATTTTTAATCTCGACTCGAACCCGGACCCATACCCGACGGGCTCTACACACTAGATAGAAGGATGCTAACTATGAAGATTATCATCAATTGCAATCAATCTATGTAAATACAACGTAGAATTACAGTAGAATGTGTTATTTTGTTGAAGTCTTCAGATACATTGTAGAGAAATGATATAATATGCGAATAAAAGAAAAAAAAGTCACCACAAAATCTACGACTACTACTACTGTTGGAGATTCCCCAGAAATCTCTCGAGCACGATCGAGACGAATCATGCAAAATTTTCTTCTAGTATGGCTCCATGATAATTTAGACGAGAACAATAATGAATTCCAACTTTCTTTAACAGAACTTCGAGCTATCGTTTATACATTGGAATACTTCTCTGATCCTGATCAATGTATTGATTATTTAACAAGTATCAAAGATGAAAAAATCTTCTTAATTGTCTCCGGGAAATTTGCTGAAAATGTTGTTTCTCTCATCCACCAGATGCCTCAACTTGATACCATATTTGGTTTCTTTGACAATAATAATCAGCAACAAGAATGGTCAAAACAATGGCTAAAAGTTGAAGGCATTCACAGTTCAATTCAGACAATATGTGCATCTTTAAAAAAAGGCACTCTTGAATGCGATCATAATGCGCTGCCAATAAGCTTCGTTCCAATGGGAACCTTAGAAGCCACCATCCCAAGCGAACATAATCTCGATCAATTAGAGCCTTCCTACATGTATTCGATGTTATTCAAAGAAATTGTATTGGAAATCGAGGAAAACGACACGAAAGCCGTACATGAGTTAGTGACTTATTGCCGCAATCAAGGCATCTCTGAATCGCAATTGGGTAGTTTTGAGCGGGAATATCATCAAAAATCTCCTCTTTGGTGTTATACTCGTGACAGTTTCCTCTACGGTATGCTCAACAAGGCTTTACGCTCACTCGACATGGAGGTAATGATGAAAATGGGCTTTTTTATTCGCCAACTTCATCGACAGCTTGAGCAGCTGCACAAAGAGCAATTATGTCCCCATAAGAAAAAATTTATTGTTTACCGCGGCCAGGGACTCACCCAAAGTGATTTTCAACGTCTACGTGAAACAAAAGGTCGACTTATTTCATTCAACAACTTTTTGTCAACGAGTAAACGAAAAGATGTAGCGACTCTATTTGTTAGAAGTCCCATGTATAGAAATGAAGATATCGTCGGTGTTCTCTTTTTCATCACAATCGATCATAGTAAAATATCAACTTCTACTACTCGATATGCCCGAATCGATCAATACAGTGCCATCCAAGGAGAAAAGGAGATACTTTTTACAATGCACACTGTATTTCGTGTGGGTGAAATTACACGAGCTGTCAAAAACAATCGTCTCTGGGAAGTGCAATTGACTATTACAGACGATAGTGATTTACAACTTGCTGCCCTTACCGATGCCATAAAAGACGAAGTCCAAGGCTCTACTGGATGGAGTCGAATGGGTAAATTGATGCTCAAAATGGGGCATTTTGATCAAGCCGAAGAACTCTACAATGAATTACTCCAGAATGCTTCCGATAGCAACGATAGGGCACATATATATTATATGCTTGGAATGTTGAAAAACCATCAAGGAAACTACTCAGAATCAGTAACCTTCTACGAAAAATCCCTTGCCATACAGCGACAGTGTTTTCCAGAAGAGGACCCTTCATTCGTTTCTACTTATAACAACAGTGGTCAAGTGTATCATAACATGGGTGACTACTCGAAAGCACTGGAATTTTACAAAAAATCACTCAAAATAATAGAAATATCTCTGCCTCCGAATCATCCCGAATGTGCTTCTTCCTATAATAACATTGGACAAGTGTATAACAGCATGGGTGAATACTCGAAAGCACTGGAATATTACAAAAAAGCACATAAAATAAGAGAAATATCTCTGCCTCCGACTCATCCCGATTTGGCTTCTTCTTGCCACAATATTGGTGGAGTTTATGACAACATGGGTGAATACTCGAAAGCGCTGGAATATTTCGAAAAAGCATATGAAATAAGAGAAAAATCTCTGCTTTCGACTCATCCCAATATGGCTAATTCTTACAACAACATCGGTTGTGTGTATAGCAGCATAGGTGAATACTCGAAAGCACTGGAATATTGCGAAAAAGCACTTAAAATAAGAGAAATATCTCTGCCTTCGAATCATCCATCATTGGCTTTTTCCTACAACAACCTCGGTGAAGTGTTTAATAATATGGGCGAGTATTCGAAAGCACTGGAATATTACAAAAAATCACATAAAATAAGAGAAATATCTCTGCCTCCGACTCATCCCGACTTGGCTGATAGTTACTTGCATTTTACAGCTTGCTATGAAAAAATGGGAGATTATATGGCAGCACTTAAGTCTCTTAAAAAAGCTTATGAAATTCAAGAAAAAACATTTCAAGAAGGTAATCTAGCTTTTGCTTCAACATTCAGTTTGTATGGAACAGCGTATAAGGACTTGAAAAAGTACTCAAAGGCACTGAGTTATTTTGAAAAATGTCTCAAAATATTGGAAGTAGCACTACCAGAAAAACATCCTGACCGGGCTGTTACATATAGTGATATTGGTGATGTGCATCGACTAATGGGTGATTATAAAAAGGCAGTGGCATTTCATCAGAAGGCGTTTAATATTCAAGAGAATGTAAAATGCGATCCACTTGATTGTGCAACATCATATATGGATTTAGGTGAAACTTATCGTGAAATGAAAGATTATTCAACAGCATTAACATATTTTGAAAAAGGATTAAAAATACGTGAAGAAAAACTCGCGAAAAATCATCCTGCTTTAGCTGTTATATATCACAGTATGTCGAAATTATATTTGTCTACTGAACAATATAGTATGGCAATGGAATATATTCAGCGAACTGTAAATATTGGACGAGAGAAATTACCTTCAACTCATCCGCATCTAGCGGAATATAGAGAAACGTTTGAAGAAATTCGAAAGAAGCAATAAAATCTTTTTTATTTGGTCGTATTTACTCAATAAAGTTGCTTTGAGAATTACTAACCATTTGCTCGTCGTGCGGACGCGACTGGGAAGATTCTTATTTGCCCTGTAACTGGTACGCCTATATACCAGACCACACCGGACGGTTAGAGCAATGAGCGTAGGTACAACGTACAAATAACGACGACAGGAGCCCTGCGAACATAACCCGCCTAACCGTGTTCAACACTACTTCCCGTGACAGAGTAGCGGAGAAACTTTCTGGATCAAACTACGAAACTGCACTGACTCTGTAATAGAAAAGAAGAAGAAAACAACGTTATACCTCTTACTGGCATACCATAGATATGTTTTTTGTTTTGTTTTGAAGAACACATGTATAGATGTATATGAGAAACAAAAAGTTATTCCATTGAGAACATTTAAGCCATTACGATGTTAATAAAATAAAGAATTTATCTTTCTATTCTCAGTCGCGCAAACGATAGACCGTATAACGTTCAGGGACGGCGCGAACGGGGGGGGGGGGGGGGGTTTGCCCCCCAAAAATTGGTAATTTTTTTTTAAATTTTTAAAAAAACCGTCGGTTTTTTAAAAAAACCCCCCCGTTTTTGAAAAAAACCTCCCGTTTTTGAAAAAAACCTCCCGTTTTTGAAAAAAAACCTCCCGTTTTCAAGTAACCCCCCTATACTTTTATTACTTCGCGCCGTCTCTGATAACGTTATTGTTTTTTGATCCATATGAGCACATTCTAAACCAACAAAAAAAACAGAATTAGTTGATTTATGTTAGATTAAAGCAAAAGGAAATAATATCATTGTAACTTGCACCCCTGAAATTAAAAGAGAATATTTTTTTCAATACTTTAAATATTTATAGTTATTTTTCATTAAAATGAAGAGAGGAAGATTTTGATTTTTACAAGAAAATCATACTCATTTGCCTAGGTTGATCTTATCGATTGTTAATTATTCTAAAAATCAAAACAGAACATAAACATCACAAAACGATGGATGTAAATCAAAACAATAAATGATCTAATGATCAATTGGAATATTTTCATTGATTGATAATCGCGCTCATTACTTTTGATTCTTTACAATTAGCCAGTGTTTTATCTAGGTTTCATTTTTTGGGCGGGCGGTTGAGATTTTTGGAGGGACTGCTGGCTAGAAAAGTTCTTGTCATATAGTACTTGTATGAAATCGAAAGTCGAATGAAAATATTGTTTACGAATTTCGAGAAAATAGATAGCTCCGTAAGTTTTTACGAATTACAATTTTTCTAAAGAATTAATCTATAAAATCATTGAAGCTATAATTTAAGTTTATGCTGGATACTTTCTCCAGTATTATTAATAGAATAAATATAAAGTCTTCATCATCATTTTCAGCTGAAAAAATAATGTGGTATAAATGATTTAATCATAACTAGAATTATTTGTTAAACAATTCATTAGCTTCATAAACTCGATTAAAAAATGATCACTTTCTTTTTCTACTTGTATTCAACAAACTATGTTTTCATCAAAAAAAAAGTACAAATAATGTCGATTTCAGTTGAAGTTGCTGCGAATTGATAGATACCAATGAGTTAGAACTCTCGAATGCCTATGATCGATGACATGTAAATAAAGTTTAACATATCTATAATCTAATTACCAAATTATCTATTAAGGACATGTAAACAACATGATATTGAAACTCTTTATTTTTCAGATGTTAGTAGATGATCACGCTGGATTAGAAAAATAATTTTTTCACTTCTGTACTTAGATTCGTTTGAGTAATGAATTCATGTTCAGGAAACTTCATTTTAATAATACTTTACCGATGTTTCTGGCTCAAATAATAAACAATCAAACTATCTTTACTATTTCAAAATGCTCGCTTAGTTTTTTGTAGATACATCGCAGTCGACACGATTTTCAGCAACTAATAGTTCTTCTCAAACCTCAAGCAGAATATATAACCTCATTTACTTAAAGATTCTTTGATCGTATATGACCGAGTTATTGCTGTAAAAACAGTATGTATGATCTTTCAGTGCAATGGGTAATCATGACACCGATCATTAGAGCTATTAATAGTAGCTACATAAATATACAGAGATTATATTCATTGTAGCTGTTTGCATCTTAGATATATGCGAATCAAGTATTGCATCTATTCTTAAATCTTAGTGAGAATGAAAGGAACAACGACAATGTATTTTATCCTGTAACTAGAACAAGAAAACATAAATTGTACTGTCAAAAGACATGTCAGTACGCGGATGTTCCATCGGTAAATTTGGAGCCATCATCGTTCGTTTGTAACATACTAATTATTTCTTCAGCAATAGTTTGTCGAACTCAACATAAATAATGGAAATTTCTGAAGAATTTAAATGTGATACACAAAATGTAGTTGTTATTTATATCATCGATGAGATATAGGCGGAAGTGACCCGAAATTTCTATATTTTAACGCTCGGTTTAGATTGCCGATACTTTTAACTTACAAAACTTATCAAGAATTCTTTATGTTTAAACAGATAAAAAATCAATCTTTTTCAAATATGTTCGTATGAATTCATTTCATTATTAATTTGATCTTTTTTTTATCCAAAGTGATTTATAGAGAATGAACTTGGGGATACACCTTGCATTTTTTCCCCTCGATAATAAACACTCCAGTTATCTTTTGCGTAACCTCTGCCCACTGTTTCGAATGATATAACACTGGTATCAGGAACTTTCTTCCCCATAAAGTAAACATTAAAGTTGTCTTTAGAATAACCAGAACCAAAATTATTCATATTGTTCCATGGTGCTTGTTTCGTATTGATGTATCGTTGTTCATTTTCTGAACTGTCACTTTCATCACTAAATAGTTCACCTTCAGCATTGAATCCTAATACCTTATGATTACATATCAGAAAGCATAATACTACTGAATATATCAAAGTCGAAACCATTTTCACAGTTAAATAAAAAGAATTTCTTTTCTATTCCAGCACAAAATCAGTGTCTAAAGTGGATAGAAACTATGTATTATATTCGTTGAAAAATTTTGTGTATGCTTAACTTTCTTTTATATGCCTCTTTTCAAAAGAAAAATAATACTAACAAAACTATTGATTGCATATAAGAATATAAAAGAATTATTCATATCGTAACTGATTGCTTCTTATCTAAAGATTCTATTGCTCTAGGACAAATGGATGTGCTCCTATGATGGATATAGAATGAGGCACTAGCCTGCATTGTTATTTTAATAAAAATCGAGAAAAAAAATCATCTTCTTAGATACAATCATCACGCCATAGTTTCAAAAGTTAATGAGACTATTGCATAAATCATAGCATCCAATGCCCAAAGGACTTTTAATCAGAACACACGATAACTTTAGGTTTCTATCGAATGGCTTCAGGAATTAATGTATGTTCCTCGAATCTCATTTTTGAATATTTGAAAAAAAAAGACTTTTTCTTTCGCTCATACACCCACATGCAAAATGTCGAGTTCAAGTAGTTGACAAAAGATTTCTGCAGATAACATGAATAATTTACGAGTCACCCTGAAACCTTTTTCTCTCGATGCCTCAAAGGTTTCTTCTATTGTTGATGATTTCACCTAAAAAATATTCATTTTTTGCTTATGAATAAATATATACTTCAAAAGTCTAGTAGAACAAATTAACTTTGCAATTTGACTGTAAGACATCACTTGTCTTTATTTTTAATGTTACTTATTACACTCCATTCTGTTGTCACAAAACATTCAGGTAGCTAAGATGAATGCTGATCGATAATCAGCTTTGTTCGAAATTGAATGAGCTCTTTGAAGCAGTACATCATTAAAATATAAACCTAACATTATTTCCTTGTTCTATCTTTTTTTTGTTCAAAGTCATTCTAGAAAATTCTACACCCACGCGTCTGCATAGATTCATCGACCATAACAACTATCTCGGAAAACAAAATCACGAAAGAAAGTCAATTGAGATTTCTTGGTTAAAATCTCCGAAGGTATTATTAACAAAACAAAATGTATTGCAAACATTTTGAAATTCTCATCAATGAATTTTTTCCCCTCTTAATGATAATAGTCTGCCTTTCTACTGTAGGTATTTTGCGATTTTGAGTGTATTGAAAACAAAACAAAAAAAACGTCTTTTTAAATAAGAATAATATACTCACAACAATGCTTAAAGCGCACTCACATTCATTTTAGTTTTTGTTGTTCGAGAGTACGTTTAGAAAAAAAAAGCAGGTAATATATAAAACAAACAATTTTAGCGATTATACTCGTCTATAGAATAAACTCTTCTACTTCATCAACAACTGTCCTATTTGGTATTGGTCTTGTTGCATTCGTAACAAGTTTTGGTCTTTGCAATTTGTCATTTTGTGATGTCGTTTGTTTGCCATTGGCATTATTTGCTGCAGCTGATGGACCAAATAAAGATTCAAAGGAATCATTCTTAGCGTGACTTGTTGGTTGAGTTGATGGTTTAGTTGAAAATATATCATCAGAATCATATGTACGAGTTGTTGTTGGTTTATTAGAATTATTACTGAAAAGAGATTCAAATGGATCCTCTGATGGTTTTATTGGTTGTGCTAAAGAAAAAATTAAAATATCTATAAATGAGAAGTAAGTTAAATAAAAATAAAAATTTACTTGTCGCTGTAGAACGTGTTGATGATTCAAATGTAGTCATTGAAGGACGTTGTGTAGATGGCGCTTGACCAGTAGTAGCAGCTAATCGTCGTTCTTGTTGTTCATCAGCCACTAGTTTAGCAAGAAGATCTTCTTTGGCTGGATCTTCTTTTTCATTACTACCGAACATAGTCGACCATTTGTCATCAAGTGGACGTGTTGCACGCGGTTTTGATAGTCCAGGTGGTTCAGTCAGTTTGAAAATTGACGATGACAAAGTGGCACCAGTTCCTGATGAATTATTTTTGGAGTCAGTTGCTGATGGAACAGGTGCTGCTGGACGTTTGTGAACTTGAGCTTGAGATAGATGTTGTTCACTCCGATGAGATGTTGTTGGCGGTGGTAATTTTTTAGGTCTTGATCCAAATATATCTTCATTGTCCATTTCACTTCTATCTTCGTCGACACTCTTTGGTGTTGAAAGTCGACGTACAGGAGGTTTTCCTTTTGGTGGCAAATGTCCTAGTAAATAAAATAGTATTTCAAGACTCTAGATTTTAATACGCCAATTGTATCTGTCAAACATTATTTTTTTTAATCTAAGGGTTGTTTTACGGAATAAAAAAATATTTCATGGTAGCCATGTCTTACGTCCTGTTGCCATCAGTAGTTACTATGGTAATTTCATTTAATTCTTTTTTTACAGAAGAAGAAACGTCTGTTATTAAAAACTCTACTCAGTATAATGAGACGAAGTTATTATATGAAGCAGAAAAAAAGACATGCTTGAAACGTTGCTACTATGTAGGTTGTTGTGCTCTTATTTTCACCGAAACAAAATCTAACTTTTCAACTGAATTAAAACTAGAAAAAATTGATCGAATATGAATTACCATGTGCTGATGACTTTTCAGTTTCCGTAGTGTTGTTTGTCGTTTTTTTCGGTGGAACACTTTTCTTTTCCTGTTTCGACGAAGAATCATTCGAAACGGATCGCTGTTTTGCATTTGGCTTTTTTTCTCGTGCCTGCTGTTCACGTCGTTTTTTTTCGTAGCCATTGACTTTGTCTTGTGTACGTGGTGATGTCTCATCAAGTGATTGTAATGAGCGCGATTTCAATAAATTTGTCGGTGAAACCGATGATTGCTTACCAGCACGTTGCACATAAATATGCATTGTATCAATTTGTCGTGTCTTATCTTCAAATTTAAGTAATAAATCATTATATTTTTGTGATTGTGTTTCGATTTGACGTTTTAATTCACGTTGCTTTGCTAGTTCTTGATGGATTTCATGACGATGATTTTTCTCTAAATTTTCAATATATTTTTCCTATAAAACAAACAAAAAGTAATGTAAAAGATAGCTGTATAAGTATCTACTTGTGAAGTTAATTTTTCTTGGATTTCTTGTAATTTTTTATCTGCTTCATTTAATTTTTCACGTAATTCATGACGTTCATCAAGATTTTTTTCTTGTACAATTTTTTCATATTTTTTCAAACGTTTTGTTTGATCACGTAATTTATCATCGCGAACTTCAATTTGTTTTTCAAGTTTTCCTTTTGTTTCACGTTCATTGGTTAAAATTTCTTTCATATGATCTATTTCATAGCTAAAATCTCGTACAATTCGATGAATATCATATTCTTTTTCTTCATATTTCTTAATAGCTTTTTCTTCGCGTCTTTGTATAGTGCGTAATGTTGAATTTTCCACCCGTTGATTTTCTAGTTCACGACGTAGTTCTGCTAAACGAGATTCCAATGTTTTTATTTTATTATTTCGTGCTGATGCTCCACGTGGTTCCGTGTCATTTTTTGGTAATGATGAAAGACTATCTCGACGACGACGAGCTGCTGGATTAGCGCCATTTCGACGAGGTTGTTGCGATCGAATAAATGGTAAAATCGTTTCTTTAGGTCGAGCATTTCCATTTGTTGGTTTAGTATACTTTTTAGTTGTAAATGACTTTTTTAATTCTGAATCACTGCCACGCCGTGGTGGAGCTTCTTCTGTACGTTTTTGATTTGGTGGTAATGAGCCATGTGTTTTGTCTCGTCTCGGTGTACTTTCAATGGCTGTATCATCATCTTCGAAATCATTATCATTATCGAAATCTATGAAATGAGAAAAGTTCAAAACAAAAATATTAGCAGAGGATATTATTTTTTTTTTGAACCTGATTCATAAGCTTTTGATTGAACCGACTCAGTTCGATTTGATGTTTCTGATGCATTATTTTTATGTCCGTTTGATGCTGATTAAAGAAAATAAAAGTTACATAATCAGAAGCTCTTGTGTTTTGTTAATTTAAACCATGATGCTTACGTTTTCCTTTTGATGATGAATGTATTCGTTCTACTGGTGTTATTGGGGTTCGAGGACGTTCAACAGCCGGTTTAGATTTAACAACTGGTGGAATTGATGCATCGCTTTCTTTACGTCTAATTGGAGATTTTTTTTGATCATTATTTGTTTTGGTTTCACCAAAAAATTCATCAAAACTATCAACTGAATCTTTACGTTCGGGCATTATGTTTTAAAAAACGATAAGATTATTTCTTTTTGTCTCTACGTTGTTGTTTTTGTCGTTGCTTAGTTGCCAGTATGACGAGCGCACGAGACAGAGAGAGAGAGGAGAAAAGAATTATCTATCTAAGTAGAATAAAGAAAAAAACATCCACTATTAGACATTACAAGCATTTGCTCATTAGAAAAAATTTATGTCACACATAAAGAAGTAAAACGGGCTATTGCTTCAATCAACAAATAATATAATGTTGTAGAGGTGAGCAGAATGGAGTAAGAAAACCAAGGCAACGTTCTCATCAATGTGCGCCGCGCTTGGAGAGTTCACTTTCTCAAAAGAAATAAATCAGTTGGAGCAAAAAAAAGCCACTGCTGTTGTCACATGCATTGAAATGAAAAGTGCTGGAAGAAAGAAAAAAGAATTCTATTCGAATTGAATATCGACGTCATTATTGTAGAACTAAATTAATTTCGTGTTCTTTTTCCTTTTTTTCGTTATTGAATAAAACTACAAAACATAGAAATGATTCATTGTGCATGTGTGGTGAATGCAAGAAGCGCTATATCCACTTTATTTATTTGTTTTTAGAAAAAAAACAATAAAATGAAAATTATCGCTTTCGACCAAAACGTAAGAAGCCGGTGTCTCGACGAGAAATATTATTGAGTTGACTGCATAATATATGTGTTGATTTTGGTTGACAAATAATATAATAATTCTTATCAAAATTATTTTCTGTTTCTTGCTTTAAATTATTCAAATTAGCCAATCTTTCTTGAAGGTTTGCACTCGGTTCATATGAACCAAATACTGGCTGGATTGATTCATTATTTCGATAGATACGATAAGCTAAAAATAAATATTAATTAAAATGTTTCTTCGTCATTCTTCCAATATATTTCAAACAATTTATATGTTCATTTCAACTTTGCTATTTGAGATATGACGTAAATCTACCTACCATAATTGATTGTTAAAAGATTAAATATAACCAAAATAATAAGGACAGTAGTGTTTGTTGGCATGGTTTATTTTAAAGGATATCCTAGAACAGATGAATAAAAACAAATATTAGTTTATAGCTAACTCTAAAAAAAGCTATTTTAATCTAACGATAATCATGTAACTGAAAAGCACTAACTTTTTCTAGGATTTGATCCAACAAGAAATTGACCGTATATATAAATGTATAAATTCATTAGTATGAATTTACTGTCTGTTAGGCTACCTAAGATGAGATGTCGATGGAATCAAGTACAAGCTGCCGTTATTTATTCATTCGACAGTATCAGGAAATTTATAAATAAAAGACTAAAAATCAAACCTAGAGAAAATTCTTTTATAACATGGACTCATTTTCAAGCATCATATTTTGTTCAAAGCTTCTCTCAAGTAGAAAATGATCAAACATACAAAGACCTCTGTTGGCATCTAGGGAAATACGGATGTCTGAACAGTATTGCTTCCATCGTTTCTTAGTTTGTACTGCTTCAGACATCTTTGAAAGATTTGAAACATTAAGTTGAAATCCCCAGATAGGAAGTTTTGTCAGTTCCAATCAACCTCGTCTAGAATATACTTAACTTGTACATCATTGAAAGGTTTTTAATATAATAATCAAACTAAAAACTTGCACAATGCATAGATTTTTCTTTTACAACACTTGCAAATTTACATGATAGACAATAAGATTAACATAAACCGTTTACCTATTTAATGTTTGATAATATTCACGAAAGCCGATCTTGCCGCAGTTAAATGTCTTGTTGAATTAATAAGATAATTGATGTTTATATTCAATTACTGATAAGTATCTGATTTATTTTCTGATTAACAATTTGTACAGGCCAAACAAAAACGAAAACTATATATATTTATAACAAGAAACAGAGAAGAGCTTTACTAGTTCAGCGTCTCATAAAAAAAAGAGAGAGAGAGAGAGAACAACGGCGCCTACGCGTTGAAGAAAAGTAAAGCAGCATAGAACAAAGACGATCAGATAAGCCTCTATCTGACTATAGAAAGAGAGAGAGAGAGAGAGAGAGAGAGAAAATGCTAAATCTCATGAGAAATACTATTTGAAAATGACTAAACAACTGTTCCGATAAGTCCTTCGATGATATCAATCGAATCTGTTAATGTGTAGAGTAGTTCTGAACGATTTTCTTTCAGATATTCTAAATATGCTGGATAATCGTTACATTCATTTAAATGTTCTATGTATTGAACATGATGATCGAATGACGAGGATTTTTTGACGATTGGCAAATAATAAGTAAAATTCAAGGATGATGATTTTGATTTGCAGTTTTGATTGGATTTTTTGAAATTATCTAATAAACTTCGTGCCCATACACGTGAATCTTTTTCAAAAGCAACAGGTCGATTATAGAGTGATTTTCGAGTTAAATAATCACTGGGTGACAATTGTTTCGAACCTAATTATGAAATAAAAAGAAGAAAAAATACGATAGTCCGAAAGAAAAAAAGATCGATGAAAATTACCGGATTTTAAATAATTTTCTTCAGATTCCAATTGATTTTTTTCATAATTATTTTGATCATTTTGTAAAGTATTTGTATGTAAATAATCCAAAACAGTGGTTGATATTAAATCTAGAGATTCTTGCTTATCATTGATATCTGTTGAATCAAGAAAATCAGTGATATCTGACATTTTTTTATTATCTGATGTCGTGTTTGATGTTGAATGAATTGGCTCAACTGGTGACGAATTGGCGTACGTTGATAGATCAGACTTTGTACATGAACAATCATTCTCATCATCATCATCATCATCATCATCTAATGAATCTAATCAAGCAAATGGACTTTTTCAAAAAAAAATAAAATGCCCAATCGAAGAAATGACTTACCTATGGTAAAATAAATAAGATCATCATCTAAATCAATTGAACTCATCTTTTTTTTTTCTTAAATTATTCTAAATGATCTAGAAAAAAAAATTAATTTAAACCCAGATCGATTTTATTCAAGTAAATAATCTAATTGATGTGTTGCTGAACGCGTTAAATTCACTAAAATATGTGTGTACAATTTCTCTTGATGTACATTTTCTATTGTATAATCAATTTTATCTAATTGTTTTACACCATCATTTAAATAGCGTTTCCAACCTTGAAGTAATTTATGTCTAAATGTTTTTTGTTTTTCAAACACAATGAAATGATTACAGAAGAATAGAAAAATCTCTCCTACCGATTTACAGCACGTTCACGTTTTTCATGACGAATCATCTTATAACGACCTATATGATTCGGTGGTCGACTTAAACGATAACTCGAATTTCGTATTCTAAATAAAAAATTCGTTGGCTTTTCTTTTCATACAAAATCAACAAATCCAATTTATTTTAATTCTTAACAAATCGTGACCAACCTTTCAGCCATATCTAAAACAAATAATGATTAATCATCGAAATATTTTCGTTTGTTTTTACCGTCATCTTCTGCCTAAAAATAACGCAATGAATAATATTTTAAAACATCGAATCTAACTTACTCCCCAACCCCAATACAGATTTGACCAACCATTCACTTTAGTAAACTGTTCTTTACTTAACGCTAAAACACCTCCAACCAAATGATTGTACATCAATCTTAAAAGAAAAACCCAAGCATTCGAAAATTATCTAATTGAATATTGAACTATTTACACGTAACGTAATTCATCAACAGCTGGTGATAAATGCCGAGGTGCTTTTTTATCGCATTCATAAACATTGTAATCATTCTCAGGCACTAAATCAACGTCATGAAATATAAAACAATTAAATGTTGAGCGAGTTTTTAAGGCTTCTTGAAATGCAACATTCATGATAATACCTTTATTAAAGGTAACATTGCCTATCTAAACAATCATCAATGAAATATCAATATTTTTAAATTTTATTTTCTCTTTTTTTTCTATTCGCAAAAGTATTATTCGAGTTCTAGTAGGAAAATAATTTTTAAAGGTTATAACCTGTTCTACAACAAAGACATGATAAGAACGTTTTTGTTTTTGAAGATATGGATGAAGATATTTTAATAATAATTTAAGATGATATTCTCTATTGCGAAATGGAATAATAACAGCAAGTTCTTGTCTAGATTTACAATCATTGGGTGCAAAAATTCCACCTAAAATATTTTCTCTTAAAAATCAAATCATAATATCTAATAAATCATCCTACCCATTTGTACATTTGGACTATCTGACCATTCTGCATTCTCTAACATAATAACATCTTTACTGCCTAGACGACAAGAAAAATACGCAGTTTGAAAACAAACTGAACAACGTTCAAGTAGTCATTTTACCTTGCATAGTCGAAGGATATAATGGACAAAATTCATTCAAATGATCATCATCGATCAATACATATTGATTTCCAGTATATTCATAGTATGTATTACAAAAATGAATCATAATAATCATAACAATAATCATAATTATCTCTGGCAAATATTCATTTCGAGTTAAACGATTAAATTTATTCCGGCTATACATCATTCTTAAAAATAAAAAAATAGAAATAAAAGATAGATGTTTTGTCTTCTCTCTATATTTATCCTTAAACAAAACAAGTGTTTATATATGTATATGAAAACAAGAAGGCAGAAAAGATTAAAAAGGTTAATCAAGGTCAAAGAAAAGAAGTAATAGAACGAAAAGACAGAAACAAAAATATAGTAAGAAGGAGAAGAATAGATAGCATCGATATGTATATATAGCAATACACCGTAACATGTCAAAAAATAAAATAAAATTTCATTCTTATAAAAAAAAAGAAACAAAAAAAAAAGATTTAAAATAGTGATGCATTCATTGGAGGTTCTTCGGCTGCTGTTGAGTTAAGCCAACATGGTTTAACATATGACTTTGGATTGACTAAATCCGAAAATGATGAATAAGACGAAGCTAAAGCACCATAAAGTCCAACAAATAATGCTAATGCTAATAAAATAATATCCAATTTTGGTACTACCCTAAAAATGAGAAAACAAAATAATTCTATGTATGATTGCCGACGAGCTTCTTACCTAAATATCGTATCAACGAATTTTTCATGAACTAATTGTGTTGATTGAACTTTAATCATTACAAAACAAATCACCGGTAATATGAAACCTAGAATTGATACTGTTGAACTGCCAATAAATGCAAGTATAGCACCGAAATGTGGTATAGATTCAGCCATAAATGCTAAAAATAAGACAATACCACTACGTAATATAGCACGTTGCCAACAGAAATGTTTTGGTACACGTGTAAGTTCTTCGAAACCTTGAAATATTGGATTCAGTACTATTGTAAATGCCATTGCTAAATGACCAGTAATCAAGATTTCAACTGAATAACGTAGAAAATTTCTTGGTAAATTTTTTAATATATTGTCTTGTACATGTGAACCGTAAACAAGATATCCAATAACGGATACGGGCAAATAGAAAACTAATAGAATTGAATAAGCAATAATTACTGCTAAGTGAAATCGATGTGGTTGACGCATATCAACTTGTATTGTTGGAAACATAGCTGAGCCACCCCATGCAAAAAACATTGTTCCCATAGAAAATGAAAATGATTTAAATGTTATTGGACTTGGATCATTGTGTTTAATCGTTCGATAATGGATGAGTGTACTAATCGTTATAAATACACATGCAATAGCCGTACAAACCATAGCGCCAATGGCTATAGGCCTACGAAAAATAAAGCATACTCTGTAGAACATCTTGTAAGCAAGATCATCGAAAACATATCGTTTACTATTATCTTCTCACAAGATCTTGAGTAAAACAGAAAACGATATCATTAATGTATTTTCGTGCTCTCTAGTCGTTTATCGTTTTTTTGAGGACACGCAGCTGTACATATGCAAACAACATAATTGAACATATGAAACATAAATTTTCAAAATAATAATTTTTTTCTATGCTATTGATTATTCGAGAGAATGTTGATCTCGACCAATGATCGAGAGACGACTACCTTAAAGTGGTCTGATGGTGGTTGGGTTCAGTCAGATGCCAAAGTTTGACCTGCTCGAGTTACTCGGGACTGAAAAATGTAAAACCTGCTCTGTATGATAGGTTCGAACCATGCTTTCAGAATGCGTCATTCAAGATCTTATGGATTCTTACCTAATATCTGTTCACTTATCTGTATCCAAGAGCTTGCTTACAAGTTTTGAATAATTAACGTAGATTTTATATTGGTTTAGTCTTTCGTTTTTATTTCAAATCTAAAGATACCGAAGTCGTCTCGGTGGGATCTATTCAAAAGTCATTAAATCATCACAATTGCTCCTTCTAAAGAGAAAAGAACTTTTGCCTAGACGCCTGCTTGAGATAGAGAAGAGTTTAGATCATTTTCTGAACGAAGAATTCTTTCATTTGATAAGAGGTCATTTTCTATCGAGGATCTTACCAACTATCTTTTGGTGTTCCAAGCCAACATGGCCCAAGTAGAAGACAAGCAACAATAATAATCCATACGCACACGGGAAGATGTGCATGAATACTATCAAATAAACTTTGAAGATTTTGTGCAGCCAAAAGCAAGAATACGACACCTGTTTGACTATTCAAATATGTCTTCATCAAGCAGACAAATATACACAGAAGATAATAATATTCTCTATCTTTTATACTAACATCGCTAATGAATAGATCTTGCGCCGAGTAGTTGAAAATAAATAACAAATATTAACACATACCTGTGCAGCAAAATGACATTTTTTTTTCTATAGAGGCAATCAAACTAAATCTCACTTACTTTCCAACTCGACCAGCACCTTCCGTAGCAATTACTTGAAATGGTGATCGACTACCTTCTTCGGAATAAACTGGATTCATTTCTCTTAGCATTGTCCAACAGTCACCTAATTTAATACCAGAATAACCCGACAGAACGCACAAAACAAAAGTCGAAATAAGACCATACCAGCCAGCTTGATCCATAGCTTTCGGTAATGCTAACAGACCCGTACCAGCCATTTCTCCAGTGATGAATATAGCAGCAGTGAAAACTGTAAGACCACCATGCTATCAAAACCAAAATTTTTTTTCGATTTAATATAAATATTAGAAAGAATTTACCAGAATTTGACTTTTTTCCACTGGTATAATTGGATCTTGAAAACTATTATCAAAAGACATCATGTGTGTATTTTATCTATAACAAGAACAACTCGAATAATTTTCTTGACTTATCTAGATTGAAAGAAAAGGTAATTAAATCTATACTGGTCGCAAACAAAACCTGTCAGTCACCAGTATTTTCAAAATGGACCACTTAAAAGTAAGAATTAAAGTCTGGGCGATTTGCATATGAAACTTTTCCTGCATTACAATCATTATTATATTTAATCTAATAAATAAAAACTTCGTATTAAATAAAAGTAAATCTTTTCTTATATTAACCGGTTTTTCTGTGCAAAATATTGAAGTAACCCATCAGCTAGAAGAAAAAGTGCAGGCGTAAGAAGTATTCGCGGCGATGAGTATAAATAACGATAACTATTTTGTTGATAAGCATAGAGTCGCACATTTTGCGGGTCCACCTTATCGAAACAACAACACTTGAAACAGACAAAAAACAAACGCGTCATCTTTGCTTACAAAATGACCAGGCACACTAGCATAAAATGGATTTCTATAGCGTTTAAGAAATTCAGCTTTGGTGACTACACGTAATTGTGCACGTTTTTGAATTAATTTTATTTCATCCGATGTCAGATTCCATTCCGATGGGACTGTATGTACATGCATTTTTGATTTTGAAAGATGTAAGAAAGTCTTTCAATGAAAATAAAAAATATCACGATAAATTTTACTAGTATAAAATTGCAGTCCTGTATGCCATGCCATTGCTAATTTATGTAAGCCTTCGCTGAAATTCAGAAATAAAGATGTCGCATTGTTATTTCAATAAATGAACAGAGGCATAGGATAGGTCCTCAAGGTTTCTATGTGGCTTGATTTTTTGCTTGATATTATATACATTACAATCGTGTCCGTAATTATTTAAAAGCAAAAATAAAAGCAATGCCAGCAAATCAATCAAAACGTAAACGAGCCATTGAAGTTCATAATAAAAAAGTCACTCAACGAGGCAATGTACCAAAATCAGGTAAACAAGCAGATACCAAAACACCTGTTGGTCCATGGCTTTTGGCCTTATTTGTTTTTGTCGTTGTTGGTTCGGCTGTCTTTCAAATAATTCAAAGCATTCGAATGGCATAACATTTGAATAGTTTTAGTGTCCTTTTAAATGAATTTTTTAAAATTTATTTAAGCATGCTTTTAATGAAAATGGTTACGAACAATTGAAAAAAGTGACTCGTCAGGAACGGCATCTGTCGTTTATTTTTGCTCTATTATTATTATTATTATTATTATTGTTGTTGCTTTTTTCTTCTCATTAAATATCATTGCATTTCATTCATCGATACGCCTCATACAACAAGTATAAATATTGTATTATTTTTCAAAAGAATTGAGATTGTAAATTTCAATTTCTTGACAGAATACGTAAACTGAACGAAAGTTTAGAAAGCAGGAGGGAAATGGTTAGGATAGAATAAAATATTCATATTCGAAATACGATGTGATAGTTGTTTCTAGAATACACCAAGTAAAATTGTCCTGATCAAATCTTGATTTGCATTGCTGTGTATCTAATTTGGAAGGACAATTCTTGTCTATGGTCAATATATAAATCATAGTTTGCTCCAAGAGTTTTTGTGACGATTAAAATTATGCAAAATTTCCTTGGCTTGAAATGAGTTCGATAAAAATAATGGGCTTGTAAACAAATCAAATATTATAAATCAAAATCGTTTGTCTATTTTTCTAACCTATTTTACTAGTAAAAACCACTACTGATTATTGAAGATAATACAATATTCAAGCAATATAAACCCTTTGAATGAATAAGAACATAAAATTCATAAAATGCGCGTATCCAATTTAGTAAAAATTCTGTTAGTTAAAAACTACTTTCGTTTCTATCCTTCAATTAAATTCAAGTCAGTTATACTAATTTGTGAATCTATACTTATTGATTGTCCTTTGGTTCTACAATGTTTCTTACTTTGTTCTACTATGTTGGATGGCTTATGGCTAAGGTACAGTGATCCTCTTTCATGGGTGGTTTACATCATTTGAAAGAATCAACGTTTGCAATATAGAACAAGGAAACTAGAATGTTACTGTAACTGAGAAACGATAGTATATGTAGAGGCATTCCATGAAATTACTAGATATATTCTCATACATCGCTCACGTCAGTTGTGCGACAGACAGTTCAATAATCGAAAATTGACTGCTCTACCCTGAATCATAAAATAATTTCTAGATACATTGATCATTCTCATGCGCACGATTAACTGAATCGTACAAATAACAGTCTTTTTCAACATTTCTAGATAGTTTGTGATTCATTAACTGCCGACAGTCTCCGTTCAATTTATATGAAAGTGCCAACGCTTCCTCTTGGCCAATCTGTCATTCACATTCCTGTCAGTGGATCCATTAAACCATCTGTCTGCGTCACTCAATCATTAGCGACAGCTACGCCAACGAAGGGGTTAACGACCGAAGAAGTTGCTGTAATTAAATCTTACACATCCAGTTGTCGGCTCTATGAAATGCTCAATGCAGCACTACGAACTGAACAGCAAGCAAATATTCAACCTTGGTTCGCTTACTTAAAACTTTTTCAAATGGCTATCGTCAAAATTCCTGCAAAACACGGATCTTATTGTCGTGGAATAACAGGAGATTATCATAATATGTATAAAGTTGGGAGTACTGTCGTTTGGGTACGTATATGAATTGGAAACTCATCATTGAACGTTTTTGGAAAAAAAGCATTTCTAAAATAAGTTAACAATTTATATGAGATGAATAGTGAAAATTAAACATTTCTTTCGAAGTGGATATGAACTAATATGTGTGGCTTTTATATGCTTAATAGTGGGGCATATCATCAGTGTCCGCATCAGAATCAGTATGTATCGGCTTTGCGACTCCGTCTGGTTCTACTGTTGAGCCGATGAATGGTACACTTTTTACAATCTTGTCTTCATCAGCGCGAGGAATAGTAGAATTTTCAAATTTTCCTCACGAAGCCGAATCAATTTTATTGCCAGCTACGAAATTCAACGTTCTAAGCAACAAACTCAGTACAAATCGTAGAGGATTATATGAAATCACTCTTCAAGAAATCGAAGCTGCACCCTCAGGTAATATGATTATATATTGAAATTGATTACCTCCGTTTGTTTTTCAACATCAAGATTTGTAAGAGAAGTTATAAATACGGTTTGACTGATGAGTTCATGAGATAGTAGAACAAATCGAAATAATCTCCGAATTTTTAATATAAAACAAAACTAAACATCTAACAATGGAGGTGCTTGCACTGTTAGTGAGCAACACTGGATATTTTCGGATCAAATGAAAGCTCTCATAGCCAAACTAACAAGGTTAAAATATTAGCTGCTATTGGCTTGTCTAGAGGGAGATATTCGATTTTTCAGTGAATTTTCTCGGCAAGACCGGCTTTCCCAGCAATATCATATTTTCGAATTTGAACCTGAAACTATGTATGCATGAAGGTCTCAAGGAGACTAGCTTACAGAAAAAGAATCAGAAGTTTTGGACAAACTCTCTTCGAGATATGTCTCTCAAAATATAGACGATTTTCTATATAAGCTCTGTGCTTGAGGCATCTATATTTCGAAGAGTTTTTCCAAAACTTCTGATTTTTTTTCTGTAAGCTAGCCTCATTGAAACTTTCATGCATACAAAGTTTCAGGTTCAAATTCGAGAATATGATATTGCTGGGAAAGCCGGTCTTGCAGAGAAAATTCACTGAAAAATCGAATATCTCCCTCTAGACACGCCAATAGCAGCTAATATTTTAACCTTGTTAGTTTGGCTATGAGAGCTTTCATTTGATCCGAAAATATCCAGTTTTTCTCACGGACAGTACAAGCACCTCCATCGTAAGAAACATTTCTAATACTAGCAATAAGTAAATTAATGCCAACAGTCAAAATAAAAGCAACCCAAGCAACGACTAAAGCAGGAACTACATCAGCTAAAATAGGGACTACGTTAACTAAACTAACTATTAAAATAGGGACTACGTCAACAACTAAAGCAGGAACTACATCAACTAAACTAACAACTAAATTAGGGACTACATCAACTAAATTAACAACTAAAACAGGAACTACATCGACTAAATTAACAACTAAAGCAGGGCCTACATCAACAATTAAAATAGGAACTACGTCAACTAAATTAACATTGAAAACAACTTCACGAACAATGAGAACTACAACAAGAAAAACAGCATTGCGTACGACTTCAAGACTTCCTTGGGATCCAAAACCAAAACCAATATCATCCTTGGCTAATACTATCGTCGAAAAAAGGTAATCAAACAAATAGAAACAATATCATAAAAGTAATCTTTCATAGTAACCTGCTATCTAGCTATATTCTTATGAAAATAGTTCCCATAGACGATTGTATAAGAATTCATTTGTTGAGTCTAGCGTTACCACTGGTGTTTCATTGATTTATCTGAGCTAGGTGAAACATGCCGTTCTTGAGAATGATCTGTTCCGAATTCGTTGGAAGTATTAATTTCTCTATTTAGCAATAATAAAAGAAAACTACTAATGATTCTGATCGGTATCATCAACGCCTTTAGAATGAGCATCAGATTATTTTGATACGGAAGACCAGCAGTCTGGAATTTATATCGCATTGAAAATAAAAAATTTGTTAAATGGCAATTTCCGTTTTATGATTGATTAATATTTTATCGATGGTACAAGTTTTTGGATATCATGAATTTTAAACTTTAATTCAAGATTATTTGCATTTTTGTTTCACTTAGTATTTTATGTTAACATTTTCATGAAATCGAATGACTATTTTTATCATTTTCTATCTTAATTTCAAAGATTTCTTTATTATTAGAAAAATAATAATCCATAGTCGAACAGTACTTAGATCAAATACGGAATGAAAAATCAAGACTGTAAAAATTCATACTAAAGTGTTTTAGGCAAGTTTGATGTGGACATATGAGAGCGAAGTCTTTATAATGAGAAATACGTCGATGTAGATAGAAAAAGAAAAAATATCGCATCGAGCAACATGTACATACTGATAGAGAAAATATACGCAGTGTGCCCTGAGGTGGTTTTTTATCAAACAAAGAAGCCATCGCCGATCGGGAAACATTCCAATTTATTGACATCTATCAAAATAGATTATGACCTATTAACTTTATCAACAACATGCGTAACAAAATAATGCTCCATTCATTGACTATATACGCATCTAACCTTAATATAAAAAAAGGTCGTATTCAGTATGTTTCAGTTGATGAAATAATACAAAATATAAAATTGATTGTCTTTCAGACAATCGATTGAATGCAATATATTTATTAGAAACAAGTGTATCTACAAAAATCTCACACTTTTGTTTGTTCATATTCAATTTTAATAATATCATCTGCAAATAATTCTTCTAATTGTTTTAATGTTAATAAATTTTGCACAATATTTCTTGTTACATATTTACATGATCTTATATCGAGTACAGTGAGCAATTTTAACTTTCGACAAATACAATGAATTGTATCATCATCAACTTGTGTGTCTTTCAGATAAAGTCGCCGTAGGGTATTATGAAACGATAGTAATGTATCTGTAAACGTTCTTGTACGTGTAATACGAAAACAACCATTGAGATTGAGTTCAACTAAATTTGGACATAGATCAGGTATGTAACGTACCGATACAAGTCCAAGACAAGACGATTGTTCGAAAGATAAAATTTCCAATTGCTGAAGCGAAAAATCGAATGTCGAATTTTTCAATGGACATTTGGGAATTTTCAAAAAATCCGATGTACCTTGAATACTTGTCATTAACATTTCACATTTTCTTAAATAGAGACCTTTTAGATTCGATGGTAAATACGTTATATTTTTACAAGCTGTTGAATCATCACGAAAATCATATTTTGATATATGAAGATAACGAAGATTGGAATATGATGTACGAATAAAATGACTTAATTGTTCGGTATAAGGTGGCAATTTTATTAGATTATTTTTCGCTTTTTTCCCATTGGGTGCGCCGGATATTTTCAATGTTTCAGTACATTTATTGGAAAAACGACGGAAGAATTTAACTAATACTCGATTTGAGTAGGATTTTTTTGTTAAATCAACAACTTTCCATAGTTTTTCATCGAATGCAAGAATACGGAATAGTTTACAAACACTGGAAGAGAAAAGATTTTGAAGGAAATTTTAAGAAAATTTGTTTTTGATTTACTAACCTAGCAACAAGAACAAGATCTTCAGTATCGAGATATCTGAATAGATAAAGAAGCATTTCGTCAGGCAATTGAAATATTAAACCATCTTGTTCGATGTATTCCTCTCGAAGTTCTTTCTTTCGTTTTTTACGTGTATTTAAACTCATCTGAAACATGAAAATAACCATCAATCCGAATCTGAATAATCAACAAGAGAAGTGTTTGCAAGTGGTTTATCATTATTTATCACTGTGAAATTTATTTCTGATGGCACTATCCTATAATCATCCATCGAGAGAAGTGGTAGATCATGGTTTGTTTTAAAAATATCATCCAAACTTTCGTTTTCTAAATTCAAAAAACACAGTCAGATTAAATTTTAATTGAAAATCAACTTACGATTTTCCATTGATTTTTTTTTATAAAAATGAATAGATTTTTCGACTGGGACAGTCGTTGTAAGAACATTGACATTAGGTCCTAATTCTAGTTGAGCTATTTTTCGTCGAAATTTTTTATGTTCACTTTCTAATTGTGTGATTCGTTTGTACATTGATTCGACTTTTTCATCTGTATAACGAACAGATGTTGTTTGCTAAAGAAAACTGCCAATAAGAATAGAACAAAATGTTTAACATACTGCTAATGTCGAATGAATTTCACGTTCAATGAATGGTAACCATCGACGAAGTTCTTCGACTGTATGAATTTGAGTCTGAAGGAAATCAATAGTTGAGAACTGATTTACAAAAAAAAGAAAAAACTCACCAAGTGTGGTCGCTTGGCTTTGGCTATAAAAAAAAACACTAATTCAATGAAAAAAATTTAATTAGAAATTTTTCGAACTTACGAGGATGTATTTTAGATAAATACAATCGATTCAATTCATTTTTCTGCTTTTCTTCATTTCGGGACATCTTTTTACGACGTAGAGTAATAGTATGTTTTACTTGAGTTGAGTTATCTTTCTTTTGAAATGTGTCCAATGAGAATTTGCCTATGAACCTTCTTGTCACTATGAATGATGGCGCCACTATTCATTTGAAAATTTTATTGCGTTGTCAATTCGTATGTCTTCTTCGAAATATCCACAATATTTTTACAGTAATATTGAATTTTCAAAGATCGACACAAATAAAATCATTGATCATAACTGTGAACTCGATGGTTTTTTCCAATATTACTGTTCTATTATATCCGATCGATCTAATAATTATATGGCGCGACTACCTGCATTCGATCAATGCATCATAGAAACAAATACGGATTGAAATACAAGTTTTTTTTTGCTAATAATAATAGTTAAATACTAAAATCGTACTACTTATAATGCATCGAAGAATAAGAACTATTCAGGGATCAATAATCTTGTTAGGGTAATCTAATGTGTTTAAGAAAACAATCTTGATATACGATAGGAACGATGAAACTGTCGGGATCTTCAAAACTAGGTGGTTAATTAGGATGAAAATCTCTACCATTTTTGTATGACCAAAATAGTACTCGAGAGTATTTCGATGGAAGAAATGCTATGAATTATACCAACATCAAAAAGTCCTAACATATGAGTGTTTAACAGTATTGTGTATTCTGCCAAGATGCTGAAGGGAGATAATTTCAGCAGTCATCGCTCGTTTTTCTTTCGATTCTTTTAAATTTAATTAGAAATACCGTTTCTTTTTCTTTCGTTTCCAATGAAAATTTTCGAAACGAGCGAGAATATTATTTGATTATATAATTAATAATAATAAAAGGCATTTCTCATCATAGAATAAAGTAAAAAGTTTGTTAAACAAAACAGAAAAACACAACTGTAATAGCTTTTTCTTTAATCCTGAGGATTGCAACGCAATGAGATATTTGAATGCTATTTGTTTTTTGTAACATGCTATGCGTTAGCAATAGGCATATAATTTGCAGCTGATTGACAATTAAGCTGTTGGAGGTTGTTGATTTTCATCGACTTTTGCTGGTTCTTCTTTCTTTTTTTCTACATGTTGAACGATTAAACCGCCAAATTTAGCCATTTTACCATTAATTGGACGTTTAGCGTGTTCGCTTTCGAGATATTTTTTCAATTCCGGCAATTCTCGAAATGCTTTCATGTAAGCAGAAACTTTTGGATATTCAGCCCAGTTATCATTCGATAAAAGCCAACAATGATCAAGATATTCAAATAATTGAAAATCAGCAGCTGTTAATGTATCACTGATGATCCATTTTTTTCCGTTTTTTGTAAGAAAATCTTCAAATAATTTTAAATGCACTGGTAAAGTTTCGTCACAAAATTTCTTTTTTACAGCTTCAAAATTAATAGCACGATAACAAACATTATTTAATTCTTGTCGTAAGTCACTTGATTGATCAATAAGTAATTCAATTAATGATGTTTCAACTTCATTGTTTCCCATTAATTGAAATTTACGGCCAAGGTGTGTTAAGATTGTTTTTGCTTGCGATAATTTTAAGTCGCCATCAATTAAATATGGTAAATTTGGAAAATCGAGACCTAATGAGTTTTTTTCATTGAGCCATTCGTCACGTTTAAAATCTGGTGCATCACCGAAATTATATAATTTATTTGTGAATGGTACTTTTTTATATTGAAGTAATAAACGAGATGGTTCAGCAAAACCTCGAATATTCCAATAGCCAAGAATAAGTTGATTCGTTGATGCCATTCAGTATTGCTAGAGAGAAGAAAAAAAAAGAGGAATATCCGGCTATGCTTCTATCTATAGAGTATCTATGATTTTAGCTATGAGAGAGTAGGAAGGAATGATAAAATATATATGTGTATAGAGTGAATTCTCTAATGTTGGTATCAACATTGAGAAAAGAGGGGGAAAATATGCCGGCCGAATAGCGATGAAAAGAACAGTTTGTCGATTTGTTCTCTTTCCCCCATTCCGTACATTTATAGATGTGTGTGTGTGTGTACAGACCAAAATAGTACCATTCTACCATTAGACGACGTCTTGCTGATAGAATGCAGAAAATAATGTATGCTGTTAGAGTTTGCTGTTATGCGTACTTGACAGAAAAATATTATATGCAAATAGAGAATTAAGTTATATTAACGAAGTTCTTATAGACTCATTTTTGATTGATGAATTATGACGAACGAGAAGTCACAATTATAGAACTTTAGCCAATATTTTATTTAAAAATAATGATTCTAATCCTAAATGCAAGATTGATCTATGATCAATTTTTTTAAACTTCTACAGCAGTCGCGATAAAGATAAAACGAAGATTGATTGATTGTTTTGACATGGTTAATTTCATTTCCATATGAGTTAGCCGTTGCTTCTCGGCATAAAAGTCAGCCAGTAACCGATTCCAGTAAAAATTTCCTGAGAAATTCAGTAAGGCAACACACTAAGACAAATCATTCTGAGTCGATATCCCCCATATTTGAAAGTAGAAAATAATGACGTTTGCGTTCTTAGGATGCTATTGCATAGTCGATTTCAGCTATCTGTCGTATTGGTTCTGGTTTCTGGAATTTGTTGGTATATTTGGGTTTTGACACAGTGATGATTTGTGGCCAGAATATTTCCTCCAACTTTCTGATAGTTTTGTCAACTCTTACCTGGCTGTGAAAACGTTAGAAATCAGTGTTTTCAGAGATCGAAGTCATGGATCAGAGTTAGAGAGTCTGTGCAAGTCAGAAAACAAATTCAGACTGAAAACAGTCGAACAATTAAAAATTTAAGAAAATCATTTTCTTCTAATTTCCTAGGTTCCTGAACAGGATATAGTACTTTTATTATATATATGGTATTTGTCATTGAATGGAAATTAAATTTCGACTGTGATCAATAGAAAACTTGACATGTTATTAATTAGGGCAGTTTGAGTAGTCGAGTTATTGTTTTTTTTCTGAAGACATCTCTCAGTAGACATGAAAAGTTGCTTGATCTATGTTTTCTGGAATTTATTTAATTAGTAGAAAAAAAACCAGGGGAGCACTAGGCTAGTTAAAGTTCAGACGAGAAAGGACGATAAATGGGTATGTTTCAAGATGCCATAGTAGTTGTTGATGGATCGAAAAATTTTGGAGTTTTTTCCGGATGCTGTTCACTAAATGTCTATACTTGATTAATGACTGTAAAGAAGATGAAAAACAAATGTTGTTAGAGAAAAAAATACGAGCATTATATTTTTTACGATACCTTTTAGCTGAACCATGAGATTTTCCAGCACCATGTGAATGACTTTTATCGTGAGGTGTTTGTGCACCTGGTAACATGCTAGCACTACTACCACCTCCAATTCTTGTGCGTGTTGTAACAGATGGACCATCTGTAGCAATAAATTGTCCAGAACCGGAAACAATATGATATCCATTTGGAGCTTCAGGTACTTTCACATGTGTACCAGCTGGTAGATTGTGTGCATTCATACGAGATACATAGAGTATGCTCGATGTTGTACGTTGCATAAGACGACAGAAGTTCGACATACTTAGTTTTGATAGAAAACGAATATCTAAAATTAAATCATTTTTAAACGTAAAAATTTTAAAAAGAAAATTTCATCGGTGTACACGTTTTTAACGATGCTTATTGATACTCCTTTGTTATCACTAGTTCAAGAATAACATAAATTAGTTGAAAAAAAATGCATTCACGAATCGATATTAGAAAGACAAAAAACGACTTTTTCACAGATATATCACATTTTTAAATAATTGCAAAATTACAGATGATGAATAAAAATAAATAAAGAAAATCATTGAGCAATGGTTGGAAAAGTCGTTATACGAAGTCGTGCTGCTCCCATTGGTATTAATGTAAGTATTTCATCAGATTCTTGACTGTGAACAGGTGACTGTGGTAATAATCCAACTACATTTTGACTATCTGCTTGCCATTCGGGAATACGACGGGCTCGAACTTCAAGATTAAGTGGAACAGTATCTTTTGTAAAAAGATTTTGAAAACCATTTTTAATTTTTTTCCGTTTAATTAACCATTCATTAGAACTTGCCATGACTAAACCATAATTCCAATTTGATTTTGGAATTACTTCAAATTCAGGCCAATCATCTGTACCACCAATACGATTGTATTGTTCACTTATGCCTAACGAAAATGTTAAAGGACCATAAGACAATGAGACAGCACTATGATTCGATGTCCATGTTTGTATTCTTAATGATAGTGGTATTGTAAATGTTAGCGCGTCATCATCTACCCAAAGACGATCAACAATAAGATATGAACCATTATTTGATGTTTTTTCATTAAATAGAATCTGTCCATTTAATGAGAGCGTAGGCGCTTTTCTACACCAACATGGTACACGTAAGTAAAGTTTAAATTGTGTTGGTGTTGATAATTGAAAACGAAATTTAACAGTTCCATCAAATGGATAATCTGTTTCTTCAATGATTGTTACTTGTGTACCATCATTGGGACCCACTAAGGCTGTTACTTGATTTGATACATATAAAGAAGCACATAGACCACCATCATACGTTGCTAACCATGCGGCTTCAGCATAGTACGGCCAACCCATACCATGATTATGTGTACAGCAACGATACTGATGAACTCCTGGTTTGTAAGCAAGCATAGGAAAATTATTTTGAAATTGTTGTTGAGTTTTAGTTTGATCATCAAGTTGAATACAATTAGCGCACGTTATATAATGTGTACCACGTCCTACGATTGGATCAAATGCAGCTGGAAGTGTATTGAAAGCTAATGTTTCACATCGATCAGCCCATAGACCATCACCCGTAATTCGTGTTAGAATTTCAAAACTATTCATAAATTCAACAATTCCACATGTTTCAATACCTTGCCGAGGGTCACCGTAGCCCGTACGACAATTTTCATCGCCAGCAAAACCTCCACCGGGAAATTGTCCATATTGATTCATAACTTTTTGATAATCGTCATAGGTCGCCAGAAGAAAACGAGAATCAGGTGGATTAACAACAAGTGAATACAGTGCTGGCTCACGAAATCCTTGTGCAATATTAACATTATGCCATGTTGGCAAACCAGAAAGCCAATCGGCTGAATTCGAATGAATCTTATGAATTAAATCAAGCAGCCAATCTGTATCTGTCGTTCGATTATATAACCAGATAATTGTATCAATATTATCGGCCCATCGAGTATAACTCCAACCACGAGAAAATACAGCAGCTGATTGTTGATTAATAAATTGAAAATATTTTACAAGAAATGGAATGACACGAGCATCATTTGTATATTCATAAAACGAACGAAAAACATTCAATAATGGCATTGCTGGCCAAAGGTCAGGACCACCTTCAAGTGATGTACGTAAATCATTCGGACCAAACCATCCATCCACTTGTTGACTACTTAATATTCCGTCAATCCAACGATTTGCTAATGCTAAAGTCGTTTGATCACCAGTTACAAAAGCAAGATCAGTAAAGCCACGTAACCAATAGGGTAATTCTTCCCAAGCTGATTTCGTTGGATCAACCCAACCACATTGATCATAAACAAGATAATCAGATATTTCTGAAAGTTTTCCGTTCAAACCATTTATTTGTGAACGTAACTGACCAAGTAACCAACCATCGGGTTTAATTGAACCAGGTGGCAGTTTTTGAAATGGTACTGGTTGAAGTGGTGCTCGATTTGGAAAATAATGACAAGTTGGCGTATCACCGAATGATGACACTTCTACACAAGTAACAACGCGAACAGTCATCTAGAAAAACGAAAATATTGAAAATTTAATCACAATAGTTAAACGAAAACTATCAATTGTTTTCTTGATCACACGAAAATATCCAGCAACACATTCCCGATATTTCACAACTATCTGAAAAAATACAAATTTCTTTGTCAGAAAAATAAAAATGAAAAAAAGAACAAACAATTTTTAATCAAAATAACCAAATTCCATACTGTCGATAACCACTGTACATCATCACAATAAGAAGACGGAATAAAAAATTGTTAGAAAGAAAATTAGCGCGGTATTTCATCAAAACCAAAAGAAAAACGTAACAAATAATAAAATTTTGTTCACAGCGAACATTGCACATGAAAACAAAACGAAAAAATGAACAGCTAATTACCGCCAATTTGACTAGTTCGATATATGTGCGTACATCTCACTGTTAGTAAAAAAAGAAATCAATTAAGAAAGAAATAAAATTGTAGGTTGAACAGTCGATGTCGATGATGATAGACGACTTTCAATAGTATGCAATTGACGATCACGATCGACCACATATAATCGACGTCGATCATATTTTGATATACACATTGCAACGATTGCACGTGACTTCAACGACGGAAAATCAAGTTGACGTAATAATGTTAAATCCCATGTTGACCACATTGATATAATTCCATTTTCGAAACCACCTAGAAGAACATTAACGCATGTTCCTTCGGGTGCCGATGTAAAACATAGACAATTTAACTGTTCAGAAAATGTTAAACAACGAATTAATTCACAATTACATGTTAAATAAGATAAATGCCATTGGCTACCACTCGATGATAGATAAGCTATATCACCGGTTGTTTCTGATGATGTTAAATGATAGATTGTTTGATTGTCTTGTTTATATGTTCGAACATATGATAGACTAAAAAAAATTAAATTATTTATTATTTTAATTAAAAAAATCGCCCAAATCACATACCGATTTGTATCCCATAATGTTAACATTCCATCTGCACTTGCACTAATGAGTAAACTAAATTGTCTATTAGCATGTAAACAAGTAATCGGTGAACGATGCGCAATAAATGGTAAATAGCGTTTAATTAATTCCATACCAGTTGATATATTTTTATTTCGTTGAATACGATAGATTTCAATTAGGCCAGAAGTTTTACCCATAAACAAAAGTCGATAATCAATTGATACGCAACATGTGATTTTATCTTGATCGTCAATAGGTACAAGAAAATTGTGCCAGTTTTTTATTTGTTTCAATTGTCTACAACGCACAATACCATCGGATGTATTCCATTTTAATGCAACCATTGCATCTAATGAATTTGTTAATGAATTTGATTGTGCTGAATTATTTTGTTCATTAATTGATTCATTTGATATTTGTTCATTGTGTACAATTATTGATGAAGGCGGTAAACAAAGAATGTAGGAATTCGATTTAAGTACAACAAAGGATGATACTTGTACTAGACATTCATGACTTTTAATATAATCCGGTGATGGCATATCGTACGAGCCAACAAAATCGCCCCAACGAATACCAATAATTTGACGGTGAATACTTTCGGCGGGTAATTTTGATTCAAATACACTACGTTCACTATTACGTTTATCATTTGCATTCGAGTTTGATGATGAAGATGATGACGAGCTATTGCTATTCACTGGCGGATGTGGTTGAAGAAATAATTGCTAAAAATGAGATGCAAAAAAATTTAAAGAACGAAGAAAAAATATTCCAGAAATTTTACTTTTGGCACTTGACCATATGTACGAATAATTCCATAGTAAGCGTCTAGTATTAATTTATCGTTGATATTTTCAACTGGAAAACCATAATAGCAAGCAGCATGATATATATTAATTGCATCGAGACCTGCTTTTCCTATTTTTGAAAGAGAAGTTATTCTAGATGGGTGAGCGATTGAATTTTACCTGCTTGTTTAAATCCAAATATAAGATCGATCCATTGATGTAAACGATTAGTTACATAATCAGATTCAAGTGCTTGTCGAAGACCGCATACAAATAAACGAGCATTTCGTTTTGACCATGTTGGCACAGTTACATCTGATACTTGCATACCCTTGAAATAGAAATATTTCATAGACGAAAAATAAAATCTCTTCTTTTTTCATGATTATTTTATCTTACATTTTGTCGATTGCCAAAATAAAAATTTTGTTTATTGACTAAAAATTCATGAACATAATAAAATTCTGGTATTAATTCTTTAAAATCGGATGTTGATTCAAATGATGATAACCAATAGGATGTTTTAACATCGTGAAATGTTCGATCAGCACAATCAAAATTTCTATCTTGATAGTCAAGAAACATTCTGGTGTATGGCAAGAGACGAACAAGATAATGAAGAACAATGCCAGAATTTGAATACAATGAAGCATAATGATATGGATTAGATTGGTGACCAAATATCGATGATGTTGTATTCTGTTCACCATTAACTTGTGGTTGTAATAGAGCAGCATTTTGAGCTTCTTCTAAAGCATTATAAACTTCAATAAATTTTTCTTCTTTGTCAACATTTTGTATTGCTATTGGCTTCGAGAGATTACGATAACTCGATGATGAGCGTAAATCAAGTATTGGATTATCGTAACTAGCAACGATATATGGATAGACAGGATATTGCATTAGGTCTATAAAAATGAAGAAGAAAAAGGTTTTTGTTACCGATGAATCAGAGGATTTATCAATCAAATTATTTTTATTTGACATCCATAAAATTTATTTGACGAGATTATTCCCTTTTCTGAAAGTAAGGGTTATACACAGCTTAAATATCTTTGAAGTTTGTATGTATGTATGTGTGTTTGACAAACCAATCAGATTTCAGTATTCACGAAACCAATGAAAATTTCAGCGTCGGCTCTCCGAAAAAGATCTACTAAAGGTAATCGGAGTCGACGAATCCGAATCCGAGATCAGTTTTTTGAAATTTTTTGTTTCTGATTTTTCGGGACCCTGCATCAGTTGTTTAGGAAATTTTTTTTTTTATAAAGTTTGACCGAATGTAATCGCGGTCGACGAATCGGAATCGGAGTTCAATTTTTCAAAGTAGCCTAGTTGATTTTTTGGTAAACAAAGATCAGCGGTCTGAGATCTATAGCACAGTTCGAAAAATAGAGCTACTTATTAAAATGAAGGAAATTTATGAGTAACTAAAAATTCGATTGAAAGTATTTTTCTTTTGCAGATGGATATTTGAATGTAGTATCCTTAACTAATCAACTTCTTCATTCCAGAAAAAAAACTGATTTAACTTAGGCGTGCAATTAATGCTTTGTGATTTTTCCAGTTCGATCTAGTTCATAATGAATTGACGAAATTTAGCGCATCGCATCTTCTGTTAAGGATTGTTGCATAATGTACTGTTTCGAAAGTGTGCGACTCAGTGATGATGAGAATGATAGATATATTGTGTCTATATTCAAGGTGTCTTACAGGAGTAACTAATGATGGTCTTTTTTACGCATTTCGGATTTTGTGGGAACGGCTAGCCGCTCACTTAGAAAAACCATTCTAATTAAGGCTACACTGTTTGACAACTTTCAGAATATTTACACGCCATCTAGATTAGAAAAGTTACAACAATTGTCGAAAATAGCGTCAATTTACTAGCTTCTGCGCAACACCACCATGAAACATTTTGCCTAGCTCGCTTAAAATATCTGAAATTTGTATATATCGAAAAAGTATTAATAAGTTTAGTCATTTTATGAATTGAGAGTGGGATTTGAATTGAATCAAGTAAGTGTCAGAGTCTTTTATCTTTGAACATACACACTGGAATGCATATATTTGCATCACGGAGCGAGAACGAACCGAACCGAAATGAGCTTAAATAAAAATGGACCAAAAATGTAGATAAACCGAACGGAAGTCGAAATAAAAAAAAACAGGATTTGATTAGGTCTGTAATCTATGAGTGTGGATTCCTGTTAGATTTCTATAGTGCTAAGACTAGTTTGAGTTACAGGTTCACTGAAACGAAGTATTTCGATGATAGCTCTCTTAGATGGCTGTTTTTCTTTATTTTATATCGAGCTTATTGAATTTTTTCTGAACGTTGTTCTAGCTTCATTAGTTCCGACGCACCTTATTTCACTCTAGTCATTTTTTATCCATAAATAGCACTTAAAAGAATATTGCTTGATGATACTTACAAGTAGGTTTTCTATCGAAGCTTAGCTATCAGTCATTTTTTCCGTTACAATTATTACCAAGCTATAATCCGGGCGATTGAATACGGTCATCAGATAGGGGACGTATTTAACGTTTCACGGCCATATACAAACTGTATTGTTCGACCAGGGAATTATCTGAAGTGTCCCACGTAAGCGTTTTTGCTTTTTAAATGCTCATATCCTTTTAGTAGAGGGTTAGCGACACTAAGGTCGCGTTACTTGTTGAATAAGGCAATAAATCACGACTGAATTAGTTACTCTTTTGCATAACTATCTTCCGAAACAAACTCCCTACAAGTTCATCATAGACGGCTTTTGTAATTTACAATGAAGTACCATTCTTATTCTTTCAGAAAAGGTCAGCGAATCCGTAGGATGAGCGCTACTTGTTTTGCAAGCTAGCACAAAGTCACCCTAAGTTACACAGGTTAATAGCTTGGCTTTGTTTAGCTTGGTTTTCTCCCGCTTTTACTGAGCAGAAAACTATTAAATTCCCATATATTTACCTAAAAATGTGCGTCCAGCTAATTTATTCAGTTGCATTAAATAATCAAAATTAGTCATTTGACCTTGTTTCCATAATGCTTGTATTTCATTCACTGTTCCACCATATTTAAATTGTATTAAATTACGTTTAGTTAATAGTCGATAAAGATTTTCTCGATCATTATTCGAATCATGTGCAACCATTAATGTAATACCATTAGTAAAAAATAATTCCAGTGCGAGATCTTGTAACATATAACGTCTTTTATACATTTCGCATATATCATCGATAGCAAATGAAAATGAATTTGAATCATCATTTAATGAATGATAATTGTATCCGATTGTTGACATAGCCGTATTGATACTTTTAGTTTTTTTCAATGTTGATAATTGTTCATCGGCAACGAAATAAATTCGTGTTGTACCAACAAGTAATTCGCCTCGGATTTCATTATTAGGAGTTACATTTATGCAACGACATTGATATTCGACTTTTTCATTATGATACAAAACGGTTTGTATACTAACCGATTGATAATGACGTGTATCGAATAAATAGGATAATGGAGGATTAACAAGTACTTCATCAGGTACTTCTGGTTGAAAAAAACGTTTTTCCATTAGACAATACGAACGTTGTAAACGACGACGTTCACGTTGAGGATTTTCTGTGGGATCAAGTTCCCAAAATTTTGGATACGACAATGGTTCAAACCAAACACCATATTCATGTGTCAATTGAGATATTAATTGATGCCATAAGTGTTTTGTACGTAGCTCAAGACTTTGTGTAAAACGAAGATGTTCAAGATATGTTTTACGTTCCATGCCTTGCAAATTTATAACATCTTGTGTTATTTCCATAGCACGTGCTGTTATAATTGATATAGTTACATTTGTAAATGTTTTTAATGAATTATTTTGTGCTGACATTGAACGTTGTCGAACTGTGTCGATCGCTTGATTAAGTGCATTTCTATAATCAACACGTTTTTCATCAACAATCAACGAACAACTGATTGAGATCGGTGATGAAGATGTTGTATTGGATGAACGACGTTGAAACTTATCGGGTGAATGAGATTTAATCGGGATGTTTGCTGATCGAATATCATTTCCAGTTGTCGATGAAGACAAATCCAATGAATATCGTTTAACTCTCTTTTGAGAAATATTGTAAGACATTTGAGAAGCTAAATAAAAGATTCAGTATTTTTTAGGGAATTATCAACGTTGGATCTCTAGCTCGTGAAAATGTCTGAAAGATTTCATTCTGTTTTAGAAACGATATTTTCATCTATGATTTTGCTTACATGTTAATCTTGATGATGATGAAAGTAAATAGTCGTTGAGTGCTCGTCGTTGTGTTGCATTACTATCATTGACTGTTAAAGATTGAATGTTAATGGTACGCATAAGATCACGAAATGTATTAATAGTATTTTGATAATTACTAATCGATGACTGTTGTGTTGATGCTAATTCGCTACCAATTGATGAAAGTGAAAGTGAAGGTGATGACGATCGATCGAAATTTTTCTTAAACATCCTTTCTTGTTCATCATTTGTTGTAGGAGAATTCGACCGTTTACCAACATCACGTTCGTCGTCTGTTGATGATGATTTTTCAATGGTAATTGTAACTTTTGGTGAACGTTTAACTAGTAATTTCGATTGTTTCGTTGATATGTTTACTGTATGTGATGATTCTTCTGCATTGGTTAATATTTGACTTCGATCGGCAATAGGTGCGAATGTTACATGTCCTGAATCGAACGATTTTTGATCCTGATAATTACTTTGTTCGAATTCTAACTCGGCTGGAGTTGTATTTGAAAGTATTTGCAAATAAATAAGTATTTGATGATATAACGAACATTGTGTATCTTGCATTAAAAGATACTCTACGATTCCTTTGGAATTCGGTTGATCAATAATATTTTTTAATATTTGTGTACGAAAAATGAAACGTTGCTTATCAGGATCAAGTGCGATGGTTATTAGTTTTAGGCAAATATTTTTAATAATATCGCCACAACGAAACATAATCAATGACATTTGATGGCGAGAATTTAAATTATTCGAACGTTTCTCAATTAGATATGCAATACCAATGAGACAAATGTCGAGCAGACGTAATGTAAATGTTTCAAATAATGAACATTCATCATGAAATAGATAAATATAATCTAATGATAATTGTAAAAATTTACGAAATCGATCCGATTGCTCAACTGTTTTTAAATTTAAATTCGTCTCATCAAGATTGCTTCGCTCGATTGTTGATTGATACGATGAAACATCAACGACTGGTGGTTTTTCAATTAAGCCTATGATTGAATTCAGCATATTTGATAGAGTTTGATGCAACACTCGTCGATATATTTTTGGACAATCTAAATTAAAGTTTTCAAATTAATTGAAAGTCCGTGTGTTCGAGTGGTCTAAGAAGCACGCTTCAGGCTTATAATTGAATATGCGTGTCTCAGAAATGAGGCGAGAGTTCGAATCTCTCCACGGGCATGGCGTTTTTTTTGGGTCTCTCTCAACAACTTACCTATCTCATTATTCATCATCATCATTCCAATAATATTATTAATAATCGATGTAAATGATATATCATCGTTCATAGTCGTTGTAAACATCGTTATGATTAATGAATTAAAGCATATTTGCACGCACGTTATGATTTTATCATGTGAAATCGATATAGCTGATGAAAGTGTATTGAATAAAACTTGTGTTAGACCGATATCAACAAGAAAATGTCGATTTTCATCATTCGATTGTAATATTATTTGGTCGAGTAATTTAAGAATTAATTCACATAGATAAACATTTGTCATGCTTAATTTTTCAATAAGAGAAAGTATTAAAGCAAAGCCAACTTGCGAACGTGGACACGGTGGTGAAGATGAAAGAATAGAAAAATATTGTTCAGCGTCATGAATTTGTTTAGATAGACTAGAAAGAAAACAAAATTCAAGCTGCAGAACATCGATACGCAATTGTAAAGAGAAAAGTTTTGAGAAAATCTCTTCATTCCTTACGCTTGTATGGGAGTAAGATTATTAGCTATTTATTTCGAAATGAATCGGATTTGTAGTAAAACAAAATCGTACCTTAATTTCATATCGAATTGAATAGGTCGTTGTAATGCTATCGAAACACAAATTTCTACAAGTTCCTTTTCATTATCACGTCCATCCAGTTGATGATAGATTTGATTGGCTAACATTGTGTGTAAATCAACTCTTAGTACAGTATTTTGTACTTTATCTTTGTCCATACGTTTTAAGATAACATCAAGTAATCGTAAACATTGAACACGTTTAGCCATCGATGCATCAAGTAGAAGAACAATTAAAATATTTAAACGAAATACATGATCAATCAATTGCATCATTAAACGATCCGATGTTGTTACAGCTATGTTGGCTAATAATCGTAGAATACCAGTCGAAAGATAATCAACATTGTGAGGACAATCTTTAATTCCTAATAAATTTGATTCATTGACAAAATTTGCCGTTCTCGGTGTATCAGAAGTATCTATATAATATTCACGACGATGATTTAAATTTTCCCCATCATTACCTTTTGTTGCTATTGGAGCTGATAAATCGGTAAATGAATGCGATTTTCGAATAGAAGACGTATCCACTAGTATTTCATTGTGAACTGTTGATGAACGTTGTCGTTTCAAAAATTTTGAATTTTGATCTTTATAAATTTGTCGTAGTAGATCTTCTTTTTTCGATTTGTTTCGCGTTTGATAATAACTGAAAGGTTTTGTAATGAAATAAAAATGTGCTTTATTATATGTAACATAAGTTTTAATTAGCGGATGTATAACTAAAACAAAATTCATTAATAATGCAATAATATTGATATCATTCTCAACAAAAGCTTCAATAATATTCACTAAAACATTCGCGATTTCTTCATCGATAATTATTTGTTGCTGTTCTTCGATAATTTCTTGGCATAGAGTTAATAAATGTTCAAGGGTAAAATGACTTTTAAATAATTGTCGATTAACGTAATAATATTTTGAATTCATTTGATCCGACAATAAACTATTAAAAGATTTTAATATACTATAAAATATTTCCGAATGACGATGCCAAATTTTCCAATCAAGTAAAATAAATCGAAATAAATTTATATCATAAAGACGTTGCTGATTTAATATAATACATTTATCAATGAGTAGTTCGTAAAATTTGTCCGATATATGACTTGTACATTCATCAGTGGTTAAAATTTTAACAATTAAAAGATAACCATCGAGTGAATTGAATAAATCATAGTAGGATTTTATTTTCCATATTGATGTAAATACAATATCACTTATATCACCAATACACGATGGTGTTGGATATGTATTGATTTCAATAAGTTTTCCAAATAAGTAAATGAAATTTAATATTCCACCTAATTGTTCGCATACGTTAAGAATATTACTTGATTGTTCAAGTGAAATTTTCGATGGTAAAGAAATCGTCGTGGTTATTGCTAATAAATTATCATCGTGGGTTGTTACTGATGATGGAGCTGCTATTGGTGAGGATGATGATGATGATGGCGCTGATGACAATAATGATAAATATTTATTTAAAAGACTTGGTGCAACATCTTCATTTGTATCGAGATTTGTACTAAATACAAATAATGTCCAAGGATTATTAGAAGAGTAGGAAGCTACGAGTGAACGTTTTAAAAGTGTATGCCATGAATTTTGTTCGTTTTCAAATTGATCGATTGGTATTGATGAATAAACACGACTAAATCTTTGATATATCCAATAATTAACAAGTGATTGTTGTTGTTGACCGCCTGTTAAAAAATGCCAATGATCGGAACCCAAACTAAATAAATATGTTGGGATGCAATCATTATTAATTGCGTTGAGAAAATCAACTTTATCAAAAAGAAGAATACTGCCAAGATCATAATAGAGTTTCGTGCATGTATCCAAAGATTGCTGTCCAAGCGAGATCGACCATGGTTTGGTTGAATTTGAAGAATATAATGAAGGTATCGAATGAATTTTGACTAGAGATGTTTGACCATTTAGACATATACGAACTGCATTTGTTGTTTTCGATATTGTAAGAAATATATGTGACCAAGATTCACGTGGAAGATTGCACAGGCGAACATTGAAATTAGTAGGCTCTAATAAATATATAAGCATGAGAGAAATCATACGTTTCTGTTTCGTATAGTTAATTTTAAACTATATATATATATTATTGATCGATTGCAACTCAAGAAAAAGTTGTCGCACTCATCTTTTGGGTAGCGAAAACGAATATCTTACTTTGATTATTTGATCCTGATGACAATTGTACAATTTTCAAACAAAGGTTTGGTTTTGAATCGAGCCAAAATTGTAATTGAATTCCTTCATGACTTAATGTAACAATATGTAACATGGGTCGATTCTCTTTTTTAATTGTTTCTTCATTTTCATCTTGATTTTCATCATTACTTTCATGTTTATCAAATGGATAATTAACTCTTAGCCAAATAGCGATAGTTAATGGAAAAATTAATTGAACTGATTTTAATGTTTCAGTTACAAATGCCGATTGACGAGCATTATAATTTATCGAAGAATCTGTTTGAGGATATTTCAATGAAAATAATTGATCGAGTGTTAAACGTAAATTATTTCCACCTTTTGATGTTACTATAGATGACAATGGCATAGAACAAAATGAACGTGGCTGATTGGAATCAATTTGATGTACAAGATGTTTAAATAAACGAAGCAACGGCCCGACTAATGAACGATGAATTAATATTAGTTTGAAACATTCATCAAGTTGATTAACTGTTATCGATTGTGACCATAAAAATTGTAGAAGCGTTATTATCAAAGAAATTAAGTTGTCTTTCTGTGCAAATGTTGCACGAGGAACAATTTTTGTTAGACAATTAAATAGATAACCGTCGATATTTGACTTTTTTAATATAATACAATTATAACTATTAGCACGAACCAATGATGATAATAATTCCAAGTAGGTGACAAGATTTGTTACCTTAAAATACAAAATAATTTACTACCAACGCACTCTACACATTTCCAAGACAACCTTGGTTGTGAACCTAAAAATGCTTTTAGTTTCTCGCTAGCTACTAACATTTTACTGAATATTCTTAACAATGATAACGATTGAGATGAGTAACTTACGTAAAGTGATGATTTATTTGTCGTTTGTTGATCACTCCATTCATGATCCACATTTTCCCAAGTAGTTTTCAATCCAATAATAACTAATTCCGGGAAAAGAATTAAATTTGAATAAATCGTTTGATTTTGTTTCGTCACTTTTTCTATCGGTACATCATCACTAAGTGATTCAATATCACCATAATAAATTTCATCTTCATCAATGCTTTGGTAATTTTCTAAATTAGCATCCGTAATAGATAATAATGGTGAGGTTGAATTTTCATCATCAGTTTCATTAGCTGCTGGAATTTTATGATTCGTCGAACTTTTCCATCGCGTTCGTTTATCTTGATATTGTTGAGATAATGATAAACGTACAAGTAATTCAAACCACGATCGAGTATAACGATGTTTTTCACTATAGAATGTTATTTGTTCAAGAATTAATTTATAATTAAAATTATTATCATTGGGTCTCGTATAATACGAAACCGATACAAGTACACTTTCGATTATTGATGATTGAATCGGTGATTTATTATTTAACATCAATTGGAAACGTTCAAACAAACGTAAATGACATAGATTTGAATAAAATGCTTGCCGAAATATTGTACATTTTTGAATAAGAATATTAAGTAAATGACATAAATTATCAATACCATCGTTCGATAATGACCATGATTTCGTTAGTTTAATAATTAAATAGAGAAATGATTCAGATATATTTAAATTTGAACAATTTGATGTTGATGTTAGTAAACAACCAAGAGCAGGCAATGTATGAATCAGTAGTGATGGTAATAATGTCGATAATGATATCAATGTATCAGATAATGATAATAATGGTATATCAGTAATAATATCAAATAAAAGATTAGGCAGTGTTTGAACAAGATATTCAATCATTTCTATGTTCGCTGTATTTTGTATTGAACGATAATATTCTAAAGATGGTGTTATACAAGATTTTAAAGCTAATTGCTTATCGACTATTGAGCAACATTGAATAAGATCTGGAAATGATTGAATTAAATTAAGGGAATAGTGAGATGGACGTTGAAATAAATGATTTGATAAGTATGACCAAAATAATGTATTATCTGGTATTTGTGTATCATGATGATGATGATGATGGTGGTGATGATGATGATGATGATTTCGTTGGGAACAACTGGATATAAGAAGAAAAGCTTGACGAAATAATTTAATAGATTGTTTCTCAAGTGATGTTATAATTTTCTCATCGGCTTTAAGATGATTGATTTTAGATAACAGGGTACGATAATGTGAAAGAGAGTAACATGAACATGAGCCAATAGCTGTTAAATAAGAGAGACAATCCTAAATTAAAAAAGGCATCATATTGATAATGAAAATAGGCTGATGAATCTCACTTGAATAAACGAAAATAATGGTTGACTAGATTCAAATTGTTTAATAGCTAATCGTAATATCTTCTCATAAATAGCATTAATAATACAAATACGTTTGATTTGATTATTATCATCATTGTTATCAGCTTTTATTTCAATATTTACGTCAAGACTATTCTTATTATTAATTATTATTTCAAACGAATTTTGATGATGATGTAATAAATAAGCTTGTTCATAATTATTCTCCCAATATGTTTGTGCAAGACGTGGATTTGGTTTATGCTGTAATTTTTCGGAACGACAAATTTTTAGAAGTTTTAATATAATTGCACAATGTTCAAGTAGCTGTTTTCCATTTGATTCGTTTTCTTTATCGATAGTAAGTAGATTAAATAGTAAAAAATAATCACTTGTTAAAAATTGATTGATTAAATTTAGTAAATCATTTGGGGTTCGCCGTTGAGCAGCAGAATTGACTTGAGCAATATTATGAAGCGTATTTTCAATTAATAATGCAAAACCTTGTAGAGTATCGAATCCTAATTGAACAAGAAATTTCGATGATGAGGATGATGATGATGAAAGATAATTGCCAATAATTGCTATTATTGAGCCAATGGGATTAGTTGTAAAACTATTGGTAAATGCTGATGGTTGAAACGAAATAATCTGGCGGAAAATAAGAAGCAGTGAACGAATTTTTTTCTGATAAAACCAGACAACTTTATAATCAGTTGTTAAATTTGGAAGTACAATATGAGCAAATGTTTGAGCAATGTCAATATGAACATTATTTGTTTCTGATGGAGATACATTTAATGTATGATTATCATGATTCGAAGGAAATTGAAAAAGACGAACAATTGTATCAAATAGATAATTTAATGTTTCAAATATATTTGATGTTTTATATTTAGAATAATCACTTTGTTCTTGATTAAAATGTGTATGTATCGATGGGATATTATGCAAAGCTGAAAAATATTAAACATATATTTCCACACTAAACAATAAAAATCAGCTCTACCTTGTTCTGCATCATGATCAGTGATATGTGAATAACAAATAGGTATTAAATTGATAAGAAAACGACCCAAATCACGGCATTGAATAGGATTAAATGTGGTCTAAGACACATGAAATAGAAATTTATAATTATCAAAATGTATTTCACTATTTACATGTATTTCACTATTGAGCACTTGTTTTAGGGAGATAAGTCCATTATTACTTAAATATTCTATTAATTCCGATTCGTTGTCTGTCATACATATTCGCTGAACGTTTTTGTAGAATAATATCAACTGTGACATGATTATTAATCAATACAAATAACAATGAAAGATATGAAAAAAAAATCGGCATATCTAGAACAATAAATTGAATGTCGCTACTGCTTGAAATGCAAATGTCCACGTTTTCATAACGAATAATATATCTTTTATTGAATATTAGAAGTCTTTCGAACCCTTTGAGTTGGGTAAGTTGTGCGTGATACCCTCAAACTAAATAAAGAAAGTAAAAACACACGCCATACTACACTACTACAAGCAAAATAAATTGTGATTGGTAGATTCGTACCATTCGATTTACTTTTAAAAATAAAAATTAATATGAATATAACATATTTAGTGATAACATTTTTCCTTAATCAAAAAATAAAATTGAATCTGGAAATTTAATGAGTTATGTTCATTCGCATCGACAGTAGCGACAAGTATATGTTCTACTTTTAGCGAAATCTTACGGAAATCAATTGTTGTAATATGTTCACTTTAGCAAGTCAAAAATAGTATGAGTGTATGCTTGAAAATTTTCCCTCTACTATTTTTAGTTTTTTATTATCTTGAGATATATATCGAGTGAGTATTGTGTCGATAACTTCAAGAAGAATCTCGAATAGTTCGCTTTCTTCTTGCATGCATTGGATAACATCTCAAATAAATAAGTATGACGACAATGATAAATATATTTTGTTATGGGGAAAATATATAAAGGAATCCTTTTGCTAATATGTGAGTCTCATATGAAGAATCACTTGCAGTGTTTAAGTGTCATGGTGATGGGCGAGTTTTTCTAGCTTTACTGTTTATTTCAGATACTCAGTCCTATCTTTCATGGCACATTCTGCAATCAGAGTTAGTTCTTTTTCCATACTGTTGAATTTTCGAGATTTCATAATTCAATCTAGTAGTTAAAATTTGGATAACTTCTTTGCCATATTTCACATTCGAAGTCTTTAGAACTGAGAGAATATAAAGAGTGCGGGTACGATTATTAGCCTTAAACTAACACCTACACCCTATACTTATTAGTCAATATACTAAATGTGTTTTCGATAAACTTTTGATCTTTATTGAAATTATTATTTGAATAGAATCAAATAATTGAATTTATATTAATTTTTATAAATATTAACAAGTTCTGTATAAAACTAATAGATGTATTGTATAAATTCATTAGATAGAATCACAACGAACAGAAAACAATGGTCTATTGTTTAGCACTATTTCTTATATAAGCTGACGAGTTCAGTCACTTTTGATTATTTTTCTAGTAAATGTGCATATAAATATAATAAAAAATGTCTACGAAATGATCACAACATGAACGCATTTTTAGTATAAATGGGAGAGTTTCGGAAGACAGAAGACAAAACTTAAGTAATGTCGTTATATAATGATATTTTATTTTTAAGAAACTTTCGAAATATTTATTAATTTTGTTTCTGATTCTCGTTGAAAATCAATAAAATATGTTGTAACAAAGCGAAGTTAAATTTCATGCTGGCTTTTATTTGAACCTGAAACTCTAAGGATATGGTAGGGTGTAAAATGAAAAATCTCTGTGATAGGCGGGCAGGGCTAGGGTACAAAAAAAGCCTTAGCCTGCAAGACTCTACTATCGACGAAAATTAAGTCCATTCAAGCGTAACAATAAGCATCAAGAAATCAAATAAAAAGTGATTGAGTTTATTTTCTTGTTCAGTCTGCTACGTCTGTAATGAAAGACACTAAATAAAATGCCAAGAAATAAAAAACAGGTCATTGTTGAAAAAGCTATTTTTCATTATATAACTTTCAATGCAATCTTTATTTATTTTATTGTGAAGAATCTTTTATGCTTAATTCTATATTAAATATGATGTTGTTTTCTGGTCTTGATAGCATAATTCAAAATCACATAGGCTTGTTTCTTTTTCATTTTACATGCCATTGGTCTATTCAAATGAAAAACCACATACATTGGTTAACATGAATAAGATAGATAGGGTTTTACCCTTTGCAGTCATCTGGGTTAGTCGAGCGTATGAAAGTGTCAATTTGTATACGAAGAGTAACGCATTTGAAGTATAACTCGACGAAAAATAACTAGATTTATTGGGGTTCGATATATGTTTTTTTAGTATGCCGCTGCGTAAACGGTTTACATGCTGTTATAGAAGAAGTCATGAATTAAATACCAATAAATCAGATATTGACGATGATGAAAATGGGAGAGGAGAAGAAGGCGAAAATTCAAAATTGATAGGTCGTGATAATGCGGATACAAGTCATCATTATGGAACAAAACTGGTCTATTTTGCTTGTGAACAACTAGGGATGAGCAGTGTCGGTGTAAATACTGAAAAACTGATCACCGACTACACCGACACTGCACATTCCTATGAACAACCAAAGTAAAATGTGCTCGATATTCTGTAATGTACAAGCAATGCTCCTCAATCACTCAAATATTGCATGATTAAGCAGATGTTTCAAAGATTATTTTCTATTGATGCAAACATATTCAAATCCTATGTACTCGAATAAAATAACTTATACAATCCAAGTATGTGCTACCTAGGGATGTGCAGTGTTGGTGTACTGACCATCGACTTGCACCGATGGTGTGTCCAGTGGAGCACTGACTACACCGACCGTGTGCGCAGTGGAAAACCCCCCCCCCCGCACATTGTCATCGGTGTCACTGAAACACTGAAGATAGGGACACTGATGGCACCGCCATCGGTGTCCAGTGAAACACTGATCCACCGGTATCTTTCTGATTGACTAAAGACTTCAATCAATAAAAAGTTGTCTGTGTGTCAGTGGTTCACTGATCATCAGTGTATGAACGTCGGTACCAGCGGCACTGATTACAGGGTGACCGGTGTTTCACTGGGCGCGCCATCAGTGTAGTCGGCGATCAGGTTTTCAGTATTTACACCGACACTGCACATCCCTAGTGCTACCTTTTTGTTGGAAAAACTCATCTAAACTAATCGACCTACATCCTGAGCTATGGAAAAAAATTGACTATTTCATATACTAAAAGAAGATCTGGCGCACATTTACGACATATTCTGAGTGAATGGATATGATCGAGTCTTTCTCTCTATTTGAATATTTTTCATGCAAAAACAACTTATCACTACTTTCCAGTTTATCTACGTTTTGTAATCATCTTCTCTTTTACTGTCATTCGTTGAAAGATAAGTGACAAGATATGATTATCGTACTTTACATCGAATTTATGAAGGAAGAAGCTGCTCAGCAAGAATACGTGATTTCAGCCAGCAAAAAGTGTGAAATAGAAATTATTTTAATAAGAATCAACGTATTTAATTATGTAGATGTTAGTATCCAATCTCGGTTTCCATTCAATCTGAGACCAGTCTAGGCCAATCTTGGATTCGAAAATGGTGGCGCCCAATATCGGGTTGGGAAAGAACTTTTTGTTAAAATTTCTATTAATCTCTATATAATAGATGTTGAATTCAAAATATTTTTGGTGAACTGTGTTGAAACAATGGCAGTTCAGGCATTACGATCTTCGACGAAGAAACTAATTTCGTACTCAAACGCTGGTGGATTTATTTTTGCATAAAAGCTGCTCTTCTATAGAAACTTAACCATAAATTCACAAATCCTATTGTAATTTCTTCATCGACGATTGTGTTACTTGAAATGGCATTGTTTTTCAACATAGTTCATCAGCAACAGTTTGAACGCGTCTAAAGTGAGAATATCAGATTAGTCTATGTGGATTTGAAATTGGACGTTAATATATCAACATACATGTTACAAGGAGAATTAAAACCACTTGTAATTCTAAATTCACCGTATAGGAAATTAAAATTCTAATCATTCTCCAACATAAGGTAAAATTATTGGCTGTAGGCTATTGGGTCTGGTCTTTACTTCACCCACTTTTGTTTTCTGATAAATAGTTAATTCATCACTTAAGAATTCTATTCTATTACATGGTAGAAAACGATACGCATAGTATAATAAATATGTGATGCATCTAAGGATAATATTTAGTTTGAATATTGAATATTCAAACTGTCAAGAAAGATTAACTCTATTCATAACTAAATCTAAAAATTGATCACATGTTTTACGAAATCACTCATTAAAGTGAGTGAATTCATATCTATTTTTGTTTCTTACAACATATTTATGATAATTATAGATTTTTACAGTGGAAAAAGAATGTATAGAATTTATCAAGCCAGTAACAACTGAAGTTTTTGTTGTAATTGATGGAGTACCACCGACACCTCTTATGGAAGGCATTGAACCATTAAAACAAATTGATTTCGTATTTTTCTATACTCCTCAAAATGATGCAGTAACTGATGTAGCAAAAGTAACACATGGTTATCTTATTAATTTATGTGAAACAGAAGAAGTGCTCATTGATAGTTTAAGAAAATCTTGTGAAGAATTGGATAAACAAACAGCCGCATTTAGTATATATAATAGGAAGGGAAAATCAACTCGAGATCTTTCAAAAGAAGCTGGTTCATTTCTATTTTTTCAATTGTTAAAAAATGTATTAAAAAATATGCCAAAAACGACTGAAGCAAAAAAGACTATGTTTACAGTATGCCGAAATTATTATCGTGGAAATTTAACTGAATTAAAAAATATTGATGACTTTGATCTAACATATAAATCAGTTGATGCTATCCCGTGGTATACAAAAAAAACATTTATTTATAAGTAAATATCTACGAAAAGCAAAAACAATAATAGACATTCTATTTTTTATTTTTAGATTGATTAACAAAGCACTTCGCATAGAAGATGTTGATGTCTTATATCAACTTTGTTTTTACATTATGGATTTAAGTGAACAACTTGAATTGAAATTTCAAGAACTTAAAGCAAAACAAAAAGATGTTTTAAAACTTTATCGTGCTCAAAAACTAAGTCCCGATGACGCAGCAAATTTTCAAAATAGCATCGGAAATTCGATTTCAATCAGCTGTTATTTATCAACAACTAGTGAACATTCAGTTGCATATGGTTTTGCAACAAAATCTGCCAAAAGAGAAGACACTGTACGAGCTTTATTCGAGTATACAGTTGATTTAAATACTGTTCAAAATATCGTCATTGCTGACATAGGAAAATATTCAGCATTTCCAGAAGAAGCTGAACATATATTTGACTTTGGTAAGAAAATTTTATTTGAGATCGTTAAATTTATGTATGTTGACAAAACTAAAGAAGCAACGATCAGAACACAAACTATTTAGAATATCCTGATGTCCAGATCATTTTCTACCTCGAATTTAATCATCAATCTGAAGATTCGATCTTGTGATTCAATCTATTGAAGTACTAACATGGAGATGAGAATAATAACATTTGTTGATTATGAAGTCAAATGTATAGGGAACTAAGAGTTACTTACGTTAGTATCCTACTACAATTACCGAATGTTCTAATTACTGCGAATTCAAAAATTTGTTTCTGACAATGGAATAAACAACTGTTGTCTAGTTGCTTTTTTTATTAAGGACTTTTCAATGATGGGATAACATTAAAACTCCACGAAATAATATATTTCGATTGAGAATCTTAAAAATATTTTTATTTGTGCTATCAACATAGAAGACTTCATATATTGTTTAATAGTTTAAAACATGTGAAACACTGTTACGATACTTTTGATTATAATGTACACATCAGAGAGATTTTAGTAATGTCATTCTATAACCTACCTTAATATATTACAAAAGACATTATTACTTTCTTTTATAAGGGCATCATTTCAAATTGATTCTGGTGAGTTCAATCCAGTCGCTGATTTATGACTTTTCAAAGTACATGCAATTGATCAAGGTGCTGTTTTATTTGCTGAATATCTGGTGTATCACAAGAGAAAGATAGCTGAATTGAATATAGTTCTCATGTTGGGTAATTTACTTCTCGAGATGGATGAATATTTCAAAGTCGAAAGATATTTTGATAATCTCGTCAATTCTTCAAACCCAAGTGATGAACAAATTGTTTGTATATTTTTTAATTTTGATCGTACTTATAGATTAAAAGGTGACTTTGTTCGTGCCATAAATTATTATAATCGTGCAAATAATTTACATTTGTATGCTCGCCCAAAACGATTAGCAAGTGCTGGAAAAAATTTAAATGGTCTTGGAGTTGTTTATATGGAACCAAGACGACAACTGAAAGCCGAAGAATGTTTTCAACAAGCTATAAAATTATATAAAAAAGTCTTCCAAAAAAAATCATATTGATGTTGTTGGAATATTAATTAATTTGGGTGCTACTGATTGTGATCGTCAAAATGTAAAATAGAAATTTTCAAAATTTTCTAGTTCATTTTTCTTCATATTTTATTGAGTATGATCGGGCCAAAACTAAATTTACAAAAGCAAAAGAAATTTATAATCGTGCTCTTCCACCAGGTCATCCAAAGCATGCATTGCCGAGAGTTAACTTTCGTAATGTTTATCTGTCGGCTGGAGAATATACAAAAGCCTGTAGTGAATATGAATCTGCATTAAAATTACAAGAAGCATCATTACTAGGCGATCATCCTGATATTGGTCGCAAGCTGCATAATCTTGCGGTTGTTCATACATGTCTAGGAAATATGAACGAGCAGAAGTCATAGTAAGTTATACATTATCACCGAAACATCCAATCATGGGGCTAATTAATAAAACTAAACAACTTATGACAGACGAAGCTGAAGACTCTCTTCACGACTGAAAAGGATAATCGAATTTTTCGAATTTTAACAGGTTGTTTTTCTGTATTTCTTTATAATCATGAAAAGTTCAATATAAAACTTTAAAAATCTAATATTCGCATACTTCATCCGCAAATCAAATATCATCTGATCCTTTAAAGAGAGAAAAAAGATCATTTTAAACATTAAATAAAGTCCATATCAAAGAAATTTTACTTCATGCAATGAAACGACATACATCTTGAGTTAGTAAAATCAATTCATCTTTACCTTATATTCATTGTAGTATGAATTTCATATGCCAAATTTAAATGTATTGGAGACTTTGGTCTTATTATATGTGAGTTAAATCTTCTCCAACCCAGGTCGAAAAATCTGATGTAAGATCTTGCAATCCGGACGTCAGATCTTACAATCCGAACGAAAGCATATAAGAATCAGACAAAAAATCGTCGTCTCTGAAATCTTGCATCAGATCATACTATATTTTCTTTGAAGATCGCGCGTGCAATTTATTTTCAATACAAATTTAGCGTGATATTTTAAGGAGATATTAGTTTAATTAAAATATCACAGTGAAATTTCTATAGGTAACAGAACCTTTCAAGAATCTTCTGATACGACTTAGTGTAAGAAATCAGAGACGACGATTTTGCGTACGATTTTTCGCCTGATCTTACCAGATCAGATATGATCACACGTATGATTCTTGTAAGATCTTACCGTCTTGTTTCTCGCCCTGGGAATGAATGTTAGTGAGTGGCACAGTCGGCAGCTTTTGTATAGCAGGTGGGCATGTCATTTTTGCGGATGTGGGTTTCATTCATCTCTTTCTCTACATTTACGCCCACGCACGGTTGTGGATGAATGCAGAAAAGTGATCAGCACACCATTGTTGACTCCAATGGTGTATGTAAGGACTAGCACCACCCTGTTGATACGTCCAGTTACTTCCCAACATGCTGTTGCTACACTTGAGAGCTACTGGAAGGATTTTCTTGATTTATAGTGTGATGGATTCACCTGTTATACACTCATCGCTGGGAGCAGTGCCTCTCGTTATCATTATTCTTTCTTTCGCTGTTCTCTTTCTCTCTCTTTCGCGCACACATATAAATACCCTTGTTCAAGTGTTGTTCATAAGTCATTCTTGACTCAATCTATCTATTTCCTCCCTTTTTCGTTGTAATCCTTCCATAATATATGAAAGAATAAACCACAAGTAACTCAAAACCGTTACAAACATCCAACCCCATAATATAGATTGATTTGCCATGTGACGATTTCTTTGGTTCAGATGAAATCTAGATCATGGTAAATAAAGGCACGTCTTACTGATGTCATATTCTAGCATGCGACTATAGCAATGTACTCTGTAGAAAAATTTGTTGAGACTTTTATTTAGACGACAACAAAAAATAAAAAAGTTTTTTCGTGGAAAGAAATTCGACCTAAACTTTTGATCGGCAGACCGGGCAGTCATTACTTCCCACAAGCCAAGCCTGAATACATTTTGAATGAAAGTAGTGACTGCATCGTGGTAGGCCATGGACACATTCACCCTTCACGTAAGTATCCATACAAATAACACAGGAGCAATCCTCCTTGTTCACGTATTTATCATCAATCGTCCAACTGAGTAGATTTTTCTTATTTGTCACAGATGGTACTGGACTGGCTATGGTTGCTGCACTGGCTATGGTGGCTGCACTATCACTAACACTTGAAGCTGCGGAGGAAGCCGACAAATCATTTGTGCGCATTTGTTGAATTCGATTTTGACGTTCTCTTCGATGTTGAACAAATGTACCTTTTAGACAAACAATAATAAAACACAATTGTTTTAAAATCACAGTTTTCTTGATGAACTAAAATGAATAGCTTACCAGAAAAGTTGTGCCACGCCATCATGATTCCATCGTTGGTTGGCCTGCCGCTTACAGTGAAAATGCGTACTTCAACAACAAACTGCGTAGCAATCGGACGTTTGCCATCACTTCGACGGTTTCTTACACTGACTCGTAACGGAGAATCTGGCATTTCCCATTCGTACATATGTTCACGTTTCTGACTTTCAAAGTCTGAACGGAGTATAAATTTGAAAGAGCCACTTGTATCAGGCGGCTTTGTTTCACTTTTATGTCCCTAGTACAGCAAATGTGTAAAGCATGTAAGATCAGAAAAGTTTGCTTTGAGATTTTCTTTAAACAATCTACAGAGACGCGGATGAGGAAAGGTAGATTTTCGAATCAAGAAATAAAAGAGGACTACCACCTTTCTAACTCATAGAAGAAATAACTTGAGGGTGTGGGTGTTAGTTGTCTCTTCGTTCACCCACACCCACAGACAAATTAGGGTGATACACGTGCGAGTTTGAGCCGAGCTTTTGATGGAAATTTCATAAAAATCAGAGAAATTTTTGTCCAAAATTTGCATTACTTTCTAAAATACCCACTCTAAATGCAGCACGTTTTCTTCAGAAGGTAAACAGTATTCACGGTTTCTCTTTTGTTAGGTCCTTCCTTCATCAATAGAATCGAGAAAGAAATCTGCATATAATGGAATAATCTGTCAGCCCATAACAAGCTATATTTAAAAATAATCGAAACAATGAACTACTGTGTAACTTACATGATAGTCTGCCATGATATGTCCAGCTTGTCGAATTTCATCACTTTTGTGTGAAATTTGAAAGAATTGTTCTGGTGTCAAAAGAAGCGTACGCTCTTCACCAGACTGGATTATCTTTTTCAGCTCAACATGAATATGGCCGTTAGCATGAGTTAAATTAATATGCGGTGCATGATCACCTGGAGCTTCGGTAAGTCGTACGTAAGGGGCATGTCGGTGGCGGCGGAACATGTTATTTTTTTAGTGGAGACTTCTACTAGAGACTTGTAAGGAAGTTTGTGCAAAATGTGAAGCAAACAAAAAAGAGAAAAATGTTGACTGGCAGTCACGAATTTTAAAAAAAAATCTCTGCTGGTGCTATTTTACTTTACACCTTTTTGTTTTTTCTTTTCTTTGTTTTAGTCGGCTGTAGCAGAAAAATCGAAGCATGACCTCTCAGTGTATATTATTATCAGAAAAACAAAATTTTTTATTTATTAATATGTGGAAGATTTCACAAAAACATATGAGCTACATACAGGTATTCATGTGATACGATTAGGTGTGTAAGCCGACGCGTCAATCGGCAGCGACGGCGAAAGCATTTTATTTTTTTTAAATTACGACGGTTGCTAGCCTAAATTTGGTTGTGGGTGTGGGTGTGCAGGAAAAGAACACCCACACCCACATGCAAACGTACAGTTGGTTATTTGAACTATGCAACACACCCACACCCACATCCACCCACAAGTATCGAACATTTTCATCAAAATTGCCTTTCCCAGACAAAAACCCTTCTGTAACTTTAAATTTAAAATTTTTTAAGTTGAACTTCTAAATATTAACTCACTTTTTTAGTTAAACAATGGGACAAATACTATTCTTTTCACATTTAGACTACTACACCTTTTCTTTAGCCTGTATATCAGATTATTTCTCAAGTTCAACTGCTACCCATAGGTGTGACTACTCCAAGGGGTAAAGTGCTGGCTCCAAGCACCAAAATTTACCTTAAAGTGCTGAAGGTGCTGAAAGGTGCTAAAGGTGTTAGTAGTTGTCGAAAAGCTACAGAAAAATAAAGGAGTAGTATACAACAGGATGGCTTAATTCTCTGTTAAACTCATTGTTTTTCCACAATCATGCTGAATACACTAATTCCATAATCAAATCAGAGGTGTGCCAAATTAGAAACCTGACCACTAAAAAACCAGCACTTAATGTTATTAACTTAAGAGCCATCATTGAATTCCGATTATTTTCCAACAGTTTACTGTGTATTTTTTTATGAAAAATCAATTTTTAAAATCTGGGGTACCTACCCCTCAAGGATCGAAAAAACGTTTCATTCTAATTTTAGTGCGAGTAGTTATATTTCGATAAAGTTAAGTTTCCTGATCACAAATATCATCTTAGATTTTAGAATTCATTGGATACAAAGAAAGATCTGAAGCACTCTCGGGAAGACTTAAAAACAACTATTCGCTCAAAGGTCCACGAATATTCGCTTTATACTGTTTGAAAATAGACCACTTCGATACAGAATGTTTTTGCCTATCAGAGTATATAAGAACGGCTTAGATATTCAAATTTTGTTTTATCGATAAATACTAAATACTGCCCCGATTGCGTCATGCAGTTAGAAATAATGCTATTCTCGGTTTTATAAAGTGTACCATTTCGAAGTTTACCAGCATGATTGTCTTACCAGATACGTATTTAAATGTGCTCTTGATAGTGAAAAAGTTTTCAACTTAAAACTTGATGTAATGTAAAGCGTTTTCGCTCCAATACTAGTGTTGGAATCGAATTTCTGTCAGTGCTTGCCTGATACTTGATAGTTTCAAAAAGAATAATTCCTATGCGACTGAATATAAATATTATATTTGTTTTAAGCACAAAATCTAATTCTGTTTCATTTTTTTTACAACATTTGTTTTCGGTCAGATTTTTACGTCTGGTCCCCGCCATGGATAACGAAAAACAAACTTACCCCAAAAGCAGAGATGTCATAATATCCTAACACTGGGTATCGTCGACATACCAGTCACGATATCCATTCAAGTGGATATCTAAAATGGATACTAAAATGAATACCCATGTTCCCCAGAGCTGAGGAATTTCAGTGCATTTGGTGTAACGAGAATGGGTATCGGAAATGGATACCCTATTGTAAAAATACGTGACTTTATAATTATAAATAAGGAAACGTGATGCTATGTTAAAATTTATTATATTCATGTAGTCAGCTTTATGCCAAAGTTTATCGATATATACAGATTTGTTTAATGAGCCTTGCAGATAGCGTGCAATCCCAAGTAAATGTTCGTTGAAGAACTTCATTTTTACCTGATACCAATTTATTACGACTTTCATCAAAATCACTCAAGGGAATCGGGTTGAAACAGTAGCATGCTGTGTAGTTGGTGTTGCTGTGGATCGTCAAATGCATGTTATTTGAATTGTGGCTTATATTAATTTGATTGAAGTAGGACCTGACAGCAGGAAAATTTCCGGTACCCAATCTCGTTACACCAAATGCACTCAAATTCCTCAGCTCTGAGGATACGTAGATGTCCATCCAATTGAGTATCCTATCTGGGTATTCATCTCGATACCCAAGTTGTGGATATTATGACATCCCTCTCCAAAAGTCATGTGGACAATGTGAATAGTTTCCAAACTTTGGGAATGCTGTTTGAGATAAAGTAGATCAATTAATAATCAATCAAATAGTTGTTTTGAATAAAATATTTTGTTTTCAGATGAGCCTGAAGGGGACCAGGCGTAAAAATCTGACCGATAACAAAATTTGTAGAAATAATTAAATCGAATTAGATTTTGTGCTTAAAACAAAAATAATATTTATATTCAGTCGCATAGGAATTATTCTGTTTGAAACTATCAAGTATCAGGCAAGCAATGACAGAAATTCGATTCCAACACTAGTATTGGAGCGAAAACGCTTTACATTACATCGAGTTTTAAGTTGAAAACTCTTTCATTAGAAAGAGCACATTTAATTACGTATCCGATAAGAAAATCTTACTGGTACGCCTCGAAAAACCTACTTCATAAGGCTGAGAAAAGCAGTATTTGTAATTGTATGACCCGATCGAAGCTGGTATTTAAAATTTATCGAGAGAAAAAAGATTGAATATCTAGGTTGTTCTTATATATTCTGACAGAGAAAAACATTGTGCATCGAACAGACCTATTTTCAAACAGTATAAATCGAATATTCATGGGTCCTCAGGTCAGAAACTGTTTTTAAAGCTCTGAGAGAGTGCTTCATATCTTTCTTATTATTCAATAAAATTCAAAACTGAGACAATAGTTGTAATCAGAAAGCTTAGCTTTATGAAAATATAACTATCTATATTAAAACCAGAAGAAAAAAGTTTTTTCGACCCTTGAGGGGGGCTCCAGGTGTTAAAAATTGATTTTTCATGAAATACGAAATAAAATTGGAAAATAATCAGAATTCAATGATGATTTTCAAGCTAATAAAATTATGTGCAGGTTTTTTTTACCAAGGAGTATGGTATTTCGTACAATGTTTTTTTGATACCTGAGACAAAGCAGAAGCTGTACAAATGAAATGGTGATAAAATGAAAAATAAACTTCTGAAAAATAATCAGAGCTCAGTGTTAGTTCTTACACTAATAAAAGAAGGATCAAATTTTTTGGTATATCATATTGCAATTTGATATACGGTTACTTTCGAAGGATGGTTTTCTTTTTCTGTTGACTTTTTTATTCTGAAATAAATCTCATTCAGATTCTGTGAATAATTCAAGAAAAAATTCCCCTCTACTATTGAAAATGAAAGTAGTTTTTCCGATTCATTTCCATACGACTGAAGTAAATCTCGCTATAGAAAAGGTGCTGCGGGTGCTGAAGGTGCCGAAAAGGTGCTGAAGGTACTGAAGGTGCTGAAAAGGTGCTGAGGTGCTGGGGGTTCCAAACCTGCACTTTCCCCCTTGGTCATGATTCGACGATGAAACTCATTATTATTTTATTGACATACTATACTTCGAAAATATGAAAATAGCTTACTCAGTCAATCTCTTCGTACAAATCACTCGAAGTTGTATAATAATCGACTTTTTCAAGTTTCTTCTGTGGTCTTCCAGTTTTTCGTCGGGGAATTACTTTACAAGAATAGAAAGATGTTTACTCATTTTTTTCTCTCATCTTTCAATAGTACTAATGTTCATTAGTGTTTTTCATTATTCTATTCACGTATGAAAATTGGGTTATCTTCTTCTCTTTGATGATTTGTGCTGTTCTGAAGAAACGACTTTTCGGTCTTGCTTGTTGAAGAATACTTTTCCTAGAAGAATACTAATGTGTTCAAAAAGACAAAGAAAAAGGAAGGAAATTACTCGTCATTTTTTTCTATGCCTCGCCTATGATCTAAATCATATTCGCCTACTCTCTCATTTTTTAATTACTGTAAATGTGACATGACAGTTATAAATATTATGCCCTTTAGATAAGACCAAAACTACAACTCTGTTATATTACTTTTAAGTAAATGATTGAAATGAAAGCGTACAGTTAATATAGAAGCATCATATAAGATTTCTTTTTCCTCGTTCTGATTCATAAGTACGTGCATGCTAGATAGATTCTCAGCGGCAAGTACACAATCAAGAGTATGATGTCAATGATTTTTCATATTATTGTTGATCTTTATATTAATCATGATAATCATATAGAATTATTAAGTGGCTTTTTTTTGTTTCGCTTTTATTTAATATTTACATACACATATATGCATAGTGACAACAAAAATAGGAAAAAAACAAAACACTGAATGTTCATTAATTTGCTATTTAGTTTCGTTGATTTTGATATTGTTGTAGAGAATGAAAATCCATAGGCACGTTTGTTGTTTGCTGACCAGGAAGAGGAAAAAATGGAGGAACCGACGATGGAAATGTTTGTGGAGTTGTTGAATTAAACCAAACTTGAGATGTTACCGGTGGAGTTAGAACTGCCGAGGGAATCGTTGGTTGAAGGCGTTTCATCAGTAGATTTTCAAAGGGATTTGATTGTGATAGTTGATTTGATTGTTGAGTCGAATTTGTCGTCATTGTAGTTGTTGTTGTTGTTGTTGCAGTTGTTGATGATGATATTGCATTTGGATCTGTAAGTTGTCGTAATGTTTGTGTAAGCATTTCAATACTTTTTTCAAAGCCAGTTGATTGTGAATGTTGAATAAGCAAATCAGTTATTAAATTCACATCTATCATCGGTGTTTGCTAAAGATAAAATTAGATTTAATAATTTTTTAGTCCAACATGTCTTTGTTTAGTGAATAAAGCGTACTTGTAATGTTGTTCTACTGTCACCATTAACTAATGGTGATAAATTTGAATTATCTTTATTGGATCGCTCGTCAGCATCATCAAAATATTGTTGAGATGATTGATAACGATGATGAACATGTTTACGGTTATGACGAGGATCAGCACGTGTTGTTCGGACAACTTTTTAAAAGAAAATAAATGTTATAAATCATAGTGTTTGAAAACAAATGTGAATTTATTTACTTGCTGTTCTATCTGAAGGTGATTTGGCTATAGATTTAAACGTCAATATTTATCTTAATATAAAACAGTATAATACTTACAATTATTCTCTTCATTATCAGATAAATCCATATCAGTTTGACGATAATCAGGAGGTGTATTTCCTATGTAATGAATATCAGAATTATTACAGATTTATTTATTTTAATGTTTGATACAATCAAAAGGAATTATTTTGCGTACTTCTTGATAATTTAAAATTAGAATTATAAATTTAATGCCTTTCAGTTAAATATCTATGGGATGATATTCGGCAACAATGAAAGTCTTTTATTCTCGTAGGAGAAAAAGAAATTTAATTAGCTAGTCAAAGAAAAACACCTGATGAATGTGTCTCAACTGCAACCTGTCAACTCTATCACACAACCGTAGCTTAGATATTATTATATCGCAATTTATAAGTCAAGCAGTCTGGCCTCTCACTATAAACTGAGTATTAAAAAAAAACATCAAATCAATTCATTGCCTTATGAATTACGATCGTTACAGTGTATAATATGTACTTGAAATGGAAACTCATCTGTCTCATAAGAAAAGAATGATTCATTGGTAAAAAGAAAATAGTTATTCTCTCTTCTGTGAATTTTCGAAATTCTAAGTAACTCCTCATCATCTTGATGAATATAAAGTTACGCTCAGTAACACGATAAAAATTTGTTTACAAATTTGATTTTTCCTATCGGCGAGACGAAATTAATTTATTCAGAATAAAATTCTAGTAAAGTCTACAAGATGCTTATGAGACAAAAGACAATTGAACATAGAACAATTTCAAGCTGCTCAAAGGAAACTAATCGAAATTCAATATAGGCCTTGTCTACACTAGAAAGATGATGCGGCATTAATTCGAATTAAATCTACGTACGTCTACACTTATAAGTTTAATGCATCAATCAGAATTGAGACGTAACCGCTATAATGTAGTCTGAACGTATAAACTTAGCACATGTTCAGTAAAGAAAAAGTCGCTTGTGCCTCTTTTTGATGATTAACGACAAATGACGAAATTTGTCATCAAAATATCTACTTTTCTAACTTATTTCTTTCAACTATAGTTTCGTTCAACATTCTAGGGTTCTTAATTTTTATACTTCACCTCCTGTTCTGTATAAAATATCTATTTATCGATAATATACAGCGACCTTATTGAGGCCTGTCTGAGACTCTAATTAGTCCATCAAGTTCTTTATCGATTGGTGCATTAAATCTAAATTAACTTTTCAACCAACCATGTTTCTTAATTCAGCATTAACTTTTCTAGTGTAGACAAGGCCATAGTAAACAGAATTCTCATTGGTAAACATTAAAAAAACAAGATTTTATTCTTACCAGGTGATGGGACATTATCTGCCGATGGTGGTGATATAGTTTCCGGTAAATCTCTTATTACACTATCAAGTTTTTTCTTTAATGTTGCTACTTTATCACCAAAATTCTTGTATGCCTGTTAAATAATAATATGAGAAGGTTTTTGTATAAAATAATGATACAAACTTCGACAACAATATTGGCATCTTGATATTGTGCATCATAAAAGATTTCTGCTTGTTTGCAATGTTGCTTAATAGTTTTTCGTTCTTGTAAAAGACGTTCAAAATATCGAATATATTCTTGAAATTTCTCTCGACTATTTTCATATTCAACATAATATGCATCGGTGGACGTTTTATCTAAAAAAAAATTTGCTATTGTGTCTTGCAAAATGAGCTTATCTTCTGTTTTACCTTTTAGTTTACGAACATTTTCAACTGACATTCCATCAATAAGTTTTAATTCATTGTTTATCATTTGTTCTTTAACAAGTGTTTCACTTTCAAGCTGTTTAAAACGAATCAATGTTTCACATAAGGATTTTGGCTAAACATAAATAATATTCTATGTGTTCGCAAATGAGAAAGTTCTGTATTTTGGCTTACTTGAAATTCAGCAATAACACGAGTTACTTCTTTATCTTTTTCATACACTTCAGTACCAAGAAGTTTTTTTAATAATTCATCAATAAAATCTTCATCGTAAACGCCACGTTCGCGCCAGATTTCAAGTATACGCTGAACCTTCTTTCTAATACCATTTTCTTTGACATACAACATTGAAGAATTTAAATAGGGTTTAAATGCTTGTTGATAAACTAATGCATTATGTTTTTTACCATTTTGAATTACGTCGTTTGCAACATAAAATAAAGTTAAACGATGCAATGGTTTTGATTTTTTTAATACTTTAAACCATGTTTTTATTAAATGCTCATGTTGTGAACGATGATATAGAATCCATAATGATAATGTTTGAACACTTTCTTGAGTACTATTCACAGTTGTAAGACGCTTTTCAAAACTTGACGATGATGAATTAGAATCATCAGTTGTCGTTGTTGTTGCAGCCATATGAGAAGAAAAGTTAATTGAACGAATCTATCACTGTTCTCGATTAAAAAACAAAGAACGATAATTTTTGATTGATAAATATCAAAGACTTGATTGGATACTGTTGTTTAAAGAGTTCTCGCTCGCTGAATGGAAATCGGATGATAGGACGAGATTGAGAATGGAGGATATACCAATTGGAATAGGGTGGTGAGCCATAGTTTATTTACAGACCAATGGAATATATTGCAGAATAATATATATAAGAATTCTGTTGGAAACTAGCGCCCTCTGGCCACGTCAAATACATGGATACATAATCTTATTCACTAAAATGAACAAAACCAAAATTTATTCTATTTGAATTCTTTTTCGGTTGAAGAATATTGTTCATAATTATGAGCCAGCCTAAAAAAATGGTATTATTTCGTGACTTATACAGACGGGTTAGAATTTTTAAACTTTTTTGACAATAAAACTTTATTCCGTTTATAAATATTGAATTTCTCAGTATGTCCTAGCTGATAATTTTACTCAATTTATTTCACATATGATAATATTCTGAATACAAATCAGACATGGTTGATGACTAATAGGTTCCCATGAATAAATAATAGGATATCAACAAAACATTATTCTCTAGGTAGGTGAAAAATCGAACGTCTCAGTTTATCTTCTTCTAATATGTGCAACTGTTAGTCGTAGTTTAGAGTTTTTAGAAAATCCATCTACGATGACTGTTACATCTTTTAAAACCATCGACAATTTCAACCATTGTAGACATTCAATTAATTACACCATCCCTTTTATGGATAACCTTTGTTCTTTTTATGAACTGAAAACGTTTGATCAAGCCTTTTGTTAGTTTACAGTCTACACTGGGTCGATTCGGTTTTGAAAATGCCGCAACTACTGTTGATTTATTTTCTTTTATGGAAAACATCTAATATGTATTTAACGGCTCTTGTTGATAACCCTTGTTTCTGGGCTAGACGAGATCACTAGATCTGTGTGTAGGCTAGCGTCAGGTGACAACAGGCTGGATAAAGTCAGCGGTGGTCGATCATGTAAACTCTCAATATAAATACTCATAATATAAACTACTTCACGTGTATCAAGGAAAAAGTTCTTGTTGAGCAAGCAATGTTGCCATCTTATTTTTACAACTAATGACTCGTCTTTACGATTTACCTCTACTGAATGATTGAAAAGAATTTCAATAAAGAGGATATTACCTAAGAGATTTGGAAAAATAAACGAGGATAACTTATTCTAAACTGACCGCTCGTCTTAACGTATATGTCTATTAGTTAATTGATCACGGAAAACATACAAGATTAATACCAAAACGTCAGCATTTGGTTATTAATTATGGTAAACTGTGAAATTTTCATATACGTTAACGTCTCCCCTCCCCCGCATCTACGAGATCATGCTTCAGATGCGTTTATAGTCTGTGTGAAGACTTTCTCATCGAATTTTCAGCGTGAAAATGTAGATATATCAGACCTGATGATAACTTAATAGAATTATTTACAATAGTATTCGGATGAAGATGAGAGTGGTAGTCATCTGAATAATACCGGATAAAATAGGAGTCTAATCTTCCCTTATCGATAGATCTATTATATATGGATATATTGATTTATTTTTTCTAAAGAGTAAGCTTTTAATTTTGTAAGTATCAGATTTTGTTGACATGATTAAAAAGATAATGGCCACATCTAAAACAATTAACTCGATTCAGTTGTAAACTAGACATTGATTGAGCTCTGCAGACAGCTTTTTATTTTATATTACATTAACAATTCATTTAAAATAGATACAATGTTTTTAGATACACATAACCATCATTGCTCTTGGCAAATTTTTTTAAAGTCTACAGTTGATTTTGCCATACGTTCGGCAAAGTTTCGATAGGGCAACACATCGACTTCTGTTTCTTTACGTTGTATCTGACACGTCCATTGTTTTTTACAACTTTCGAATTTACATTTAGCAGTAAAATGAAGCGCCGCCAAAACATATTTCTCCAGTTGTTGTCGACGATGTAATCCAGATTCGGGCTTGTCTAACCTAGCTCGTCTCATCGTTTCTCGTTTTGTTTTACGTTCTTCTCCAAACACATCAGTAATCGGTTGCCAAACATAAGCATTGCTTGGCACAATAAGATCGAAAGGTCGTCAATGGGCAATCCATGGACGTAAGGGTCCAGTATTGATATCAGACGGTAGACTGAAAATTGCAGCATTAATATCACCATTAGATGTGCATGGGCTGAAGTTTTTCATTGTAATATGAGGAAATTGAACTAGTCATCGACGCATCACTAATGTTTCTGTTACAAGAATATCATTGTAATCAAGCACAATTTCTTGTGGTTTCTCTTCAACTTCAATTTTCATGTGGTTCACTTCAGGTCAATCTTGTTCAATAAGTTGTTCAAGTTTTTTTTGTATATTCAGCTTGTGTACACATCGTTTTATGAAGCACTGTCATAGTAGTTTCCTCCACTTGTTGGAATAGTTTCGTTTTGATTGTGATAATGTCGTTTCACTTTTTCAAAATATCAAGCAATTTAGTTCAGAAACATTTATATACATGCACTAGTTGTCAGATTGTCACGATGATTCAGTATTGATTTTTTTTTGAGTCACAGCTATTGAGATTTTACAAGAATAATACCGAGAAATGCATGAGTGTTTCTTTTTTTTCTGCCAACAAAACACGTCACATTTCTTGTGAATGAATAATGTTGCAAAACTGCTGATTGTATGAGGAAAAACAATACATCCTCATGAAAGCATCAGTAATCAGAGTGATGGCAAAGAGAGAATTAGTGAAATGAAGAGGGTATAAGACAGCCTTTTGAATGTTTAACAAGTTTATAAACAATATTTTTCTCATATTAGTATCTTTACTTAAGAAAGAATATAATATTGACTGAAAATAATCGCAAAATTTCTAATAAGGTTGGATCTACATTTCTCTCATGTATGCACGATAGATAGGAATAAAGAAAGAAAATTTCAACGTGTATTTTTATTTATTTTGAGACCACATGGGTAATACATACTAATTTAAATTATAATAAATAAATTATTTCGAAAATTTTCCCTGCAAAAAGTCAGCGTTATCCTATAGAGTTACTTTTGAGATGAAAAGCTTTTACGTTGATAGTCATCTATTATTCTAGTTTCCATGATAGGAAAGAATTTTCGAAGGTTTTCAACAGCATAGTCATTGCATTCGTATATGGCGTATATATGTCATATTTTGTATGTTGCCATAGAAAAAAAAATTCGATAGAATTAGCAAGTGAACACATGTACCCGTCTCCTTTCGTTAAACAAGGTTAGTGATATATTTTCGTATTAGTTGAAAAACAAAATATACACATATATCAGTAAAAGGTGTTACTACGATGAAAGATAAACACAAGCGTAACAATCACATGACAATGCTTGTTTAAAGTCGAAAGCGAAACAATAGATCCGATCACAAATGCGCTTGCATACAATGACAGTTGTTTCTTTTTATGGATTTCAGCATTTACATAAATTTATTGTGTCAATTCAAATGTTAATGGTCTGCTTTCTGCGTTCATTAGAAATATAGCTTTGTTAACATTTTTGATTGAGGATATTCACTTACAGAATCTTGATTAAAAGCAATGGCCTACAATATCTCCGATAATGATTAAGACACATTTTGATGAAACGTTAGTCAAATTCGTAGTACCGGAATATTCGAGAAAATTACAAATCTAACATCTTTCAATTCTTGAATCCGATTTTTGACAAAATCAAGATTAATTGTATTGATATTGACGACATAATAAAAGATGATAGTGACTCATGTAACACGCATCGTTTTCAAGGATGGTTAGGAAAAAACAAACAGCTAATGCATATCAGCAGTTATTTTTTGTAATACTGCCAAATTTCTGTTTTGCTATATTGTTGAAGCTCATTTATTATTGATGGATGTTTCTTTCTTTCTTTCTTTTTTATCTTAATACACAAGAACTTATATTGCTCACTAAATAAGTAATTTTTCATTAGAATAAAAAGAAATTATCGACGATCATCAACATAGAGTTAAATTTGCACTTTAATACACAGAATGAAACCGATAATGTCGGTTAGAAAACCAAAAATCTAAAGTTCGCAATACTGTAAGATTCTATGAAGACATGATAAATGATGATTTTTGGAAAATTACACATTCTTTCTATTATTATTATTATCTCGTGAATAATAGATGGCTACTATTGAATAGAGCTACAAGACTTTAGATACGATCTTGATGATTAATAGTCATGATTCACTTTTATACAATCAGCAGAAAGAATAGAACTGACCCTTTGATTGGGAAATTCATTTGATTATCACAGTATATTGATGCAGTCAACAAACACATCTGCGTCAATAATGGCATCAATTTCTATACAGTGAGATATCTAAAAATTTATTTTAAATATATCTTATATTCATGAACTAGATAACAAAACGATTAATTTTTGTTACAATTTCTATTGTTTCAGCTACTCAATGAAGTTTTTATGAGTATTTTAAGAGTAATACAATAAAATGTTTGATACCAAACCATACCTAACGGAAGAATATCTATTTTATTTGATTTTAAAATCAATTTTCATGAAATTTTTCTTATCACCAATTTCAATGGACTTTCCACCAGATAGGACTGTACTATTTCATGCTTAGCATAGATACATTATAAAATTAGAGCATTAAAATAAAATATTTCTCTCTTACTTTTTTCGAAACAATAATTTCTTATCTAAAACGACCAAAACATACTCTTTTCCAGAATAAGATATTGACCATAGAAATAACGTTTCTAGCATTTACACATGGTGCACGGATAAAAATAGAATGTCAATTATCAATGAACGCTGAATTACTTTCAACGGTCATCAACGTCTCATTTTTTTTTATATTAAAATGTATACAATATCTACGATATATTAAATTGAATATTGCTTTATATATATTTATACACATATAAAACATAAAAATGATAAAATGAACAAGAAAAAAAAGTCTGTTTAATGATTATAAGGAAAAACCAAGAAGTCATTTTTTTCTCACCATGAAGTACATACATACATAAAAAAGAAGCAGCATTCATTTATTCGATCGCTACGAGTGTATATTTTACATTTTACCAGTCGCCTCCTCCAAAGTCGCCTCCTAAATTAAAAAACTATGTATCTGCATATTGATCATTCAAATCAATGGACTCACCACCAAAATCGCCACCACCAAAGTCACCACCGCCAAAATCACCACCACCATAATCGTCGCCACCACCGAAATTGTCTCCACCGCCATAATCTACAACAATAGATTTAATGTTTGAATAATTAGCATTTGTAGAATTTTTAACTTACCACCACCGCCACCATAATTATCTGTTGCATTTCCATAGTCAACATCTCCACCACCATTATTTGTATCGTATTGAAAACTATCAGGTTGTTGATAACCATTATCAAAATTATTTGTATCGTTTGTTGCTGAATAATCATTATGTGTTGTGCTTTGATCATAGTTATTTGTTGTATCATTGTCATAACTATAGAATATGTCAAAAATTTGTTGAAATGAAACAAAATATCAATGATAGGCATACTAATTATTGATAACAGTCGAATCATTACCTCCACCCCATCCACTGAAATAAAGTAAAATAATAATTCGTATTCGAATAGCATAAGAAAATATCTTTGAACTTACCCATAGCCACCATAATTTCCAGCAGGTCCCATTCCATAACCCCAACCTCCATGACCACCAAATCCTCCTCCCCATGCGTAACCAAGAGCACCTACAAATGCAAAAAGTACAACTTTGCTATCTAAAAATATCATGTGTTTTTTTTAGATCTTACCGCCTAGTAACGCTCCACCAGCCAAGCCTAATCCTACGCCAGCTAGTGAACTCCCACCCACACCGCCGCCTCCTCCTCGATATCCACCATAACCCCCGCCACCACCACTTCCTCCACCGTACGCAGGTGAAGGTTGAACAACTACTGTTGTATGATTATAACTTGGTTGTTGACCCTGTGGTACAGTTGAACCACCGTAAGTTGGCCGGTATGCTTGTTGTGGTTGATTACCTGGCAATTGTGGATATACTGGACGTTGTTGTGGTGGTGGAGGATAACCACCTGATGACGATGAATAGGCTAAAAAAGAGTATGATTATTTTCAAAAAATTCATCAAGAAAAATATTTCGATAAAATAAAAACTAATACATACGTGGCGGAGCGCCACCTGGAGGAGCAGACGGCTGATAAGCGCCAGCTTGTGTTTGAGAAGGTGGCGGTGGAATTTGTTGAGGTGGTGGTGGTAACTAAATAAGATAAAAGATTAAAATATCATTATTAAGTTGAATATAGAATCAATTTACCGTCGAAACGATGGCTTTCATCCAATCACTAAAAAAATATATAGATTGAAAAAATACAATGAATCGCATTTATTTTTGATTTTCCTACTTGAGATGAGTAACATCATTGCAAAGAATCCATATGACTTCTGGGTCACGATGTCCAGGAGAAGCTTTTGGTAAAGCAATAAGATTAGCTTCATCCGTTGGTCGAGGAAACGGTGGACGATTTGGTAAACATCTCGTATATGGTCCAACACAAAGATTTTTTGCTATATCACGAATACGTACTGATCCTTCTGGTTTTCGATCATTTTGTTTTTCATACCATTGTAATGTTGAATCATCAAAAAGAACGAAATAAAAATCTTTCCATTTTCTCGATAATAAGCCCTCTATAATTATATGAAAACGAACAAATGACGTCGATTAAAGTTTTACTCAATATACTCACTGTAATAATAACGAAGATGGCCTGTCTTTATATGTTGCGACATGATTTCTTTGTTATTTTTCTAAAAGTGATCGTCCATTTATTTATATATATATACAGTAAAACGTAAAGAAAGGGTTTCTCGGTACTCAAGCTGAATGATTATGACTCAAGCGACGACGAATCATATACTAAAGGCACATGCAATGCTTTCCTTTAACCGTATTAACAAACAAGCATACTGTTATCTTTGATTACTAGGATTGTAGGGTGCCATTCCTTTCTCGTTTTTTTTTTGTTTTTGTTATGTCTAACATATTAGCAAGAAAAAGAAAGCATGACAAAAGAGTTTTTTGTCTTTCTCTTTCAGTGACAGGCGCGTTTTGCTGTTACAGAAAAGTAGAGAAAAATACTGAGAAACCTATTCTGACAGAATCATAAAAAAAATCATCATCATCATCATCATATTTCTTTTATTTGTGCCTTCCTACAATTGAAATCTATCCAGAAAAGGCGTCAGATGGCGCTCAAACAGCATCACCAGAGAAAAAGGAACATTCTAGTATCAGCCTGGAATTTGATGATTTACATACTAAATGAAAAAAACATATAGCACAATTCAACCACTATGCGAAGATTCATATGAATTTCAAAAACTAATCTCGATAAAGAAAATGCATAGCTGATTATTTTAAACCCTGCAATCTTCAAATCGCACGTAGTTCATATGTGTATGTCATGCCGACGCTACTCTATATTTAAAAAATAAAAATAAAATTCAAATTATTTATTTTATAACAACATTGTAATACTATATTACTTTATTTCATTTAAAACCGGAAGAAAAATATTTGACTTTAATTGAAACTAGTACACAAAAATGCGGAAACATCGGATTCACATCCGATTGTTACGTGTACTGCAGAAACTGAGTCGATCTATATATGTTGTGAATAATTTTGAGAAAAAAATCTCTGTACCCCCCCCCTCCCTTCAGGGATGGTCTGATCAATAGTGACAATGTTTTCGATAACTCAGTCATTTCTTGACGGATCGTTCTCATCTTCGAACTCGACTGAGATATTGATGAAATCATTCAGTGTACAAATTTGCGTGAGAATTGGATGAGGCTTTCAAGAGTTATCGTGTTAACGGCTGGCCGGACACACTGACCGAATCTAGAGTGTACTCACTTTTTGAGTACACAAAAAAGAACAAACACTGAAGAATTGAAGTCATATCGGAATATTTTTCTTCCATTGCATTTGACCACCAATTCACTAGAGTGAACTGATCAACTTGTGACATTTCTTTATCCTATTAGAATATCAGCGGATTTATTATTGTCGTTCAATTTCATATATTCTTGAAATCTGTCGATCTAAAATTTTACAAATAAAGTACTGTTGTATTAAAACCTTGGTTCATACTGGTATTTCAAAACAAATGATACATCGCTGGTAAAACTATGAATATCATTTTAGAGGACACAGATAATTCTTGAATAATTGTATTTGATTAAAAGGCTTCTAATGTGAAATATGAATGTACGATTCACTCAATATGAAAAAAGCAATATACAGACACCACTATCTATAAATGTATGTCTTCGGCATCAATAAAGATGCCAATAGAGGTATACATCTTATAGATTGCACATATTCTAGTAGAAGGATTCATCATCATCATTAGAATCAACTATCTCTTTTGTCGAATTATTTAAATGAATCATTTTATGATTATCGAACCATCTCGTTATTTCCTGTATATTAATATTCGGTCTGTTTTCACATTGTTCAGAAACAAATCGTTTAGTTTTTGATTTCAAAGTAGATACAACATATTTGGAAAGATAATTATCAATGAAATCATTTTCAACTTTTTAGTTAATATAGAATAATTTCGGCACAACACATATATATGTAGTAAGAGGAACCTAATTTTGAACACAATATTTCAAAATTTTCATGTACATATTAATATCTTATTCGAATAAAAAACAAAAAGAAAGCAAATGAACAGAAAGATATTTCGAAGAAAAAACGACATTAGCGAAAAAAAGAAAGTGCCACTGCTAGGTACAAACGGAAAAAGCCCAATAGACAAAGAAAAATACGGCAATGTTCATGTTTATCATTCGTTCACTGTAGAAGTAAGAATCTGTCAACAGAAATCTATCATTTCAATAAACCATCTCGTCTTAACTTTAAACAAGCAAGCACAACTTGACACTGATACATTGAACCTTGCAATTCTGATGACATCTGATCAAGATCTGTTGGCGTATTAGTACCAATCGCATTTAAACGTTGATTACTACCAAAAAAATAATTTTTTACGATCAATTTTGATGGCCTCATTAATGTTGGCCCAAAAACAACAGCTAGATTATCCAAATGCATCATATTTATATCCGAATCTTGGCTAACTCGTATCAAATGATCTAATAGATAGAATAGAATTTTTCGATTGTCAGGATGTAATGATTCGAGTGTTTTTAATAGAATAACATGTTGATTATCGATATCCGTTAATTGAATAGCATTTAAAAATTCAGTGTACAATGTACTCGTAAATAATGGTTCAGGTAGTTCGCGGAAAAATAATTTTAATAAATTAGCTGCAACATGTACATTTTTTTCAGTTAACATTTCTTCACCACGATGATAATTTCGGTCGAATTGATGACGAAGCTTTTGTAAATCCGACGTAACACAACAAACACGATAGATACCTGTTTCTTTTAAACCATCTCGATCAACCATTTCAATACATTTTAATATTATACGTGGAATACCATCGATACTAGAAAAAAGCAAAGAAAGAGAAAATTCATGGATCTTATTCGAACATTTGTTCATACCATCCATTTGGTGTACTTAATAATTTTTCAATACTTTTTCCGAATACAGCTAAACTTCGTTTAGATCCGATTCTTTTAAATGTACCTTCACGTTTTGAATATTTTAATGAAATTTTTAACTTTAAATCACTTGATGGGGATTCAATAGTTAATATTCCATTTAGGTCACGGTCACATTCATGTAATGCAGTTTCAATCTAATATATTCAAAGAATCCTTAGTAATACTGTTTTTCTTTCGATAAAAAAACTCGTATGAAAGCTTACATTTCGATGAAATTTACTAATACATTGTGATCGTTCTGTATTATTGTTAGTATTATTTTTGATTGTAGTATCGAAACGATAGATCAGTAGACGAAATGCAAGAGAATATTCTAATTCAACTTGAAATACCTAAAAGAAAAGAAAAAGAAATTGAATTTCAATTTTGTTATGATCTGTGGGTGTTATTTCTATGAAATAAGAATCAATTCAAAAGAAAATCCATGCAAAAATGTCATAAAAAGAAAATAGGTATACCATTTGGTGACATCGTATTGAAGGATGAAAATAACGTTGACATTTCTAGGTGATAGAATTTCACTGCAGTTAATAATCAGTCGAAAAATAAATAGATCAGGCAAGTTTGCTCGTTATTAGAACTATTCAACTTTCAAATTTAATAATTTATCACATTGATTTAAAAAGAAACCATAGTGATAGATTGAAGAATGGTTTGGCAAATGAGATTTCTTATGTGACGCATTAACCTTCGCATGAGTAATATCCAGGCAATGTATTGTAATCACTCCAAGTTATTTTTTATGTATCAAGCTCTACGTATAGAATCTTAACTACCAAATAGCTTTTGTGCAGGAAAAAAAAAGTTAGTATGAGATTTCTATTGTAAATTAAAATTTCGAATAAGTAAGATTTAATACAGTGAATAATGATGGAGGGTTTAAAATATAATGGAAAAGATCGAGACCACAATCTTCAATCGAGTTTATTCTTAATCATTTCACGAAGAAAAGAAATGCATAGAACGTGTTATGTTTTGAGCTATTTTCCGAATTGATAGACTGTCTCCGACTAAAAATCTATTCCGAATCTATTGATCATGTCAGTTTTTGTAAATCTAAATGTCTTCAATTACATCTGAATTTTCATAGATTCATTTTGAATATTAATCGGACGTGGCAACGTTCTTTAATTATCAAATTAAAATCTAAAATTCTGATTACATATGAAAGTTAGATATAGACAATATAGAAAAAGAAATGAAACAAGTCTGAGTTTTTTTACTTTACAACTGATGTCAGTATCGATTTTAGTGGACACAATCGAATCCATTGACCTGAAATTGATGATAATATTAAACTAACGAGCTATTGAATTATTTCTGCTACAGGTACGGATACTTGACATAACCTATTTTCAACTAAGTTTAATGCCCTGCTCTTGATATTACAATAACAGCAAAAAAATATGTAAATGAAACACCGGTAATCGCTGGCTTACCGGTTCCGTTTCTTGTTACATGTCCCTGTGTTTACCTAGTCGAAGTAAAAGCTCGTATTGTTAATTGCAAGAATTATTCATATTTTATACTCGTCGTTTCTAGTCACAGAAAATAATTCATTCTCGAAATTTATTACATACTTCGCCTTTAAATTCTACTGATTCTTGTTGTCGCATAGCTTGTTTAGCTGTTTGTGCATATGGATAAAATGTATTGTATGAGTCAATTTCAACAGCAACATAAAATTGATAATTATTTTTTGTTGTAGATGCTAATGTTGGAAATTTTTGTTGTTGTTGTAGTATTGGACTGAATAATGCTGAGCCATGGATACTATGTATTGTTATATGTAATGTACCGGAATATGTTTTACTTGGTTTTGGCATTAATGATGAATCATGAGGATTATGTTCTTGTAGATTAGGTTTAACGAATTCAAGACGTTTGAGTATTAAAGAATCAGTTAAACGTTGATGATGAGTATTTACAGGATTCAATAATGTTGAACTACGGTCAACAAGTTCTTGTTTTGTTTTATCAATCGACTCAGTCCAATCTTGAAGTTGATAAGCAGATGAAAAAAGTATTACGAATCGTAGTGATGAACGAGATGAAGATGTTGTAGGTGAATTTGAAAGAACTAATTGGAGTTTTGATTGAGCTAAATTATATTCGTTTTCTTGCCTACGTATAGCTTTTGATAAACGAGATGAAATGACAGCCTAAGATTCATACAAAGAAAGAACAGATTTTATAATCGTCTTATTTTTAAATTTATTAAATGATTTATCTCACTTGTGATTTTGGTATTTTTTCTAATTCTTTATAAGATGATTTTAAATTTAATTTTAATTCATCTAAATTATTTTATACAAAATTTTCTCTATATCCTTTGTCAAAAATCACGACTTACCACCGGTATAAATATCATCATTGGAAGGGCTTAGTGGTGCTGTCCAATGTAGATCAATCATTGGAATAAACCAAAGAATTCCATATTTCGGACTAAGCAAAGAAATATTAAGTAAAACTAAATGGACAAGATCATTATCAGCATTCTTATTGCTTCTCCCCACAAAAAAAAGATTATCTTCTATCTCGAACTAATATTAAAATATACTGAACAATTTGATAGTTTCAAGGAACTGTTAGCTTGCTTTCATAGAGAAATGTTATTCTTAGAAAATTATTGAGTCTACGCTAGTATAGAAGTTCTAATAAAGTAGAATCGGCTCTGATTTTTACTACTACTCTCGAATAGTTTAACTCCTAGACTCTTTCACTCTATTTTCAATAACATACAAGTGGAACAACATTAATTTTTTTCTGCCTGACTTTACTTCTAACAAATTTCACTTTTTTATTTCAATAATATATCATTTTCGAAATTAATATATGATTCTTTGTTCTGTTAAAGATATCTACATATTTTTGCACTTGTGTTTTTATTTGAAAATCAATTTATCTCATGTCAAAAACATGTACTAAGATAAGATACTAGTTTGTTTTTCTCAACGGTGAAGCTAAAACAAAAATTAAAGTACGTAAGATATCTTTATATGTATGATATCTTATTTTCACTTGAATTAATATATGTGTAGATAGATAAATCGAAAGTTAAATCGTATAAAGATTGAACTAACTTGACTTGACATGACTTGTTCATCTCTGACTAAATGATTAAGTCGGGTTCATCATATAAATTTACCTTTGAAGTAATTTTGTCTTTAAACAACAGCAAACAATGACATCTGGATAAAGGATAAGACGACAACGATCACGATTTCCCCGGACACCAATAGTAGCAACATCTTCATTTTTTAAAATAACTTTATTCATACTCTCATCTTGTCTACTCTAAATTGAGAAGAAAACCAAAAATAGATATGCATATAAACTACTTGTTATTTAAATCAATACATACACCAAATAATTTACATTTTAGTGCATAATCATATAGTTTTATTAAACTTTCTTTGTCACCTGATTCGAATGATTGAGCTGTTTTATGTAAATCCTAATGAGAATTGAATTTTTTGAAAAAAATACCAAAAAAAAGACACTCAAGTATTTACTTGTACTTGCGAAAGAATTTGAAGAAATTGCTTAGGAGGAATAGATAAAAGATCTATGTAGAATGAAGTTAGAAGATAAAAATAAGCCAAAAGTTTTTTTCTGCAATCAAGTTACCTTCACTGGACATTCCATTATTGCTAGCTCGTTTTTCTAATGCTTTTCTAATCGGTGCCAGATTTATTTTTGTGTAATCATCATAGAATGTAAGTGTTTGCATCTGTAAAAATAGATATTAATCAACATTGCTTAGTATTCAAGATGTCTAAGAAAATTTCAAATAGAACAATAGAGAAAAACATACCAATGCTTCAATAGCACGTGCTAATTTTTTTGTTAGAGTTGTTGGCTCATGATCATTTTCATTGAAATGTTCAATTTCTCTACAAACATTCCTATGATAAATAATTAATTGTTTAATTAATTGCTGCAAGTTGATTGCTACGTTGATAAAAGAGAGCTAGAAAAAGTGGAAAAGTTAAAAAACTAGAACATAAATAATCGACGGAGCTTTGTTTACTTGTTGTTCCATTTTTTCTAATTGCTCAATGTAAGTTTTTTCTTTCCGTAACCATTCTTGTTCAATACCCCGAAGAATTCTTTGTTGTCGTAACTAAATGACAAGACACGATAGTTACAGTAAAAATATAAACAAAAACGAATCTTTTATACAAGTAATTCTGTTCGCTGTTTTTCTTGTTCATTAATTAAATCTTCATCTTGTTTAAGATTACTTGTCTGTTCTTCATCATTGTCAATATCATCTTCGTGTGATTGATTATCAAAATCACTATCATTATCTTCACTACCTGTTCCACGTGAGGACGATGCCATCGGAGATTGATGGTCAATTAGTTTTTCATGACTATCATGTGGTTGGTCACTTTGTACTTGAGATGATAATGTATGAATACCACCTAAAAGTATAATTCAATAAAAAAAAGCTTCTTCTTTCTTTTTTGAAAAAGTGAATTAGAATTTAATAAACGAATACTATTCATGTACACTTTCATTGAGCTCATTTTCAAGGCTAAAAAAGATTCATTATTTTTACCGGCTAATTGTTTTGAACTTTATCTACGTTAAGCCTATCTTTCTCGATTATCATCATGATAATTTTCTTTTTTCTTTCTCGTTTGCGTGTGTGCCGTTCTATGTACTCATTGTTTCATCACTTGCCATTGAACTAGTTAGAACAACCAAATAAATGACACGAAACAGAGAAGAAGGCGAATAACAACGATGCTATCATTTTCTCAAGTTCTAGGAATCTATTTTCTCAGAAAAAAATAGAACAACAAAGAAAAAAACGACCTTGGCTATGAAGAAAGTGTCACTCTAGCCATGATTAAGTTAGATATTTATTTATATATATATATATATATATATAGAAGAACAAAAGATAAATTAGTTCTTCAATAAGCAAATTCGTTATTTATATTCGTTTAGGCTTATTGTTGACGATTTAAACTATGTAAAACTAAAAAAAAGAAGCTGCTTTTCTTTTCTGTCCTAATACAAAAGTCAACATTTAAAAGATTATTACTTAAGAGTTATTAAACATAATCTATTGATAAGTGTTCGTGTTCTTTCTTTAAATCTATTTTCTTTATAAAACATTAATATGATTGTATGGAGAAAAAAAGATTTCGTTTTTAAAGCTTATTCTAATGTTTTCATTTTGTGAATAGTGACATGAATATTGTTGTTTCATATGTAAAAAAAAGAGACACGTGAATGTGTGATTGGCCTGAAAAAAATAGACCAAACCATTAAACAATGAGAAGAAATGGAGAAATTGCACGCTTGCGGGATCATTAAGCATGCTTATATACACACACATACCTAAGCGGTGTTTAATATTGTAGCTATGTGTATTTGAACGATAGAAAGAAGAAGAAGAAAAGAAAACATAACAAAGCCAATATTTCTCGTTTAATGATTAAATGGCTTCGAGCAAATCTATTTTTCATATAATCGAGATAAAAAATAAAGAGAAAATCAACTTAGAAAACCGACATCATTTGATTAGATCGGACTGCGTATCAATTCATTGAAGATTCAATTGAAATGACAACGATAATAATAAAAGAAAACGAATACATAATAGAACTTACTGTCATTTTGATGATTAGTACTTGTTGTTGTATCGAGATCGATCGTATCTACGCTATCAGCTCCATCGGAATTTTCTTCATTATCATAGCCATCGACATTGTATGATTGGTCTTCGTCATTTTGAGTTGAAGTTCTTTGATGAATAAGATAATTATTATCATCATCGTTGTCGTCATTATTACCATTTTGTAAATAATCAAAAGCTTTCTCGATCACAGCACAACATACTGAATTACTAGGTAGTACGTTATTAACGAATGGTTCTGTCTCGGTGGGTGCTGTTGAGCTTTCAATTAGTGGAAAATCAGTTTCAAGAAATTGTTCTGATGTTTTCGATGAAGATAGTGGTGGTAGCGGAGAATCCTTATTAGACGATGTTGATTCAGACCGAGGATGAATAGCAATTAGTTGAACATTATCATTATCTGAATGTGCATAATTTTCAGAAGATAATAAGGGTGATCGACGATGAACAAGTACTGGCGATTTTGCTTCATTATGAGGTAGAGGAGGAAGAGGAGGATATATAACAGATGACGTTGAAACAGGTGCCGACAATACCGGATAGATGGGTTTGCCTTGTGGTAAAGGTACATCAAATAAAGTAGCCGACGACTTAGCTGATGATGCATCTGAATCGTAAGCATGTAATTGCGCTTGACGATCAAATAAGGTGTGACCACGTGATTTACCCGGTGTCGTTGGTATATTTGGTTGGGTTGTCATTGCATCTACGCAAAAAAAAATAAAGAATCAAATGTTTTATCAATGATTCTTAATTTATATCGAGCAAGCGTCCTTCTTCTTTTGTTTTCTATTTGCGTTGATGTTCTGAGTCATATTTGTTAAAAACAGAGTTTAGAAATGCAAATGTATGCAAAAGAATCTTAGAAGAAAAACACACAATTATTTATCAACAAATTAAACATGTGTAAATCAACTTCTAAACACAAGAATAAACGGAGAAGAAAAAAGAATTATGATTAAAGTAAACTACGAAAACACATTTTACATTCAGAATGATGTAGATTCTCAAATAAATTATTGACAGATGTTCTGCGCTTAGAAGTTAACGAACAATCACGGCATTACTTCTAAGTTTCTATGAGTACAGAAATAGGAGAAGAAAAGAAAATGATTGTAAAAAAAATAACTATTGGATATTTAAATATTCCACCTAAAATCAACCTCCTTTTTTGGTAATAATAAAATTTTAAACCTAAAAAGATTATTCTATTTTATTACTCACAATTGACTTTTATTTGTTGTTTATGACGATACATTTCTTTTCCTTCTCTATGTTACATAGATCTTTTACTTCGCATTAATGATGAGTAGATCTTTTACGCATGCGATCAAATGTCTCGGCGATTGATGATCATCATCAATCTCTATTGTTATTTGACCAAGTAAAGACAAGGTGTATATGTACGAGTTAGTGTACATGACAAAAAAAAAGAAGAAAGAGAATGAAAGAAAGAAAGAAAGAAAAAAAGAAAAAAGATTTGTTGGCGATTATTCCCGTGTACTCCTCCCTGTTCACCGCCCCATACTCTGTCTTTTTCTTAGTACACAAACACATACACCCATAAGCGGATCATGTTCATTCATTCGTTCATTCACTTGGCATATCAAATTGTTCTGTTATATGTATAATAATGGTATGATTGTATAACTACGGCGGCGTCATCAGTGTTATTTCTGTTCCCAATTGAAAAACGACACAGTATCGAAAATAAAAGCTTCGACACTTTGCGTGCCAAACGAATAGTAATGACAGATTGCTTAAAATGTTATGCATAATCATCAAGAACAAGTAAGGACAGATTCGCAATAAATTTTGAAAAAAAACAGACGCCTCACATTTTCCTACATTTCTATTCAATCAAATACTAAAAGGCATCGTATCGTATGTACAAGCCAAAATAATTGTTAGCAAAAGAAAATATTTGATTAATAATACTGCGAAAGAAAAGCACTTACATAACTGATCGAGAAAAAGATTGACAATAAATATTGTCTCGTATTCGTCTAGTTTATAACTTACGATTCACCTACAATATCTATGTAAAGGAATGATTCATTCGTCGTCAACTTGTTCTCGCTGATTCATGCTTTTTTCATTCAATTTTTTTATTCGCTCACTCCTCTCAAATGAACGTTGCGTAAAAACCATGGTAGAGGAAATGACATAGTAAAATGAACTCTTATGGTAATCTTAAATATATCTGATTTATACATTGAAAGAAGTTCAATAATCTGATAACTAATCTTTTAAATGCTAGTACCAGTTTTTTCATTACAATTAAATACTAAAGTATTCCCACGAACTGTTAGCGTCGGTAAATTTAATGGAAAACAATCATGTCTTGTTGGTGCTACTGCAGGGAATAAAGTACTTTAATTTATATATTTTCTTATTTAAATTATAATCAAATATCACTCAAATTCATAGGTTTTCATACATTCTCCACGTGATGTTAATCTGCAAGCACAACAATTAGACGGAAATATTTCTCTGCTCAATGTTAATCAAGTAGTAACAAGTTTAGGATGTGGTCAACTTGATGAACAATTAAAGAAAGATCTTCTTGTTGTTGGAACAAGTACAAATATTGTTGCTTATGATATTGATCGAAATGTTGATCTTTTCTTTAAAGATGTTAGTTTCTTATTGCTAGTCGGATGCTCTATGTTAATACTGATTCTAATTTTCTTTTAAGAATCCAGATGGCGCACATGCTATCACAATAGGTCAATGGGGGGAATTACCCGAAAAATTAGCTATAGTCGGTGGTAATTGTTCAATACATGGTTATAATAAGAAAAGTGAAGATGTTTTATGGACAGTAACAGGCGATAATGTTTCATCATTGGCTTTACTGGATTTTAATGGGGACGGTTATAATGAAGTAAGAATTTCCGTTTTTATTGCTGCGACTGAATGAAATCTACAGAATCAAAATACTTCGTTTTCTATAGAACTTTTTATACTTGCCTAAGTGATGGCTTCGATCAAGCCGAAATAAAATCGATTGAAGCCTTTTGAAGCAATCCAAGATTTAATCAATTGAGTAATCTATGATAATCGTTAATCAAAATGCCAAAAAAAATTGTAAAATATGTTCAAAATTTTTCCATATAGTTATCTTCGACTTTTGATGATTTATAAAATAATGTCGATGAATTTCTATATCTACGTAGTAGATGTGCTGTAATTGCTTGCGTCTGAAAAGGAAAAGAAATATTCTCCTATGTGAGATCTAAAGCGCAAGAACAAAAAAGGTCGTCCTATGTATTAGAGTCACAAAGGAATTGTGCCAATTTCTATCGTACTCATTCACTATAGTGGTTATTTGCCCGATAGCGAAATCTTCAATTCATCTAAACAATTCATTAGATGAGCAGAAGAAGCTTTTTTTAAAAGTGACTTCCTGTGATTGTTTTCATTGCATGGCGTCTAAACAGAATGAAAATATGCTATTCCGTTTAAATGAAAGATTCACGTGTAAAGGGAATCTATCGAAGAAATAATATTGTCTCTTGACTTTGAAAAGATGTTCATAAATATGAAGAACAACGCTATTCTCTATAGACTAAACATATAATTAATTGATTTTCTTTTATGAGCTGTTGTTTTTGAAAATAGCTTGTTGTTGGCTCGGAAGATTACGATATACGAGTATTTCGTGAAGATCAATTAATAGCTGAAATGCAGGAAACAGAAACCATCGTGTCAATGTGCCCGTTAGATGGTGCAAGATTTGGATATGCATTAGCCAATGGTACTGTTGGAATCTATGAAAGATCGAATCGTCATTGGCGTATTAAATCAAGACATATTGCAGTTGTTTTACAAGCATTTGATGTTAATGGAGATGGTGTTGATGAATTAGTCACTGGTTGGAGTAGTGGCAAAGTAAATTCGTTTTTCTGTTTATCAAAAATAAAAGAACATAGAGCTGATTATTGTATTTTCTGTTTCGTTTCAAAGGTTGATATTCGTAGTGATCGTCAAGGAGAAGTTATATTTAAAGAAAGTCTTAACTCTTCAATTGCCGGAATTGTTAAAGTAAGACTTAAATTACTTAATTCGATTATAAATAATTTTTTTCATTAGGCTGATTATCGAGTAGCAGGTGAAAATCTCCTCATTTGCTGTTCAAATGAAGGTCAAGTTCGTGGTTTTAAATTTTCTGAACAAGATCCCAATGCACTTACTGCTAGTCTATATAGAGACCGACAAGAAGCAATTCGAGATTTAGCTCAAAAAAAACAAGTGAGAAATATTAAATGATTAATGAAATAATATTACAGATTTATTGGTATTCTCCTAGGCTCTCCTAATTGAGCTTGAACATCTTGGCGATGCAATAAAACATTCTAAATATACAATCAACAAACCCACTAGACCTATTGTATCGGATTCAGAAGCTGAAATTCCAGTGCGTAACTATATAAAAAAAAAGCCAAGAGAAACATCAGAATCATTTTTTTCTATTATTCATAGGCACATACAAAAATTGAAACTTTATTTACAGTAGAAAAAAGACAGAATGATTCTCCGGTAATTACATTAGTACAACTTTTAACTATTAAAGTTCTTTTTATTAGGCACATGTTGCAGTCAGAATGAAAACTTCGAATAGTAAGAATAATAATCAATCTTTAAATTTAAAACTATGATAACTCTGTCGTTTAGATACTATTATTCGAGTTGTAACTATCTTTGCTGAAGGTTTATTCAAAGGCGAATGTCTTGTTACGTAAGTTATGAATATAATGGAAATTATAATTTTCACTCGTAAGACTTGCAGAGATTGTCACGAATAGTACTGAAACTCTCATGGAAATGACATAGCTGGACATATGTGTTATAGTTAATTTCCAACAACTATTCACAAACATAAGCCTACTGAGAGTAAACATGCAAATAGGCCAGCTCCTTTGATTTGAATCATTAGCTTACTGTCATTGCTCGAATAGCAAGATTTATTTGATCAATCTCTTTGACGCATATGTTTCGCTGTCAGCAAGAAAACCTAATTAAAATAATAATAATTGTAGAAATGCTAGAAAAAGAAAGAATATGAGTTCTCTATTTTTTGTTATTCTTTGTTTAATAATCTGACATTTGATGAAAAAATAATTCTAGCATAGATTTTTGATTTGATTGATTGAAAGCAAAGATAACATTTGAAGAAAAAGAACTAGTTTCGATAATTGCTATTACTCATCATTGATATTTCATAAGTATAAAACAATATCTGTTTCTTCTTGAGTATTCATCGAACAGGAATCAACAATTCAAAGAAATGAAGACATTCAAAAATATGAAAGTTTAACATTTGATTGAACTCAATAAAGACCGAACAATCAATTGGTTGTTTGAATCTTTTGATTTGACATACTTGTCACACGTAGAGTTAAGTCTTTGACTCGCTTATATCGTTGTTTTTTGGATGGAGGGGCTACCTCAATTTTTAATCAAGTATCATCAATCAGTTATAGTTCAAAAATCTGTTGTAAAGAGATCGACGTGCAAAAATCTTATGAATAAATTTCTTCTTGAATCCAATTAGGGGTGGCACTTTATCTTTACTTCACCGAGTAAAGTAGAATATGTATACTTTACTTTACTGAGTAAAGTAGTTGGCTTTACTTTATCAGATAGAATGAAGTAGTTGACTCACTTTATCAGATAAAGTGAAGTAGTTGACTCACTTTATCAGGTAAAGCAAAGTAGGTCTACTTTACCCGAATAGTAAAGTAAAGTCATATATTCAATGAAAGCTCTTGCTTAATTTCTTAGCTTACTATCAACAATTGATAATGCTTGGCGACATGAATCATCATTCAAAATATTTTCTTAATTAATAGCGGAGTATAGAGCATATATAACACTGAACACGATAAAATTGTGTATATATATTGATATTTCAACATCAAACTGCTTTTCGCAGAATGCGAATCTTCACGTTTAATCTGCACTTAAATGATTGCTCAAACAGAAGTAGTTGAATAAATGTATACATGTTAAGAAAAGAAAATTTCAAGCTTTCTTTGTCAAAAACATGGAAATATGAAGTAAACGAGGATAAATGAAAGAAGAAATGATATTTCATTTTACTTTACCAATACAATTCACAGTAAAGAGACGCAGATGCAGCTTTACGATCACGTACACGACAAAGTAGAAAGTTTTGAAAATGATTTGATCAACCTCTAATATATAATCAGCTACAATATTAGCATTGATACCTAAATTATGCCTTTTGTGAAACACGATCTGGAAGAAGTGTTGAAGTATATAGGGTAAAAATTTGGATCCATTCCTCCCCCTCCTCACACAAATTGTGACAGAGAAATTTATTAATTAGCTGATTGGCTAATTAATTAATTTCTCTATCACGGTCTGTGATGGTCTCTACCCACTCCATAGATCAAAATACCGATCGTGAGCGAAATGACTGCACGTATGATTACAGACAGTGGCAGAAAATCTACAAAGACTCAGAGACCGTGGTAGACGGATTCCAGCAAACGAGTTCCATCGTGTTTTACATTTGAATCCCACAGGGATTGCGCTAACATTTTTTTTTGATATTTTTTCTGAGAATACATCCTATTCCGGAATGTTCAACATTGCGGAATAGGATGACTGCTCCAAGTTTCTAGTAAATAGGCTGAATTCATTAGGATAAAATTTTAGGACTATTTTAGAACGTAATAGGTACTTTTTACGATTTTATTTCTCAGTCTTACTTCTTCGTTGTTATCGACTTCACAGATGATTCCAGTTGGAATCTATTGATTGGCTAATATATTGTGTGCATTGTTTTAAATATTCGATGACATAATGACTGTGTGTGTCGTACGCAAGTGCTGGTCTGTCAAAGTTTTAGAAAACATTTTTTCGGTTCAAATCGTATTATTAAAAAAAAAAGTATCTTACTCAAGGAATGAATTTCAAAATTATTCTCAACATATCCTCATTTATACCTTTGCTATTGTGACACTAGGATTACGTTAGAATATCTGTAGTATATGTTGAAGGGGAAATAAAAATTCTAGGTCAATCTTAAATTGCCCTAGAGCAACTTAAATTGTTAATTTCCTCTGTAGCGTAATTTTTAATTCTCCTAGAGCATATTAAAATTCAAGAACGATTTTAATTTCCCCTACAACATATGCTTTATTTCTATAGTTAATCAGTTCTTTATCATTATTTTGAGTATACCAGTATTAGTGTCAGTCTTAGGGTATCACATCAATAAGTCTATTCATCCGTTAAAGTAAATGCACAAGGAGATTCAAGAACTTCTTGATGCATAGTTATTTAGTGTCTTGATCGAGCTTTTCAGAAATTTCTCTTTTAAAAATCATAGAAAATATCATGCCTATGATATAACTTTAATATTTTATACTTAAGAAGGCCAACAATAAAACTGCACAGTAAGTTTCATTATTACTCACTTTTCACCACCTCAACTCAGCCTTATTCAAAAGTACAGATAAACCATATTCTCTCTAGCACAATTTTTATTCTCAAATGAACAAGAAAGACAATATTTTAAGTATCAATTAACTTTTTGCGAAGTTATCGATGCGCTAACGGCGAGATAAAAATCAAAAATTAACTTGGAATTTTCACTACTTTACTTTACTTTACTTTACTATTCGGATAAAGTAAATCTACTTTACTTTACTTTACTATTCGGATAAAGTAAATCTACTTTACTTTACTTTACTATTCGGATAAAGTAAATCTACTTTACTTTACCTGATAAAATAAAATAAAGATAAAGTGCCGCCCCCAAATCCAATATAAACGATTTTTCTCTGAATTTAGTCATCCAGCTGTTAATCATGTAAAAGAGAGTATTGCTGTACCAATAATTCCAGCTCGTGATACTCCTGTAGATTTACATATTCAAGTTTTTGTTGGATTTAAATCGAGGTAACCTATAATTATATATTTCACTCAAATCTTATTGCACTATTCATAGCACACTTTTTCACGTATTTGAATTGACTCGACCATTGCCTATGTTTTCGATGTATATGATGATTGAAAATGCACCAGATCAAGAACCTAAAGGCTTTGTTACATTTTATCTCAATGAACGTATTCCACGAGTTAGTTTCTGTTGTTTTATACTTCAATATGTTGCTGTTTGTTTTTAAATAACAAGGCTCTTGCTTGGATTAACCATAATTTTCTTCTCGCGCAAGAATATGCACCGACTGCACCAAGTCTATATGTGACTTTTCTAGCAATTAGAAACGATACAAGATTAATTATTAAAATGCAAAATAATGGACAAGTTAGTTAATCGTTTTGATTATCATTCTATTTTTATTTATTTGACTTTTTAAAAGATAACAATTCAAACCGATGATATGGAATTAGCAGGAAATGTAATTCAATCAATGTGTAAATTTTTAAATATTGACGACTTACAAACAACAGGAGATTTTCCACACGAACTTGAAATACTTCAAAAATTGTTTTCTGAGGTAATAAACTTTTAGGTTTTTTTTAATCAAAAAAATAGACTGATAAACTAATATGGTCTATTTAGATTGAAGAATATCAAATCGCACGACAAAGAATTTCGTCTGATATGGCTGAACATTCAAATATTATTCGAAGTTTTTTAATACGTGCAGAAGATGCACGTCTACTTGGTGACATGTAAATATCAATATAAACGTTTTTTATTGAATACCTACAATAATAACATCATTCAATTCTTTTATTTAGATCTTGTATGAAACGAAATTATATAGATTTATTAAATTTAAATCGTGATCTAATTCATGGTTATAAAATTCGATGTACAAATCATGAAGAATTAATGAAAAAACTAAGATATCTTAATCAAATGGTGCAAAAAGCTGGCAATTTACGATGTAAATAAGTTAAAATTTGAATGAATCATTTTCTCTAGTATATTATTTTTATCATTTAGTTGGAAAATATAAGACAATTGCTATTAATCAATGTCGTGCAGCAATCAAAGCAAATAATGCTCAATTATTAATAAAAACGATCAAAACAGGCAGTGTTTAATTTATGAATCACGAGTGAATTTCTTTCTTTCAAAACTCATTTATTTCAGTATGATAGAGTGCGTTTGTTTTATGTTGTCCTTTTAATCTAATATAAATAATAAAAGAAATTGCTCTATTTTTTTCATATATGAACTGACTATTTTTCATGGCCCATATCGAATGTTTGTTTTCAACTGCAGTGTCTGATTTATTTAGTTCAAATGATATCACGAGTAGTTATCTGTATGAACATAATTAACAAAACTATTGAATCAAAATTAGAGTAAATAAATAGAGTTTTATTTTGTAAGAAAAACTATTGAAGAAGTATATTCAGATAAAATATTCTTTTTCATATTGAAAAAAACATTTTCTGTGTTAAACTGTGTTACGCTCATAAAACCGTTGATTATCGACGGAAGAAATAGTCAATGAGTAAGTGAACGATGATATATTCACACACTCTATGAATCTTGTTGATTGAGCATAAATTATTTATTTTCCATTCGAATTGATTTCTCTTAGTAAAATTAACTTGATAGTAGTGCAAAGATGTCTACTCTACTAAGCCAAGAGTGCCAGTAGAGGTCGCCGCTATGCAATGAATGGTTGCATAATGTGGGTCGCTAGGTGAATAAATGTAGAGGTTAATGCCATAACTAAAACCTTAACTATGGCTATCGATCATTCAACGGAAATTAAAAACATTAAAAAAAAATTGTCAATATGACAACGTCGGTTTCTGTTAGGCCTCCTATAAATCCGATGCATCATTCTCTTTCAATTGATGACCAAGATCAATATTATGGTCCGATGAATGATGATCAACTTTGTAGGGAGTATATGGATGAAATAACGCCTGGTCATCAATTGCAGCCGAAGTATGTATATTCTATTATTATATTCGTTTTTTCTTTTGTTTTTGTTTAGAGAACACTTCTATTCAATGATAATTTTATCATTCTAGAGATGGAATTTATCGAATACAAGCAGATCAACAAGCAATACCACCACGTTCATCGTCAGCTGCAGCAAAGCCTGGCATATCACCTTATCTTCAAAAATTACCACATTCGAATTTCCTTCAAGTAGCACCCCCGAGATCACCGGCATCAGCAACTCATCGACGACAACGTCGTCGTCGTCGTCGTCGTTCAACGTCTATTGGTAGAACACGAGAAGAACAAATCGATTCAGCTTATCAACGATCGAATGTTGATCATCTTGATCTAAGTTCATTTTTTGGTACTAGTAATACTTCATTCAATCGTCCAACAAGTGCTCCAACACGAACGTATGTTTTTCATTAGAATTTTATATTCATAAAAACAAATTGAGCTTCCGTCGATTTGTTATAGTATGACTCCATCAGCAAAGAAAAGACGTACAGGAACAGTAATTCATAAAACATCTTCAAAAGGTCAAACCTGTATTGCAACAGTATATCGCAATGGAGATCATGATAAGTGTTGTTACTGTAAAGCAAATTCTTTAAATGCAGTAAGTTCAATTTTAAATAGAAATCGTTCGGTTTTTGAGATTGAACATGAAATAGATTCTACAATATGCAACGGAAAAACTTCATATGTCTTCAGCTGCTCGTCGTTTATTTGATGCTAATGGACAGGAAGTCTATCGCGTGGAAGATATACAATCAAATCAAGAATATTATGCTTCAACTGGAGAAAATTTTAAAGATCCATATAAAGCTATTCGAAGTAATCAAATTGATTAGTAGATTAGTAGAGAATTATTTTTACTATATTTTAGTACAAAGTGAATATAGTCTGAATTCAACATGGACTGTGAAAGGTTTACATACAGATTCAAATAAACCGGAATCATTTAAAACAAAAGCTGCGATATCAAAACGTTTAGAGTAAGTTTAAATTCTGCTATAATATCTGTCAAGTTGATGATAGATACTGGGAGGGTTTTTCTCACGTCAAGTCATTAGAAAAATATTCAAAAAAAAAACGATACTAATCTTGTGTTGTCAAAGTAACACAATTTGTAAATCATGCAGTGTGGTGCATGCAATTGAGATAGGTCACGAAGGTAGAATTTTTTGAGAGTGCGTTTATTGCTGCTTGAAGTGTGTGTGTGTGATATATGTTTACTGTCGTTTAATATCATCTCGCATGATTGATATTTTAGTTTTATCAGCAGGAAAGAGTTAAATTGATCTATGTAGATCTGTAAAATAATATACTCGATCAACATATATTTGTATATGAATTTTGAAGGCCACAGTCTTTTGATATGCCATGAATATCACATTTTCATAGTGAAAATTCAGATATTCGACACTGCAATTCTATTTCTTTTCTAATGAAATTCGAAACATTTAATAAAGACAGCTCTTGAAAAATCAATTCATGCGTTCTTAATTTCAAAAGGATGAACTTCCTCTTAGATTACACTTCGTAGAAGCAATGATGTGTTGCCTATGTGTGAAATTTGATTTCAATGAGCTTGAACTTCTCCTGTGTTGTGTTATAACAATTGAGTATACGAGTACAATTCTTTTTCTCTATTCTAAGAATACGCCTGACCATTGATCATAGGTGTTGACTTCACTTGATTGAAATCTCTTACGTAAAGGATGAGAGATGATTTGAGCATAGAATTGTTTTTAATTATCACCAAGCGAATATCAATCTTCGTTGAATTTTAAGTAAATAAAAATTATTAGATATATTATACTCTGAGTACCTTCTGTTCATTATGAAGCTCAATAAGAGTCATCTTCAAAAATCAGTTAGACTATACGTATATAGAGTAAGACATAGTAATAGTTTTCTCATTCAAAGTAACGACTACCAGAGTATGTTACCTTGAACTACTACTACAACTACTCTCCCTTTGACTGTAAGTGACGAACAGCATGAGGTTTTACTTACGTATGATTTCTAGTAGAAAGAAAAAAAATGTGACCTGCGGCCCTCAATCTCATCCAAGCATTAGTCATATATAATGGATTGCGGTGTATTTTAAACGAATTTTCTGTTTATATAAAGTCATACTATAAAATTGTTCTCATAATTTATTTCAAAACTTAATTTGTAACTAATTTAAAAACAAAATTATAGAACTAAAGGTCTCAAACTTTAAGCATAATCCTACATATGACTCCTGCACCATCTTTGATATCAGTACGCACATTTTAGGAGAATTCGGCAAGTAAAACGACTTATTCATTGATTCTCTATTTTAGTAAACAAATCAAAAAAAGTATTAGTTTAACAATTATTGAAAATGGTTTCGGTCATTATGATGCTGTTTACCAAATTTTAATTGATGCTGTTTTGAAAGATAATTTTGAAAAGGTTTCTTTTTTTAAAACTTCATACAATTTTTGCACTAGAAAATTATTTATTATTTTATTTTAGTTTCTTGATGATTGTACAAAAAAACTGGAATTAACAGCCCATGCAAGAAAAGTATATAATTATCGTGGCGATGAAATAAAATCACTTAGAATTTGTAAATATTCTCAGAGATTTATCTTTTTTTTAATTCTTATTTTCAATCAAATAAATAAATTTTAGTTTTGGACACCGATGAATGTAAAGTGTCAACTACAGATAATGATTATATATATGGACCAGTATGGATTAGTAAAGGTGAACGATTTCGACCAAAGGGTGCTTATACCTATCTTGAAGAAAGTTATCAAAAAATGAATACACAATACAAAAAGAAAAAAAGAAAATATAAAGAAGTAATTATTGTTATGAAAGAAAAACAAAAAACAAAACATGAAAGCGATCATAATGAAGAAAGTGATGACGATGGTGTTGATGAACAGATTTCATCGAATGAGGGCACTGATAAAGAAAAAAGAAAAATTAACGATAAACTATCGGACAAAGATAAAAGTTGTCTATCGATGTCAATTAAAGAACTTCGAATGTCCAAACAAGTAAAATTCAATAAAAATAAATTTTTAAAATCTAATTTTTATTTTTCTTAGGAATTAGAAATAAAAATCAAAGAAATCAAGTCTATAATGGAAATTTATAAACTACGAATGGATGAAATAGAAGCAGATAAAGACAAGGAAAAGGTATTTATTTGTTTTTTTTTATCGACTCTTACAAATCTTTTTTCTTTGTATAGGAAATGGGACCTAGATTTCCTATTGATCACATTGCTGAAATTGATTTTTATGATAAAATTGTTGGACGACATCCTATATGTTTAACAGTAATCAAATTTCATTTCACTTTTGTATCATTTAACCCGTGAATAATACTTTTAGGTTCATGAAAATGGTTCATTTGATAGATCTGACCCAAAGATTTATTTAAATCTTCGCAGTTTACCATCGAAAAATATTCCACAAACACCAATTGAATATCTTCTTGATTATTTACAAACATCAATCGAGATGTTTGCACGACAACGTCCTAAACGAGTGTTTGATATAAATGGAACTGAAATAAAACTTATCGGGCAATTACAAGCGAAACAAGATATATTTATATCGTACGGAGAAGACTATCGGCCAGCATATGGTATAGTGAAATATTTGCTGTCTAGTTTTATTAGACTCATTAACAGAATTATTGTTTTTGCTTTAGAACCATGTTTAACTATTCAAATGCATAGTGTAGATATTTATCAAAAGAATGATTCAAGAATACTACTCAAGACATTCCGGCCAGATAGTCAAATTATTGAGGGCAAAGAAAAACGAACAGCAAGGTAAAACAATAACCGTATTTTTTTCCTTGAGGATAGTTGCGTGTTATTAGAAGTTATTTGCGATAAGTTGAAAATCAAAATTTAGTTTTAATCTATGAATACTATGATAAAAAGAAAGTGAACAGAAGGCGATTCTTTACTTTCGGGCGTAACTTTGAGTTAACGAAGGAAATTTTTCTAGTGTATAATTACTTGTAGTAGAGATTATGGCCATGATGCAGATTTCAATGGTTTATGAATGCTTTGGAAAAAGCTTGAGGATATAGCTTATTTTCTACATACATAGTACATTTTTGAGGTATTGTTAAATAAGCGAGTTTGATATGCTTCAGAAATTAATGAATAATTGATTTTGAAATTTATACTTGAAAATTCGTATTGAAAAAGATAACTTCGGACATTGTAGTTAATCATGAACTTATCCGATTATTGACTCTATTCATCTCCGGAAATAACACCATCGAATCCACAAATATGTATGAACATGGATATATTTTGTGATAAGAACTATGAAAACATTGAAAATATTAAATAATTAAGTATTATCGTAGCAACTTTTCTTCCATGGAAACTTTTTCAAGGAGATTACTGTATCGTTTTCGAAATATATCATCGAAATGGCGCATATGTTCAGTAATCGAAGTGTTGTCGGAGTTTTCATAGACTGATGAGAATATTTTTTGTTTGCATTCATATCGTCATCTGACTAATCTTTTCTATGTCGACGCAGATTCAATATAGATTTTTTCTTCCTAGGCAAACGCCGTGTCTAATCGAACATTTTTGTTATTAGATAAACAAAGGACTGATATCTAATTTATTTTTGTACTAGCTGTCTCGTATTTAATTTATTTCAAGGCAAGTCGAGATAGGAAATAAATCCTATCTCGACGAAATTCACTCTGCACGATAAGTTGACTTTATTGATTTCGAGACAAAAACAGTGGACTTCATGAAAATTCAAGTTTGAAATATTCACTCTTTATCTTGTTTAATTATCAGATTCCTTTTAGAAACCTTGAATCTCGCTAGATTTTCTCGGTTGACGCTAATGTTTTCTGTCGTAGAGAATATGTTAGTCATTATAGAAAATGTTTATTTCTTATTTTGAAGACAATTAGCAGCTGCTTGGATACCAATTGAAACAATACCAGATGATGCCATAGCAAAAAGTTATGAGAACGATTTAAATGACGATGAAAGAAACATAATCGATAGCAAAGCAAAACAAGAGCGTATTAGTGAACATGTTACATTTATCGCTCAAGATAAAATGTTAATTTATCCAGAATTACAAATTAATAAAATTATTCTACCAGATCCAAAAGCAAAACCAACTACTGGTAAAGCGCCACCAAAAAGAATTTTTTCTGAAACTGACTTGCAAACATGGTGTTATGATAAAGTAAAACAAAACAAATCATCTTGAAAATATTATAACAAATTCTTTTCATTTTTTTTAAGGATGGTTATATTTATAATCGACAAGTAACTTCTTTAGTATTAACTGTAGTACGCGAACAGAATGTTCAACTAACATGGAAACCTAGTAAACTATTACACAGTCAACGTAAAGCAGAAACTCTAGCTGGTTATGGTGTTCAATTAAGAAGTAAAGCAACTGATCGAACAGCTGATCAAATATGGATATTTACCTTTGATGGTTATATTGTTTCACAAGCTGATAGAAACCTTGCGTTGACAAGTGTAGCAGATATAGTGCCAGATGACGAAGGAGGCTTTGCTGCCAAAGGAATGCCAGTCAATGACGATGATCCATTTGTTGCGTTTGTATCTGTTTGCCCGAAATGTCCACAAAACTCACCTTTCATTCATCAACAACGGTACAAAAAATTTTCAATTCAAAGAAAATTTAAAAAAACTTCATATTTTCTTTGTTTAGCTGGGGTATTCGCCAAATATCAGGTTTTACTATTGGCGATTGGAAATATTCGAAAGTTGAAAATCCTCTTTGGCATAAAATGGCTTTAACATGGCCAGTAGACGCAACAGGTGAAAATATTCCTGTAAGTTGATTAAATAGGAAAGAAAAAATTTTTCTGCGTCACTATTAGCGACATCCGTTTTTGATCTACAGTTACTGATAGTCTATTGCTTATGTTGATTACGATTTTCAGTGATACTAATTTTCACACAATTATTTCCAGCACCCTTGTTAGATTGTATTTTTGCTTCTAAGTATAGAGAATTCAAATTTCAATATGATATCAGGGACCAGCTTAGATTTTTTTTCCGAATATTCTCACAATAGGAAATGTTACTAAAATATTTTACTATAAATACTACTTGTTTTGATTTCTACGCAGCCGAAAATTTCTTATTCAACATATCAATAATGTTGATTAATGATGTAGAATTTTATCACAATTATCCTATTGCTAGTAGAAGAATGGTGAGATCTTCACGTTACAGTTTAGTATCAGAATAAATACTTATGAATTTTTAGTTTATCAACATAAATGATGGTGTATCGAAATTTTCTGTAGATTGTGTTGATTTGCTAGGTAAACTCATAGTTAAAATAATAAGAAATAATAATAGAAACAAAAATAAGTGAGGCCTACACTCGCATAAAGATCAATTCAAAAAACACAAATACGTAAGATCCATTGATTCTTTTACCGATGATCATTCTTGAAAATAAACTACTGTCTATCAGTGATTTCTGTTTCGTCGCTGTTTGTTTTGTTATAATAAAGTTAAGAAATATCTATGAGTTCGACATAGAAAATATAGAGCTGGCAAGCTCTCTATCATAGTATTTTCTGAAGTGCTAACCTTAGGAAAAAAAAAGTTTTTTTTGGTTGATATTTGTTATTTTCATTTTCAGGAACTACAATGGCCTATTGAAGGATGTCTTATTCCAAATGTTCCGCCTATCAAATTTCTCAGATCATCTCAAACACCACCGTCGTGTATGCTTGACTTTTTGATAATTGATTATTGTTATTTTGTTTTTGTAGTTGTGCCTATTCGATTACAAGCACTGAAAAATGGAGAACGTGATCTTACTAAAGCTGTATCAGTGGTTGGTCCTGATATTTCAAATGTAATTAATATAAATATATAATTTTTAAAATGCTAAACATCAATAACCAATTCGTCTATTCATAGCTTATTCTCGAAACAAAAGCTTCAAGTAATATGTATCGACGTTTACGTATTCCTGAACCTGAAAAAGAGCAACGTGCTCATCGACAAATTAAACGTATGGCAGATGCTCGACAACGTGAAATAAAATTAGTTCGTTTCTATTTTGTCTAATTAGTTTGTTTTCGACATGTAGTTATTTATTGTTTGTCTATTGTTTCAAATAGTTTCTGGAAAACGCTACAACGCTTTGTAATCTACCATTTGCTGGCCGTCGGTTATTTGATACTCAGGGTACAGAATTATTTGATTTAACATCAATCACACGTGATTCCTATGTCTATGTCACATGTGGCGAACAATGGATCGATCCAGAACTAACAAAAGCGGAACAACAACGTCGATTATTATTAGCCTATTTAAGTAATGATGTTCGTATGATTGCTTTCTATTGTGCGATGAGAAATCCAACTGGTAAAAACATTTTGTTGCACTTCCATATATTATTTATTGTTTTTTTGTTGTTGATAGAATATGTTGTATCAACAGAAAGAGGTCTTATTGAAAATTCTCGGTTGATCGTTAATATATGTGCATTGAATTTTAAACAACGCAAACGTGTTGAAAAAGGTGAACTAATTGAACATGTTATTGACAATGACCAGCCTATCGAAGACGAAGCAACTGAACATGAGCCAAGGTAAGAATTCCAGATAGTTTTCTATTGATTTAATCAGGCTCTAAATCTATCGTTTTGAACAAATGTGAAGAATATTTAAGGAAAAAAGGTATTTCCCCACGTTTCACAAGTGATCATTTATCTATTCTGCATCTTTTTTTATCCTTTTCATTTTATTCTCTTTTAGCCCTCAGTATGTATTCAAAGAAATTTACACTCTATCACAGTTTTGTTTTCTGTTTGTTTAATGCAAAACAAAATGCATACATGAAAATAATACTATTGCTTTAACTTTCCATGTCTGTACAATAATTCTTTTGTTTTAGAACGGCACATGAACGAGCACATAAAACGGTGGACAAGAAATCGAAAGAAAAATTTCGTTGGCCATGGGAAAAGATTGCTAATAAAAGTTTAAATCTAGAAGCCGATGATGACGATGTTGTTATGTTAAAAAATGATGAACAAAATCTAAGTGATTCATTTAACCCAACTCCGGATAAGTAAGTTTAAGAAATATATTTCATTTTAACTAGAAAAAAAAACTACTGTTTTAATATTTGAAGTTTCTCATTTTCTAAATCGAATCGAAAGTTACCGAAAACAGTGGCAGTGTCAATGCAAAGATTTATATGGGAGCCGTCAGCGGGTTATATATCATGTGTCGATGATCGAAATTTAGTTTTTGGTGTCAAAGAAATTGAAGGTAAAGTGGTTGAAGTTATATTAAAACGTCGTAATCCAGATGATATCTATCAACGTTGGAATTTTGTGCCTTTCGATGAAAATGATGCTGACATGGATTTTTCAAAAACATTGTAAATTAAATTTTAAGTTTTATTTTTTTTTCTTCACTACTCGTCTTATCTTTATTTTAGTTTAATCACGTCTAAAGCTCGGCCAACCATGGTTTTAACTGTATTACTTCCATCGTGTACAGGAAATGAATCCAATGAAAATAATATCTCTTGTGTTGGTTGTTCAGTAACATTACAACAACGACGATATGAAGAAAATGGTTGTGCGAATCAAAAATGGTCTTACGATGAAAAACTTCATCTATTTTTTTCATTCAATTCAACATCCATCGATAAAGGTAGTGACATAATTATAAAGTGCAATGTGAAAAGCAAACCATATGATTTCTATTTTAGAAATAACAGCAGCTAACCGAGCGAATATTTGTTCGTATACAGTTAGTTATGAAGCTTTGTCTCAACCGGTAAGAAAAATCAAATTTTCCAATTAATCTTTCAAGTTTCTTGTTTGCTATGTTCTAAAGGGATTTACTGCATCGATTTTGAATGTTAATGATCAATCCGAAGATGTACCGGTTTGCCTTGCTTGTGCACAAGCAATGCGTGGAAAATATCGTTTAGTTAAAATTGATCCAGATAAACATTTTGTCTGCGCCGTCGGAAAAAGTAAAGTGTTCTTCTTCTTCTTCGTTTTTTAAATAAAGAATATAATTGTGATGCCGTTTAGGACAAGATCTTAAGTTTCCTGGTCCATTTCAATGTTTGAATCATAAAGTTGATTTAACATCAACTGAAGCTGAAATTACGCTTCTAGAACGAAAAGAACAACTCGAACAGTATATATTTTAGTTCTTTTGCTTTTGAATATTAAGTTTTATGTTTAATTAAAGATTAAGACAAGAAGCAAGCGTTCGAAACATTGCTAAAGAATTAGCAGCTGCAAAACCAATTCAAATTGTTCATTTGCTTGCTTATCGTAATGGAGATGGACACACAAAACCAGGCCAACTGTTGATTGGTTCAAGTATTATTGGTGTAAGTATCAGTGAATGAACAACACTCATAACTTACCTAAAAGTAGGAAATCGAATATTATTGATAGGATTCTGCAGACATTTGATTCTGATGCAGTCAACGTAATTCTCTTTTGACTTAGTTAGACAACATTGAATTTCTAATTGAAATTCGTTAGAATTCATCTTACTACTGAGAATTTTATTATGACATCTGATACTTATATTAAATCCCATATTTTCTTCATTCTTTATTGTTTTCATTCATTTCCAATACCAAACCATCCACACATATTTGGATATTTAATAAATGTTTTTTTAAATCATTATCTCAATTATTCAAACTAAACTGAGTCAAGATTCTTTACGTCTAGTTCAGAGTGACTCAAGTCATTTTGAGAATCTCGTTTTTCGTAAATCTGAACATACTTTACAATATTTTTCCATGTGCGAGAACATGAAATAAATTTATGTTAACTTTAGTTACTTGATCAAGCTGCTCATCGATTAAATTTAACAAATGGCGCACGAAGATTTTATGTTATTGATGGTGCAGTCATATTAACGGTCGAGGATCTTATTGAATGGGCTAAAAGCTATTATAAAAATCGTTATACAAATATTATAAAAACAAAAGATACAAAAGCAAAACGTAAATTACTTTCGCATCTATTCGAATAGAATTTAAAAAGAAAACAATTTTTTCATTATTTTTGTAGAACCACTTCTTGACAATGTTGAATTAGCTACACCTTTACCACCAAGTAAATAAAATCTCGATTTATGTTCTCAAATATCTAATACCAATTTTAAATAGATCCTACTTCTAAACGTCGAGCAAGCGCTGACAATCAATCAGAACGAGCAACACTTGCAGCAAAACTTCGAGATATAAGTCCATCAAAACAACGTTTTCAAGCTCTACCAAAGCCTTATGATATCAAACGAGCAATAAAACAAAATTCATTCGCAAAACCAAATGATATCGATATTGATATTAACTATTTATTGAAGTTTCCAATTGAAGTATGGGTTTCATCTGGCGAACCATTTGTGAATCCAGCTAGTGCGTGAAAAAAATTGATTTAAAAGTTTTGTTTTCTATAACAATTCTATTATAGATATTGATCAACGACAAAGTCTACGTGTGATCCAACGTGAACAACGTACAACCGTTGTGCATGACTTTGAAAAAGAAAAACATGCACTACGTATTATGAAAGGTTGCACTAAATTGATTAGTTTTCTAATGTTTTCGATTGAAATATTATTTAGGACGTCGTATATCGAGTCAATCACCAGGTCAACTTACTCCACAACCGAATCCAAATGAACCTGTTTTGAAAAAAGGACATTGGACCGAGAAGTCTGATGAAGAACTTGATAAACAAGACGACGTCGAATTACTACGAGTAAAATTTTATATCTAAAAATAAACATTTTTTCTATTAGCTTTATTTCATGTATAGTCGTCGATAGATCAGCTTCGTTTGTTGCAACAACCTGAAGTAACAAAACCTATTTCAATAACAGCAACGGACCGTTTTGGACAACATTCAAAAATTGTATTTTTTATTATTTTCAAAAAAAGAAAAAATACATTCATGATTTATCTATTTATTTAGAAACGAGTTATGATCTATTCGAATGGTGAACCAAAAGAAACAGCTGTTCAATGTTTTGGTAGTAATTTAAATGAATTAATGGATAATGCTAAACTTAAATGGAATTTAATGCAACCTATTCAAGCATTATTTGATGAAAATGGATGTGTAGTAAGTTGCTTTTATCTTACATATGCATGTTTTCAAAGCAGAATTACTATTTGTATAGATTGAACGGTTTGACCAATTGAATCGTGATCAATTAATTTGCGTATCAACAACCAAAACCTTCATCACATCATCTGAACGACAACGTGAAGTCGATATAAAGGCAAATTGGGCTCGTACACGTAATAAATATGGCGATCAAGCAACAGATATTCGTGTTAATTCAACTCTTGCATCTGCTCCTCAACTCGCTGATCCATTCGGTCCACCGCTCCTAACATTAAATGATCAACATCAACTTCGTCCGACAACCAAACCACCCACAGTACCCACACCACTCTATCGAAGACTAGCTATTGAACAGCCAGCACCTGCAATTGCTAGCGAAGTAACACCATCACCTAACATCATGAAAGATTCATTAGTACTAAGTGAGGATGGCGACGAAGATGACGATGATGGACCTGATAGTGAGATCGAACGAATTACAAATGTAAAAGTCGAGTATGATGACAGCAGTCGACCGACGACGCCAAGATTTGAAACACAAGCGAAGAGTCCGTTTTCACAATTGTTTAGTAGTGAGCCGCCGCCTAGAGAAACAGCTACAAGTGTACCATCGACGTATAAGTCAGATAGTGATGATAAATTCATAGCTATGTTGAAAGGAAAAGAATGATCCGACTTTAGATTGAGAATCATATTGTACGTTTGTGTGTTTGCTTGTGTTTGTTGTTTAACAAGAATTCAATAAAATGTAATTGAAAATTTTAAACAGATTTCAAGTTTGCAAAGCGAAGAATTTTCATAGAACAATTGACTTCGGGATGAGAAAAAGAAACAAAATCGTTTAACTAAATCGACTGTAATCACATTAAGCAGTACCAGAAATTCGAATGTGGTAACTGTGACCATTCTACTCATCAATATTTTTCGAATAATTACTTCATTTTAATTTCTCGATATTTATTTAATAGGAAAAAAAACATGAGCAATATTGTTGTATCTATTGAATAGAAACATGTTGAACTTGATGTTTCAAAACATCGATTGTATAAATTGTCGTTGGATTGATTTGTTTTGTTTTCTTTACCATTTCCACCCACAATTACATTATCATGTGTTGCCGTATGTGACCAAGTAATCACTGGATAAGTCTCGTAGTATACTGCATAGAGTGTACCCAACGGATCAACGAAGAGTTGTCGACTATTCGACAATTCGTCGACAGCATCAAAGTTTTGGGTTGACACCCTCGGATGACAATACCTTCTTTTGCACCTTTCACGCACCACCATCATGCAATGATGGTGCGTGTCAGTGATATGCAGGCGTCTCTGTTCATCCATTGCTAATCCTCGACAAACGATGTTGTCGAGGAGGGCATTGTCTGGAGTGATACCATTAAGACTAGACCATCGTCGATTGTTTCGATCACAAATAATGCGACTACGCGTTTCATTGTCGATCAGTATGTCGACTGAGTAATTCAATCGATTTCCTTGCTCATGGCTATTAGATACCATTCGGTCATTCGTACCACTCATTTTCCATTGTAAGATACGATGATTGCACCTATCAATGGTGCTCTTTTGATGATCATCATCAACGAAGAGATCGAAAAGGCGGTGGCAGCGATTAGCTCCACCGCCTTCTTGATGATCTTCAGCAACGCTCATCCCTTTCGATGATATTCTAGGATTGTTTCCCATGTCCGGAATCACTATAATAGTCGAAAAAAAGAAAAGTTATTTTCTTAGCCAAAAACGTTCTTCGATCGCAAGAGTGTGTTTATATAGAATCTTAATTTTTGTTATATTTGATAGATACAGAAAATAATACTATGTTTTCAATATTTTTTTCTCAACTCTTTCGTTGCATTATTTAGTTAAGAAAATAAAATGACAACTATAAAATGAATCATACCCGATATCATCGATATTATTCTTTTTTGAGGTAACTCTTTGACCGATTTGATTAGATTCACCATCTTTAATATCAATGGAGACAACAAACGTTGCTTATGAACGACCAAACCATGTCTGCACCAAAATTGATCGGATTCAAGTATATCAACATAAGCAGTAGAAGCGTTTACTCCACGATCAGTAAATTTTGCACCCGTTTTATATTTTGAACTCAAGTCAACACTTTGAGTATCACATCTTACTGCTCCGCTATGTAATGGTAATTTGTGCAGAGCTGTAAGTAATAATTTTAGAAATGGAAACCAAGCTTTCAATGCTTCAGAATTTTCAACACGTAATGATTCATTGAGTGAGCGATAAAAACTTCGCCCATCACATAATTCCATTGAATATAAATGAATAGAAGCTGCTTCGTCTTGAGTTAAACCGTCAAGTGGATGCCGACCAAGGTTTAATGCAACAGAAACATCATCGCCAATTTTATGGAAAAATCCAGAAACTGGTTTAATGGCTTCTTTGAGTGAAACTACTGGTTGACCTCGATAGTCTTTGATTAGTGATAAAAACTGATCTGAAATATCCTCACAGAGATCAGCGAAGTTCAACTCATTGCCAAAATCTATTTTCTTGGCCATTTGATATATGTTTATTTACAACATTGAAACTCTAGAGAAATACACAATAAAAATATACTATTATTTTATTTCTAATTTAAATAACATTGAAACGCAGCAATAAATAAGAAAAAAAACATAGAATCTTTTATTTGAATCTACTCTGCTCTCCTATGAAAATGTCTAACATGAAATTTTACAGAAGAAAATATAATTGATAAACCTGATTGATTTCATCTTATCATGATGGGTATGAGTGACAATATATATATATCGTCTATATAAAAATATTTACTTTAGTAATAACGAAATAATCGATTTCGAGATGATTTCTATGATTCTTTCAGCTCATGTTAAAATATTATAGAAAAAGAAACAGTCCAATAATTCGACTAAAATAGCTCGGAAAACTTTTGCCAACCATCAGAACTATGGCCTTGTTGCAAAATAGTGGAACCAGATCAAAAATGACTCATTTCATGTGAAATGTACAGTATGATTGAAAGCAGCTAAGAATGTGTTATGCAATAGGTATATTTCTTTATGTTACTTACCACGATGAAATCAACTAAAATCGGTGTAAATGCAAAGTTTTATGTTGTGAGTCTATCGATGAAGTGTTTTATACGAAGACGTAAGTGACAATATTTGTTTTTTTTTCGTTACGTAGGCAGCACGGCAACGTTATTCATTTCTTATCTTCCTTTTTCTTTCGTCCTTTTCTTTCTTCTCCACTTGGCTGCGAATAGGTGTACATAAAATTCGCATAGATATTTGCACAGCACGAAATGTGTCGATAAAATAGAATATTTATGTGAATAGTGTGTACAGGTATATGCTTGCGCGTGGTATAAAAAAAGAAAGTTACGCGCCGAAATATATCGTAATCGTAATATCAAAGACAGAAAAACAAATAAAGGATATTTTTTTTAATTCTCAACACAATTCAATTGTGTATTACTAGATATAGACAAATAATAGAAAAAATAAATGTCGACACTTGTTCCCATATTTGCAAAACTCTTCAAGATTGTTTCGTCTAGCTAATATTTATTGTTTTAATGTAATAATAATTATTTTTGCTGCACGAGAAGGTCCTCGTCTATATTTTAAGCCTTACTCACGATCTATATGTTCATGTGGTATATATTATATATTATATATATTCTTATTTTCATTGTTAACCCTCATATCACCACCTGTGATCAGCGCATACTCAACGAAGTTTCTTTACAACGTTATTTATACACTGTATCTCGATAGGTGGTAATATGGCATACTAAGAATTTATACATCGGTCTGAATTAGTTGCTGTTGATCCAAGCTCTGAAATCAAAATATTGTTCAAACGCGTTTTTCCCTGTGGGATCCCTACGGATCCCAGGTGGTTAAATTCTTGTTTTGTTGTATTTTTTTATCCTGTAGTTGTGTATCGAAAAACGTTTTGGCTAAAAAATTATTTAGAAATGAAGATTTCATGTTTTAACAGTTGATATGTGAGTTTTAGTAAAATAATGAGAACATTGTCTGATGAAAAACAAATTCAAGAAGTTTTTTTAATCGATTTCAACTTTGTCTAAGCACAATACACTGTATGTTATAATATATTCAATACAGTCGAGTTCACTTATAAGAGCTCCGGATAAAGGAGCGGTCCGCTTTTAAGAGCCTCTTTTAGAAACCCTGTCTGCGCTCTTATAAGTGGACTCAACTATAGTTTTATCCAAATAGGATATCAACATCTGGATTCATATGTCAATGTTACGAAAATCGGAGCCAGATGCCATGGATATTCACTTGCGTATCAATTCGATACTTTTTTACATCTAACCAATTCGTTTCGGCGTGGCAATTTCTATACAGTTCGATGGCTGGTTATGAATGATGCCCATTCATTTGAACATGAATTTTTAAAATAATCTCTCAAGATTTTTCTTGTCTGCGACAATTAGCTGTGCATAATTTGGAACCACAAAAGAACAAGCAACATTCATCTACATTGATTACGTTTGCTGAACTTTCCGAACTGAATCTTGCGTTCGCACATATCGATTATGTTGAAGAATTTCTCTTTAAAACAAACATTCGTTTACTTCGATTAAAAATACTTGGTATTAAATATGAACCATTAGCAATCGTAACAAATAATTTTACGAATGATGCAGCACGTTTTAATTGTAGCCGATTGAGATACATTCTGATTCGTGAACCATTTGTTTGTCCAGAGAATTTCCATTCGTATTTTCCTTTATTGTAGATATTGGTTTTCTTGAAAAATTTGTTCTATTTAAATAAATACTAAGAAAAAGCTACAAATATGGTGATTATGAATATTTAGAATTCACTCTGATAATCAATGATTGTTAATTTTCTTGTATGATTGCTAAAGATGGATGGAACTAACTTTGGTGCGCTTTATGAGATGAGACAATGACTAAAATTGAAAATTTAGAAAGTTTGAGCAAACGCGTACCGGAGAATTTTTTATGGAACGATCCTTATGAAAAAAGATATTGTTGGTTTGCTAAAAAAATAGTTCATTCACACCTCACTTGCAACTGTTTTTATCTTGTCGGAGGAAGATTGATATCATCAAATTCTCGTTCTAAATGTATTTTTAGGTTCGGGATCAAAGCTCAGAGAATGACGGTGAAGGTGAAGTTTAGCATGACGCTGTGAGTGAAAATAATGCGGAGAATGGCGAAACTTGTTCGAGATTTTGTTTTTTGAAATTATTTTCGAGATTTGGAAAGCAATTCGTGTACAAATTGTACCTTACAAAATTGAAGTAAAACATCGGGTAATTCCAATGGAATTGAAATTTGTTCACTTGCATAATAAATTTCATCAGGCATATTGGATGCCATAACATTAGATTCTCATTGAATGGTTCGATTTAAAAAAATTTCTAGCTATTATTATAGAATTTTTAATTTAATTTTGAAGAAAATTTAGTATAAAAAAATATATGCCAATTAAGATGTTAATGGAGACTAGCGCACTTTAATATCATTGGTGTATCTTTTCGTGAGGCTCGAAGCAAAGAATTGGTATCGATTATTGTTTCATTTTGTATATTATTACAGTGTCCGTAATTAAACAATTCTTTTCAAGTCATAAAGTATCATGAAATTCAAAGCTTAATGCAAATCAACTTCATGCAATTCAAACTTCACAAAGTAAATCTTCTATTGTGGTTGTTACAAAAAGTAACAGTAACTAATGGAACATTTAATCATGAAAACATTCAAGAGACTATGGCTCCACCACCATTTCCACCCATTGAAATACCAATAAAATGTTATGTTTAAAATAAGTTGTTTTTAAGACCGGATATTGTATCATCACCAACAACACACCCTTCATCAGAAATGGCTATTCCAATTATTAATAATGAAGAGAAAAAAATCGACGTATGTATGCGTATTGATCAATGTGGGCAAACCTTTTTTCTTCCTTAAATCTATATAAAAATAGGATTTTGCCACAGTGATATTTATTTGATGAAAAATAATTGTATTTGATTTGTCTTTTATAGAAAATCTTCAAGTTAGACAATTGAAGATTTTGAAATAGGTAATTTATTAGGACGTGGTCGATTTGGTTATGTGTATTGTGATGGAGAAAAACAAAGCACGTTTCGTTGTTGCTCATCAAGTAATTAAAATAATAGTTAATTTCTTTCTCTTTGCTTTATTTCAATCATAGATATTATTTAAAGGCCCATTAAAAAATTCTAAAATGGAACAACAAGCAAAACGTGAAATAGAAATTCAATCAAATCTTAAGTATGTTCAAGTCTTTTAGTTTTCTTAAGTTTATTATTAACGAATAGATTGATTATAGACATCTGAATATCCTTCGTCTCTATGAATTTTTTCGTGATGAACAAAGAATTTACCTATTACTTCAATATACGTCCGGTGAAGAACTATATTGACGTATGCAAACAGAAAAATCTTTACGTGAAAGTGAAGCTGCTGAAGTAAGAATTTACATATTATTTTTATACTTTTATTTCTAAATATGTTAGTATGTCTATCAACTTTGTTTTACTTTAAATTATTTACATACAAAACGAGTTATTTATCGGTATGAATATTGAAATGAATATATCAATTTTATTTTATTTTTCTATTTAGTGATATGTTTGGAGAATTTTATGAATATAGTAATTATAGATTTTTTTACAGAACTAGTCTCATGATATTTGTTTTTATTATAGCAGATTTTGGTTCGTTAGCTGAAAGTACATCGACATGAAAGTAAGATTTATACGATAAATTTATTCATGTAAATACAATGTTTTTTTTCTTTTGAAGACCAGCAACTCTTTTTGGTACATTAGATCATTAACCACTAGAAATGTTTAATGGAAATGGTTATGATGAAAAAATTGATCTTTGCTGCCTTGGTGTTCTTACATATGAAATGATAATCATATTCTATTAGTCAATTAAACTTATTGCTTTTTGAAGATTATTGGTAAATCACCATTTGATAGTCAAACTCAACATGAAGCAATTCGAAGAATACGATCAATTCAATTGGCATTTCCTATTGAAACGTCATCTGATCTTCGTGATTTTATTACGAAAGTAAATTAATTAAAAAATTGTTTTTTTTGTGAGAAAATTTTTGATTTTATTTTAGTTGCTTCATCAAAATCCAACTGATCAATTGCCTTTGAAAGATGCTGATGCTGCACAGCATGTTTCGATATTAAAAAATACAGATTTAGCTGCTACTGAAGAGAGCTATCTTAAACGAAAGAAAATATTAAATAGGGAAAATTAGAATATCAATACTCTATTTAAATGTTTCGACTTTAGTTTTATGTTGCTTTGCATATAAATATCATTAATTCTATTCTGTGATTTTCTCTCTTAGATTTCTATGTAATATAGATATATACGTATGCATCTGTGTGATAAATATAAAAATGGAAGAAATATCAAGTAGTTCATGTTTTGTAAGTACAAAACATTCTCTGTACGTTTGTATAATGTTAATATATTTCATTTGATTTAGTCGAGTTTTGGTGTAGACATCGTTTTGAAAGAAACTGATGAACAAATATCATGTGCTGAACCAGTATGATTAAAAAAGGCATTGTTTTTGAAAAATAGATTCTTTTATTTAGTTACCAACTTGTCAACAATTATGTGAAGAAGTTCTATCGTGTCAACATCATAGTTGTGATTTAGTAAATTTATTTAAATAAATTAATATTTTATTTTATTTTAGATTTGTCATCCAAAAGAATTTCACCTATGTGATCAATTAAATAAACAAACAAACATGTTTATCACATGGTGGTGAACCTTGTGGAAAATTACTTTCATGTGGTCATCATAAATGTACGGACACATCTCATGATGGATCATGTCCATCATGTAGTAGACAATTCACTATTCAATGTCGTTGTGGACAATGAATTGAATCAATATTATGCAAAGAAGCAATGAAATATGATTCAATAGAAAAATCATTTCGTTGCAAACAACTGTGCAAAAAAGAAAAATCATGCAGAATACATCGGTTAGTAATTTTTTTAAATAAAAAAGTAAAAAAGAAATTTTATATAGATGTAATCGAACATGCTGTAATCTTGATATTCATCAATGTGAATTAGTCTGCGGTAAAAGACTTTCTTGTGGTGTACAGTATGTATTTGATATAAAACTAGAAAAATAATAATTTATTATATATTCTTTTTCGTTTAGTACATGTAAAGAATTATGCCACTTCAACTTTTGCCTAAATTGTTCATTGTTCGATCAGGAAATCAAATGTAATTGCGGTGAAACAGTTATTAAACCACAATCTACATGTCTTAAAACTCTGCGAATGTGTTTTTTTTCATGTAAGCAAGCACATGAATGTGGTCATTCTGCTAATCATTGGTGTCATAATGATGGCGAATGTCCACCTTGTACACATGCTGTTCCAAAAATGTGTGTTGGCGAGCATATGTCATTTGATGTAAAAAAATCCGTTTTAATTTTTGTCCATTATTAATTAACAAAGATCTATTTCCTTTTAGGTTCCATGTCATGTAGAAACGGTATGCTATCGTCAACCATGTGGTAAATTTCTTTTATGTACAGTTCATACATGTCAACGTTCATGTCAATCCTTTGATCAAAAATGTACACAACAATGTAATTTAAAACGCCGTGAATGTGGTCATAAATGTAATTTAGTTTGTCATGGAGATGAACCATGTCCAGAAACAATATGTAATGCAATTGTTAAAGTTATATGTCCATGTGCCCAGGTCGAACATTACGGTGACCTGATACGGTCGTATACGGCAACGCTTACTACCGTTTTATAACGTTTTCGACCATAATTCGACGTTTTGACATGCACCATATTTCGCCGTGTCGTAAACGGTTACTAACGGCCGTAATGTGGTCGGATATTTCAGTATCCGACCGTATACGATCATTTGTGGCACGATGCAAAACGACCGTGATACGGTGCATACCAAACGGCCGTGTATGACACAAGTTGATCGACCTGGGTGGTGGTTTAGAAAAAAATGTGATTTGTAATGTAAAATCCAATAAATCCAATAAAGAAAAAAATTATATACTTAATATAAAACCAAATGAATTTAATGAAAAAGATTCTGATTTTAATTTAACATCATACATTGAATCATTAAAAGTTTACATAGGAAATTCAATACTTGCACGAAAACAACAACAACAATTAGAATGTGATGATGAATGTCATGTTATACTACAGAATAAAAATTTAACTCAAGCTGTATCAGTTAAGCTTGATGAACTACGACAATTACCAACTGTTTATACAGATTTTTTACTTGGTTATGCACCGAAAAATTTAGAATTTGTTGAAACTATTCAACGACAATTAACTCAACTTGTTGAAGAAACTCAAGCTGTTCGTCGTTTAATACAATTTTATTTGTTTACACCAATGCAATTTCATGAACGTTATTTAATTCATCAATCAGCACCATTTTATGATCTTCAAACACAAGCAATGAATCCTGAACCAAATCGAAAGACTGCTGGATGTGCATCTTGTGGTATATGTAAAATTCCATCAATTTCATTAAGTGAAACAGTTGTACCTGAAAAACTTTAAATACTACCCCGGTCGAAGAAAATGACCAGTAAACGGTCGTATACGATACAAATACAGCCCATTTTATGTGCCGTATTTTCCTCGTATAACAGGGGCAGTAGTACAGTCGTATGTTCTATAGAATACGATAATATTTCGCCGGCTTTACAAGGTTTTACGGCTGATATACGATGTCTCTGTATGGCCATAATACTGCCCCTGTTAAAACGCCTTATTTCGGCTTAAAACAGCCGTTTTTTTCGACGGAATACGATGCAAAAACAACCGTTTACGGTAATGTTACGCCGGTTTACGGTGGTCCGTTTTAATCGACCTGGGATGTGCCTCCTGTGATGTTAATATAAATAGATTGACATATGTATGGTTACATCTATATTTTTTATTTAATTTTCTTTTTCTTGTATTTATTCTTTTCATATTTGGTTAAATGCTACCTATATAAGCGGTGTGTCGAAGTTATCAACTTAATGTTAAAAAGAAACTGCAGTATGAAACTAGTAGTTAAGGAAATAAATTTACTTTATGCAATCAGTTGTGCTTATTTTAGTTATCATTTTGAAATATCTGTTCATCTTAATTTGTTTTTATAATTAAACAAACCCTATTAGTTAATGGTGAACACTGAAGTTATATGGTGATGTGCTTATTCTAGTCATAGCTCTTATTAATACATTCTAAAGGACTGAGTGGAAATGTATTTAAATATTCACTCACAACTAGTTCCCAGATAGTGTGATAGAAGATTCTGAAACAAAATCTGACTGTTAGATTTGAAATCAGAATACTAAAAATCAGAGATGTCCATCGCGATTGAAAATCTACCGCTGCTACACTATCATAGTAATTTAGAGGCAACAAAAGACAAAATAAATGCAAAAAAGTGAAGCAATATACAACACGAAGTTTAGATCTGACATATCATACGATCTGTTACACATATATAAGTAACTGGTTTTCATGATATACGTAGTCAATATTTATTATCTTTTCTTCTTTTATATGATTTCCTCTGTTGTTATTCGTACATAAAGCAACACCACGAAATATGTTAAGATTGAAGAATAGAATAGAAAAATGTAAAGCCACGCAGGGCGAATCTAGAAAGTTTTTTTTATACTTTTGTCTTTCAAGCTCAATATCTTTTTTGCTTTAGACGATAGAAAATAAGCTATTTTTTGCTAGATCTCATAAAATTGAAATTTTCTATTCTTTAATAATGTTTTTTCCACTTACTCTCTATGACCAAAATCTTCCGTTCACCAATCTCTACTACTCTCTACTACTTTTCTTCTCTTATGAATAGAAATAAGAAAGAAATATTAGATAGCGTAATCATGTTCTCGGTGGCCGAATATATCATGGGATATTTTTGAGAAAAAAAATATTTCATTTTATTACTCATTGTCAAGTTGGTACGTATTTTCTCTCTGAATAAATAGTATGAGAGAGAAAAGAAAAGAACAATGACGCTCGTTGTGATATCGAACAATAGCGCTGTGACTGACGATGAAAGTTACCGACTGAACTTATTCGTGACCTCATCCCAGGTCGATTGATCTGGAACTCGGATCCTATCGGATCCCATCGGATCCCATCGGAAATCCGAATTGATCCGATACTTTCCGATAGGAATCCGATAGGAAGTTGTCGGATGTCGGATCCGATGATTTCCGACACTAAAATCCGACAGTCGGAAACTATGGGAAAGTCAAGGATCCGACAATTGTTTTTTATAGCTGTAACCCATCTTAGCCTTATAGAATCACCATCGTGTTTGTAAGACTTGAATACTTCATTTCCTATAGCCCAAATTAGTACAATGTTCAAACTTTTATTCTCTTCTATTTTATTTCTATTGAGAATATACTCAAATTTAGGTGTTTCATTATATAAAAGGAGTAAAGACATGTACAATAGTAAAACAATAAAAGATATAAAATAACATTTTTTTCACAAAAATGATCAGTCGTGCACGATCAATAATAATCAAAGATGGTGTTCGTGGATTCATGTCTACGTAAGCATATTATTCATTATGATCCAAGATCAGATCACAACAATGTTGACGATAGCGTTGATTGACTCCTGCATGCCCGTTTTCGTTCATCAGATAAAAAATCAATCCTAGAATGAGCAAAAAAGCAATGTAGCTAAAACATTATAAAAGAATCTATGAGACGAAATTTTTGACTGGAGGACAAAAAAATTAGTTCGATAGATTTGTTTGTTTAATCCTAAAATGAACAAAAGTTAGATATATATCAGACATAATGAAGGAACTTACAGGACGAAATTCTTGACTGAACGACAAAGAGAAAAATAGTTCGCTTGATTTGTTTGTTCAATCCCAAAATGAACAAAAACTAAATATGCGTAAAACATAATAAATAAACTTACATGTCGAAATTTTTGACTAGACGACAGAAAAAGATAGTTCGATAAATTTGTTTCTTTTATCCTAAAATGAACATAAACATAATGAATGAACTTACATGACGAAATTCGTGACTGGACGACAGAAAGAAAAATAGTTCGATAGATTTATCAGTTCAACCCTAAAATCAACAAAATTTAAATATATTTAAGACATAATGAAGGAACTTACAGGACGAAATTCTTGACTGAACGACAGAAAGAAAAATAGTTCGATTGATTTACTTGTTTAATCCTAAAATGAAAAATAATTAAACATATGCAAGAGATAATGAAAGAACTTACACGACGATATTTTTTTTGTTCAATCCCAGAATGAACAATGATTAAACATACATAAAACATAATAAATAAACTTACATGACGAAATTCTTGACTAGACGACAGAGAAAAGAGTTCGATAATTTTTTTTTATTTTACCAAGCCAAGCCCCAACATTTGACATCGACTAACTACTACTCTAAAAAAAAGGGTTCGTACCGAACTTTTCCGTATAAAATTCAGAACCATTTTTAAGTTCTGCCAAAGATACCCAGAACTAAAAATGGTTTTGTACAGAATTGCGGAACCCTAAATGACTCAGTAATCAGACCTTTTTTTAGAGAGCAGTCTAACCCAGTCTAGTCCTGGGTATTTTCATTCAATTGAACTGTAATATTATCTTCCTATGTCATCAAGCGGATCATTTATCAATTGGTGTCTCACGATTAGGTGAATTAGGAGCAATCAAATGTGATTGACATTTACTTGATTCGAGAGCACTACTACAAGGAAAACGTTTCAAAATCGAATCCCTTGCATATCGTCGAATCCGACAGGTTGCCAACTATCGGATAACAACGGATCCTATAGTTGGAATCCAATCGTATCCTACTGTCGGAAACTGCCGGAAATCAATGGATATCGTCGGATCCGACAGGTTACCGGCTATCGGATACCAACGGATCCTTTAGTCGGAATCCAATAGTATCCTACTGTCGGAAATTAACGGATATGGTGGGACTCCGACCATAGGATCCGACCGGAAACCGATCGTCGGATTTTGTCGGATTATCCATGGTTCCGATAGGATCCTAGCAGGTATTTTTGACCTGGGTATACCATTGTAAACATTTCGTTTCTCCTAACCAATTATTTTGCAAAGTATGAAATGTGGCATGAGAATAAATCAGATTAATCAATAGAAAACTCAACCGAAATATTTGATTGTTCTGAATAAGTTGTAGTGTCAATTGTTAGCACTTGGTATTTGCAGCAACATGATTTTTCTTATGTTCTACCTATCATTGAGCATTAATATTTTTATAGATACATAATTCAAGATTAGACT